TGACCTTCTCAAACTTCTCCAGAGGTGGAAGGGCTAAGCCCCGAACCATGTCAAAATGGTTCCCCAGGAAGAAGAAGTCCTAATATGAAGGAACCTCTGACTTCTCTCTGGAAGGAATGAAGCCGACTCTGAGCAAGAGTTTCAGGACCAGACGAGTGTCCTTCACTAACGATTCCCACACCAAAAGAGGCATGAGGGAGTCGTCGAAATAGATGTGGACGTCTATTCTGCGTGAGTGAAGGAAACACCAGCAGCAACTTGGTGAACACCAAAGGAGCTGTCGTGAGCCCCAAGGGCATCTCTGCCTTGGCAGCATGGTCCCTACTTCCTCCTGGAGCACCCGTGCCCTTTCTGAATCCCCGGGAGGAGGAAAGAAACAAAAACGGCCAGGAGGCAAGGGACGAATCCTGAAGAAGGAGAATACCTAGACCCTCCCTGACCACCGACAAAAGCCCAAGCGTCATCTGTAATATCCTGCCACTGGGAAAGGAAAGCAGAGAGACGTCCGCCCACAGGGAGTTCCGGATGGGGCAGATTGAGCCCCTGCCAGACCAGAGAATCGTCTGCCCACCCGGAGCCTGAGCCTGCGGGAGAAGGACATGAGCCCGGGAAAGGAGAACCACCGTCCACCCGGCCATACCCTTCGCCTTTCGCGGCCAAGAAGCAGAAATAGTCAGGAACCCTTCTTCTTGCCCCCAGGAGGTTTCTTACCCTTCCTACCCTTCCCCTTGTTGCCGTTGAAGTGAGGTTTGGACTTGGGCTGTGCAGAAAACTGAGTAGTCGAAGACTTCGCCTTCTTCTTAGGAGGCACTGACCCCTGCGAGGCACTGGCCTTCTCAGCCTGAAACCTCTTCACCAGAAGTGCTGAGGCGACCGAGTCCTCCTTCATATCCTTCTGAACCCAAGGAAGAGCTCCCCTGAACAGGGTAGAGCCCTAGAAGGGGGCATTCAACAAGCGGAAACGGTAGGGTTACTGGACTGGGCGGATTTTCAGAACTGAAAACTGCCTAGCCAACACGGCATTGACGAGCAGAGAACCTGCAAGGCTGCCGTGTCCTGTATGTCGGCTGTTCTGTCTCGGATAACCGACACTCAGGCAAATCGGATACCCTGTATAGACAAACTGTCAGGAAGTCTATGTATGACAGAACTTGGATGGAGAGGTGCAACATTCTCTCCATCCTGTGGTGCTCTTTGGGATCGAGCACCACCTGGTCCACTGATTTGCCGGGCCAGGCAGCCAGCTGTCTCAACTCCAGCTGTGCTGGTTGAGAGGCCAGCTGCCCATCATGTGTGGCATAGTCGGAAGCTGAAGCCTCCGACAATTCACCAACACTGAGCTGCAGACCGACAAACCCGGGAGCACGGGTAGAGAAGGAGTCCTTCTCTAAAACCGGAGCCCGGGCCGTGGCCAGAACTGAAGACATGATATTGCCTTCTGGCAGAGACCGATCTGAGCGAACGGAAGCCCGAGGAGCCACCAGGGAACCCAGAAGGATGGTGGATTCAGGCGCCGACGATGCTGAGGCGGTGGGCAAACCTCCGCCCTGAGAATCCGGGAGATGTTGGCCCGGAGGACCCGCATCCCAGAAAGCACATGCTGAGCCTCGGCTTCAGCAGTCTCAGGGCCATCTTCCCCTTGTGAACCCTCTTGGCCCTGGAGAAAGATGTATGACATCGTCTTCCTCTGCCGAGCCCGCACCCTCGATGTCCATCTCCTCCTCAATAGAGACCGAAGTCCCCTTGGGAGGAACAGGGGCCGCCAGAGGAGCCATCTCCGCAGAGGGGAACTCCTCTTTATGGCATTTGGACGCAGCGCGACCAACAGCCGTAGCTGTAGGCTTGGGTCGGAGACCCGAAGCCGACCCCTGGGAACAGGAGACCGACGGGTCCGCGCTGGAGGCGAAGTCCTTAAGGTCTGGCAAACCTTTATAGGACCGGCCAACAAGGCCCCCGAAGTAGCAGAACATTGGGGGGATTCCGCACTGCTATAACATCTCCTAGAGGAGAGACCAACCCCTATGGGTTCCACGAGTGAAGACCCATGGGGTAAAAACCCAAACCCCTGAGGGAATGGGAACGGTCCAGCGGGCCGGGAGTGACCCCAGAACTGGCCAAGATGGCCTGCCTGAGTCTGGGGCTGGACACCCTGTCCAAAGGACCAGGATGAACCGCCACTCCCACCAGGTGGAAACCCAGACATGTACGGGCTAAGTCCGTAACTGCTGAGTAACTGTTGGTACCCAAAACCATCCGCAGGTTGGCCTGGGCGACCCAGGAATAAGTGCCCGCAGGCACCCCTACTCCCTGAGCCCGGGGGAAAGGGAGACCGGAAACCGGACTCCTGGCCTGAAGCCCCAAACCCTTGGGGGAAAACCCCCTGGGAAACCCTGCACTGGGAAATCTGGATAGGGACGGAAAGTCCCAGAGCCAGAAGCCTGTGAGGGTGGGAAAACAGACCACGCGCTGACACCAGGATTAGTGAACTCAAGTGTCACTAATCCCCGTAGCCACAGACAATCCTGACAAAAAGTCTGTGGCCCCTGACCCTATACCCGAAGGCACAGTTCCGGAGTCAAAGCGGCCCCCACCAACGACGCCACCTGGCGCGCCGAGGTCCCTGAAGGAATCAGAGACCTCGACCGGAAGTCCCTTTCCGACGGTAACACCGCCGCCTATCGAGAGCTACCGGCCAATTCGACCCTTGACTGCGCCGAGTCAGGGTCGGGCTGCCCCCCCCCTACTCCAGGACGCACCTGGACAGAGGGAGCCACCCCCTGCTGAAGGGCGGAGCTCGGTGGAACGAGAGCACCCCCAGTAGGAACGCTCTGGTTCAGAACTTGAGGAGGGAGGTCTTAAAAAGCTTACTTCCCTTACCGGAAGAAGAGGACGAATCCCTCTTCCGGCGGAAAGTTAGCTGTAAAAGCATGGGAGCCTAAGCAGCAGACTCCATGTGCAAACAAAGCTCACATAGCGAGGTCTGGCTGCAATGTCGGCAAATGGGACAGGTATCATGGGGTTCCCATTATCTATAGAAATAGGAACATCCATGCGCTGACCCCCGACGTAAACCCGGCACCTTAATCCAGCATCGAAACAATAAAAAATTGTAACAATGAAAACAAGGATAAAAAGTTTTTTAACAATCAAAAAACTACGAACGAGATCATAAAACCTACCGTACGCAGCAAGATTGTACTGCAAAAAAAGAAAACGGTCGTACAAAACGGCCGACAAAGCAGCAAGAAAACAATTTCAACTTCACGAAATTCCGAGTGACGAGACAAGTAGTCACACACTCGAACACGCGGAGGAAAAACACGGCCGGAAACGAAGTTCTCGAACAATCAAAAAACTACGAACGAGAGCACAAAGCCTACCGTACGTAGCAAGATTGCACTGCATAAATAAAACGGCCGTACAACACGGCCGACAAAGCAGCAAGAAAAACAAATTCCAACTTCACGCAAATCCGATCAACGAGACAAGTAGTCACGCACTCGAATACGTGGAGGAAAAAAACGGCCGGAAATACGGTCAAAATAAACAAATGACAATACTTAATTTCACAATATAAGTTGGGAGATGGGTTTATAGACTACTAATAGAGTAACAATATACTCAAACGACAATGGCAGTACGAAGAGAAGGAGTAAGAAAAGCACTTAGCTCAGACACCTCCGCACTCGTCGGCAGCCATAAAGGTAAGAGGAAGGGAGATCACTCTGCGTTCCTGCCGTGATGGCTCATGGATCGTAGGGAGGGCGGGATTGTTTTTCTTTTGAATCTTTTGTTGTTGGGATACAAAGATGGGTGTAGGTACTGTATTTGCATACTAAAGTTATGGTAATTATTACTGAAATGAAAATGAGACAATCATGTCACAAAATGGCCGCCACTTTTTGAAGATACTGAAAAATAAGAATATTTTGTCGGCTGCCTTTTCCTAGCATCAATTTTCGGTCACCTTAGGTTTCAGACCTTCTGAAACAAGGTCCTTAACGGTCATTTAATAATCGACGGACAGACCACAGAATTTGTTGGTGGTCTAACAAATCTGATGATTTTGAACATTCGTTGAAAGTATCAGACTCATAAATGGTAGGTTTTGATAATGAAAATCAGTTGTACAATCAAGTTACAAAATGACTACTGTGGCTACCAACTTTCTGAATACAAGAATATGAATGTCCTCATCCAATGATGCATCAGACCAAATTTGGTTGAAATCAATCGAGCCATGATGGAGGAGTAGTTTTTAAAGGATAAGTTTACACATGGCGGACAGCAGACGAAGCACGATAAAAATAGGTCATGTTGGCCCTTCGAGTCACCCTTTGAACTGAAGATGCTTGATATGTGAAAAGCAGAGGAAACATGGCGACAGACAAGACGCAAATGTTATAGACCAGTCTGACCAAAGGTCAAATGACCTCATATAAACAATATGTTGTCCCATACTAAGGCTTCAAACGAAGTTTGAATTAAAAGAAATTACACTCACGATTTGAATTTCCCTATGTAAGCTGGACTTATCTAACAATTTTTTGGCTCATATGTAGCAGTGGAAGTGGGCAATTGTTTGTTGTAACTGCTGTTCAAGATGGTGGCCATCCGACTTTTGGACGGCTCAATAAATAAGAACATTAGATCTTTCTATTATATTATTATTACCATTGTATTTAAAGGAAAACAATATTAAAGTGAAAACAAGAGACCCAAGTGCCTTAACGGTCACCTGAGTTTAAATGCTTCTTGAAACATGTCATAGAAATGATTTTGTTAAAAAAAAGTAATGTTACACAGCAGTGAAACATCACTTGTGCTTGATGCTGCACAGCAGTGAAACATCACTTGTGCTTGATGCTGCACAGCAGTGAAACATCACTTGTGCTTGATGTTGCACAGCAGTGTTACATCAATTGTGCTTTATGTTGCACAGCAGTGTAACCTCACTTGCCCTTCAGACAAATGAACTATACATAAAAGAAGCATTCATATTATAAGGCATGATTTTATTTTCATATTTTTTTCAGATAAAATAAGCTTTGTACAAATATATATATATATATATTTTGGCAAGTAATTAACACTATCACAACCTGGCTTTGTTTCTCTATTTTATATACCTAAAAACAATATGTTGCTTAGTAACACTAATTCCGGATATGATGTTATCAATATGTGAAACACTGCAAAATTTTGGGCTGATAAAGGACAGCTTCAGCAAACTGTGACATCTTTTGCAAAATGTAAAATGTTCTTATATTTTTTACAGAAAATTTTCAGTACAGAAAATCTGAATGCAGAGTCTGTTAATGGAAACTCTAATCAACGGACTCAAATAGGCATCATCAAAATTCTTCATGAAAAATTGAAACCAGGTAATCATAATTTATATTTTGTATTTCATGTACACAATGACTATGTGCAATTAAGATAAATCATTCCCAGTCAGTAACCTCTGTTCTGGGTGTGGCATGAAATACAAAACAACATATTAAATGCCAATGTGTCAAAAATTTCAGATACTTTTAAATACCAAAGACATATCAACAGAAATGGGGTACTTCCATATAAATACTTTTCCTCAAACAGGATAAAGAATTTATATAAATGTACACCTTATTCCAGCTAATATAGGACAAGCCTCAAATTATAGACAATAGTAAATTAGAGATGTCATATTTAGTGGTTATAAATGTACATGAAATGCTTTCTTGCTTGCAGAAAACAGCTGAAATATAATTAGAGCTTGTTCAGTTAAACTCTATCTGATATCAGGATTTCATAATTATTTCTTTTTTATGTATTTTTCAGAGTTTTCTGGTTGTTACTTGAGAGTATAGTAACAATCGACTTCTATGTATATCTAAATAGGCCCTGAATTCCTGTGGTCAGATAAAGGCTTTCACTGAAATAGGTATATCTACAGTTTTCAATCAGAAAATATGTTAAACAATGCTTTAAAGAGTGTTGGCCACATATTAAACATGAGTAAAACACCGATGAAAATAGCAGAATAAATAAAGTAACATTCATAAGGTGATGATGGAAATGTACAATGAAACATATTTTACTGATATGAATAATGAAAGGTTCAAATTGCACAAAACAATAATTTAAGCAAACTGCATTATTTATCTAAAATACCTAAGATAAGATACACAGAGTTATCTCCCATTAAAAATATAGAATATCCTTCTGTGTATTGTTATATAGATAATTTCAATTGTTGACCGACCAACTCAAATATTGACGGACTAACAAACACTTTATAATTTTAAGAGGAGATAAATCCATTTTATCATTGTGATTTTTAATCATTTTGTAAATCTATCATTCTTTCATTCTAAATATAATTTAAATTGTCATATTTATTTGAAGAACTCTTTTAAAAATTTAAATTGAGAAAACTTTCATTTCAAAGAAGTGGGTCTATAATCTTGAGTATAATAAAAAACAAAACTGATAATAAATTTAAACAAAATGTTTGATATTAAGTCTGCTTACAGATAGTGGCATGTCAAAACTGGTTAGAATTTTAACAAAGCATCTGCTTATTGTAGTGATATGATGTTAGTTGTAACGGAATGATTTTTAACATTTTTACACTTATACACTGTACCTGTATTCAACTATGAATTCAAGGGAAAGAAGCAAACAAATAGTGCCAACAAAATTCAGGAAGGCATACATCAAAAAAGGTTTAAAAAATAAGTGATAAATTAAGATGTCAATTATGAGTCGTGCAAAGAATACAACATGGAACAGTGTCTGTTTCATTGTCAAATTAGACTTTCCTGTTAACCTTGGAAGATTTTGCACATATAACCACAACTTGCTTTAGCATATTTTGTTCTTTCAAGAATGAAGAATCTGGAGGCTCATAATATGTTGGGGAGAGTACCAGCAGCTCAGAGTGAAATGAAATTTAATCCTCCACTGCTTTGTCTCGGTGTGGCTAAAATAAAAATTGTTTTCATAAAGCCACACCACGTTAATGGTGGACCATCTTATTTCAACAAGTAATATGTATATTGTTAGCCAATTTTGAAAAAAATGGGTGAAGGGAATATATACATATACCCAAACTTATTTAGGAAATGTGAACGGATTTAATATAGACAATACTACTGAAGAGTTGCGTGTACTTAAAAATTTGTTATTGAAAACAGACTGTAGCATGAGGAACTCACTGAACTCACAACAAATGACAATGAATTAGGAATGTAAATTTAAAAGTTCACTCAGCAAATCAAATATGTTCTCCACAAAAAAAAGGAAGGGGGGTGGTTGTTAGATGTCAAAAAAAGTATGATGATAATGATGATCAAGCAACATTGTCCATAAATTGAAAAATTCACAAAGATTATCTTAAAGTAATGCTATTTTTATCAAATCAAAAACGAATACCACCATCAAACGGTACCTAAATTTTTAGCACGACACATAAATTTTCTTGCTTTTCAACATCACAAAAAACAATGGCACTATCTACAGATGGAACAAGAAATATCACATAACATTGATCCAATATATGACATAAGGATGTAACAACAGATGTACAAGTTGTTAAATGAAACAACAAAATTCAACTTTGATCCTATGCACTTATCCAGGCCTTTGCTACAAACCCCAAACTTGGATCCAATACCTTATCACGTTTCAGTGGTTAAAATTTCTATTTGACCTACATTAAAACTCAGCATGTTGGAATCAATATTTAACATAAGCTATCTTCATGATAATCATATTTTCTCATACGAAGACATTTCTTATTACATATAATCAGATAACATTAAACACACTCAAGACATGTTCATATGTACGTCCATGGAGTCGTCTGACAAACAAAATTCATCAGAAGCTCCAAACTACTATGATATGTGTGTACTATTACACTGTTTCATTTTTAAATCTTGGGACAATAAATATGGCAATTTCACAGCACCATCTGATGTGTGATTAAGAATTTACAGAATTTTATCAAAAATAGACAATAAGGACATCTGATGTATTTATCCTCAGGGTTTCTGTTGAAACAGGTTTCACTGATAAAGTGAAAACATCTAAATTATAGTTAGGTTTCTAATGTTCCAGCTTGATTTTCATATACATTATAGAACATGTACATCAACAATATATTGCGATTTTAATTATTTTCAGTTTTTTTCTAACTTTAATGTTCAGTATAATACACTTGATTGCAGTATAAATAAACATCACAGAAACATTTTCTTATCCGGCAGCAAACTGGCAAATAGTTTCAACTCATATACATATAAAAACAAAACTTTTGATTTTTCAAAGAACGGCTATTCAATATTTAAAAAAGTCAATACTTCAATCCGCTAAACATAGCCTATCTTCCTTAATGAAAGGATTATTTTTGTTGATACCTAATATATTTTACAAATTTTTTACTGAGTTGTACAAAAAAAAAAACAGTTCAAGAATTATTTCTAAAGAAGACTGTGTACTACAGGTATCAGAAACAGCACTTGTAACTGGAATGTTTCTTTCATTGCCGAACTAAGCATCAAATCTGGAGTAGGGGTTGTCATCCTTGATGAGACCTGTGTAGGAGGGAAAAATACAATTTCATTAAAATAATGAAAAATAAATCATTTGTGAATCTTATTGTGAAATTTAAGAATATGAAAATGTACCAAATACTGGATACTCTCAGTAAAGCAATTGTTAATCTTTCCTCAAAAAAGTGTGACACACAAACGTACTGTACATGTAAATGAACAGAAACATGTGAAAACAAATTCAACATTTAGTTCAGGACTTGGAAATAGAGCTTACTAGTCTGAAACAACAATTTTCCTGGTTCTTGATTTGTCTGAAATTTCCAACATTTGGCTCTCTACATAATATTACAAATAACATATATCAAACTTTTTGTTTTGGTGTACAAGAACCAGAAGTAGGTGCATCGCTTCGATGAAAAGCTGTCATACCTAAAATGTTTCTAAAATTATAAAAAAATTTATATCTATATATTTTTTTTTTGCAATATTTTGATATATTTGGTATGACAATTTGCAACAGTTCCTAATCATTAAAAAACGATATTATTAGATTGTGTTTACTATTGTTTTGATACTTTTTGACTGAATTGTGAACCCTGTGATACAACCTTGATTTGCAAGACTAAAGATGTCACAGGCCTTCAGGACCTTTTTGGATGGGCTGTCCTCCAAAGTGTTATAAATAACACCTAGCTCACTTATTTGTGGACAAAATTCTATTGTACTTGAACAAAGGTCCTTTACATGTAAATAACTCTTGTGTAAGCATCTACCACTGAAGTGTACATAATAAGTGAAGTGTAAATTTTACAACAAATACTGAAATGTACATCTAAAAATCATTCACCGTGAGAATAAAAAAAATGAAATACTAAAGGGAGAAAAAACTGAAATAATTACAGACTCGTCACAGTGATTTTCTACTTAACACAATAAAAACATGAAAGACAGGGACAAAACAAATACAAAATGTATAAAAATAAAATTATACCATGATTATAGCAGATATACAAAAGTATAAAATGATTTATGTCTGTAAAGGTTTACATATAGAGGAAGATATCAACTAAAAACAAAACAATAATCCAAACAACAAAATGAAACCAGACTTTGTATCTATTAAAATCTTACCTTTGAAACTGATTCCTGATGCCAAGTAAAGTAATCAGAACAACATGGTACAACAAGTGATAGATCTAACATACTATAATTCTAATAAAAAGTTCCATCATAAATCACTTCCACTAGTTTCTAACATACTATAATTCTAATAAAAAGTTCCATCATAAATCACTTCCACTAGTTTCTAACATACTATAATTCTAATAAAAAGTTCCATCATAAATCACTTCCACTAGTTTCTAACATACTATAATTCTAATAAAAAGTTCCATCATAAATCACTTCCACTAGTTTCCTGTTCATAATTAATATTCAAATTAAATCTTACTGACAGTTCCACTTAAACCAACCGGTTGTCAAATATCTGTGGAGACCTGAATTAACCGACACTAGGGGCCAGTTATCCCTCTGATACAGCCCAGTACAGACCAAGTGTAGTAGGCATCAGTTTGTCTGTTACAGGTCACTCAAGGACATTTATAGATACACATTTAATGAAAACTGCAAGAAACTAAATATCTACAGCGTCATACTGTTTTATTAATTAGCAAATGTTTAATGAATATGCTACATTGAATATTTTGTTAATACTTTTTAAAAACAATTGTTATCAATTTAAATGGCATTGTTTCACTATAGCTGTGGAATATGTTTATTTCAGTATCCAAGTAGCTAGTGAGATAACACTAGAATAGGGCTACACTCAGGACATAGAGGGGCACATTAATGAGAAGATAGCAAATTACAACTGATCTTCTGCCCAGACAAAAAAACTTGGGGCTTTAACAAAAACTAGAGTCCTGAAGTAGAATAGATATTTACTGGTCAGAATATCATAGAGACCATGCATTTTTGGCAAATATAATGCTGAAAAGTTCACCAACATTCTTAGTTTTGACTGGAAATTCTGATAGTTGTGTACTTTTACAGATATACTGCCATATACTCTGCTGCATCCTGAGAGATAGAAACCTAGCCTGTTCGTCACTAATATCAAAATCATGATTTCTAAGTGTACGGTTAAGTACATTGGATGTAAGACACTACATGTTATATGACCAGTTGAAAACAAAGGTAGTAGTCTGGCAACAATGTCCAGGCTATCGCAGTGTATACTTACATTAGCCAATGTTCACAGTTAGCAAATAGTGTATTCAGAATTTTTGTAAATCTACATAAGTTAGTTTAATGATTAAGATACACATGAGTGTTTATCAACTTACCGTACTTTCTCCTGATTTCATCTGTCTTGCTCTTCCTTTCAGCTCTCCTAAATCAAACATAAATAGGCTGATACATGTGCATTTACAAAAAACAAAATTACATTTCTTTAACAATTTGGAATATAAAAGAGACTATAAGAGACTTCCTAACATGAAAATGGACAGAATTAGTGTCTGTTTAGTGAGATTCTTTGGCCATCAATGGTCAGGGTCATTTTGAGGTGGGGTATATTTGTAGCAGCTGGTGGCCACTCCACTGAATACAGGAGGCAGTCATATACCATCCAGAACAGTTTGGTAAAGTGTCCTGCCCAAGAAAACAGACCAGTCCATTTCTCAGTCTCTTAAGAAAAACACAACTGTCTGGGTATAAAGCATTGGGCCATGCACCTCAGATCTATACTAGAGATTACGTCGGCCAACCCTCAACCTATTGAGCTATTGTCCACCTTCCCCACCCTTCTAACACAGCTAACTCTTTCTGGTTATTATATAGGGATAATGGAAAATAATCTTTTCTACTGCATGTGATTATCTTTTTTTCTTCAAAATAAATTTAGGAAACATTTAAAACAGAGGAATATTACAATGATATGCAAAAATATATGTATTTGTAAACTGTTGTCGACCAGCTAACCCTCAACATTACAACACGGGAGTAAATGTTTCCAATAATTCTGAGATTTGCAGTTTAAATTTTGTTGAAGGATTTGTTTAAAGATATGATATATTATTGCAGCCAGGTAACTCAAATATCAGGAAAGATACCTTATATCTTGCCAACTACCTCTGAAATATTAGAAAATTTGTACTGAGGTTTAATAAATTTGCTTCATCCTTCAGCTAAATTTTCTGAGACACATTTTGTTGGGATCAATTTAACCCATATTATGTGGTAATGAGGATTTTAAGAAAAAGAGAAAATTGTTTAATCTGGTATGAATGAATACCTTTCATCACTTTTAGCCTTGCGTTCCATCTTTTTCCTTTCAACTTTAGCCTCTTCTTTGGCATAACTGAAAAAGAATACAAAATAGTGCATCAGTACCACATGTCATAGCCCTTAACTCCTAGCCCTACTGAACACTTCACAGGTGAGCTTATCCACAACTAAGTTAGATAATGTAGACTAACAGTATAAAGTCTCCTATTCTGAAGCGCTTGCGATAAAATCACCAAATTAATCAGTATATCAACTTCATTATGGACATGAATTTGGCCTTTCCCTTTAGATGGATGGATATTCCTCTTGTAAATATACCAGATGAAATAGCCATGGCCTTCAATATTTGTGATCAATCAACACCCTTTTAGCCAATCAGGACTAAAATTACATCCACTTTAGACATTCTGGGCTAAAATTACATCTGCTTTAGCCATTCTGGACTAAAATTACATCCACCTTAGACATTCTGGACTAAAATTACAACCTCTTTACCATTCTGGACTAAAATTAGTTTTCAAACTCATTCATCATCAACAGGAGACATTGTGTAAAACAAACTTTCATCAAAACTAATAATATAATTTAAGATATTTTTTTCAAGAATATGAGGGGATGAGATGGATATACCTTGCTGAGCTGTTCTTCTTGCAGCAACAGCAACAGATACAGATAGCGATGGCCAGGACTATGATACCTCCGATACATCCCATCACAATGAGGAGAACTTTGAAGTTCACTGAAATGATCAAATATAAACAAATAAGTTTTCCCCAAACGTAATGAAATATCAATATACAAAAAATTAGAGTATGTCTGTAACCCAATTTCAACGTTTTTTTGGGAAAAGTTTGATGATTTTTCTTCACATGAATAAACATGATTTTTCATGTTTCAATTTGAAACACAGGTAAAATACATGAACAATGATGTTTGCTAGTTCTTTAAACTGTCAGAGACATAAATATATCTGTCATTATATTATAGGTACAATAGCTGAACATGAGATCATTTCATTATACTATACATACAATATGTTATCGAATCTAGTGTCTACACGTAATTATTTTGCTAAATATCACTCAGATTACTTTACAATTAAAAAGAGATATAACATCTGTTTTTTTCTATACTAACCCCAACAAACTCCCCAACGGGCATCATCCAGGGGGCAAAGTGAGGAGTGAGGCAGGATGTCTCCAGATGGATATAACAGACAGGAATTCTTTGATTTGCACCACATACACTGTAACAGTAAAAAACAGAACTTTTTAATATTTATATATATATATAATTATAGAACTTAAATATGCACATACATGAATAACACCAGTAAAACTGAAACAGGTTATACCAAGAACTTATCCAGGATTTTCCTTAGGTCCCTAAAGTTATGAATTGTAAGAGTCCTGGGACTCATACCATAGAGTAAAACTTTATTAATCTTGGGTGTCAATTGAAGGAGTTAAAATGGAGTTTTTTGAGGGTTAGGTAACAAGAAAAACTGAGAGGAGAACTCCTCCACTCCAAAAGGTCCCCAAACAGCAAAAATTCATGTATGCATGTTCTTAGCTATGTCATTAAAACTGGTTAATGAAAACATTGCAAATTGTGTACAGATGGATAACAATGGACATAACCTGATTGCATTGTGTCATTTTTGTCAGTTGACCTAAAACAACAGAGTTTTACTCAAAAAGAAAGGCTTTTTCAACCATCAGGTTCCTGCTAGCTGATTCTGCTGATTTAATAAATAATTTTATTCTTACCTTGGCCAATTTTAAACAATCATTACAACCGCTGGTCCGTACTGCACATTCTGTAAAAGTAAGCATTTCTGTATCATTAAGAATATTTCTAAATATAGGGATAATAGGGATTACACATGATGTTACTGAATCATCATTCATTTTTCTTTACTCACCAAATTAGAGAATAAAAGACTAAAATTGTACTTATTTTAAATTTTGACTTTCATTCCTCACTTTGTCATACACTCTGCCTACAATATTTCAAGCAATGAAACCATGATGACTGATGGACAATCAGCTGTAAAGCACTGAATAGCATGTGTAAGGCCTCCCATATCTTGTTCAGTGAAGTTATGCAGCCACTGTGCAGCTTGCTGTTACATGGACCCACGCCAACTCAAAATGATGCTGGCTGTACCTATACAAAGGATGGTATGATGAACCCCACAAAGTAATTATTTATTATGTAATGTAAAACGTAAATGTTTTCCTTTGTACAACCAGTTTTATATTGATAATGAAAAACATTTCATCATCAGCCCTGAAAAGTGGCAGTGAGACTGTTGGACATCAAGACATAAATAAAAGTTGATCTACTTTATAAATCTGTATCTTATTGTGTCTTATTACTTACCATTACAATTACAACCAGATTATATAACTATAAAGTGACTATGATAACATGCTATATTTAATATTGAGATGATGAGTCATGATCACCATTCATTGCTTCCAGTTATCATTATGTTATCATTATAATGTTATCACCAGATTGTGGAATCATTAGTGTTGTTAAAAAATGACATTTAAAACTGTAACCACTCAATTTATGTAGTTGAAATATATAATTTTGATAATCTTTTAAACCATAAATAAATGTAAACAAGCAATGGTCTTAGTTTTATCTTAATCGTTAATACCTGCTTCTGGAGTCATAGTGCTTGAGTTCACCCCAGCTGTCGTTTGTGGAGGTATCGTTGGTTTCTGAGTCGTGTGGGTTTTCGTCGTCGGAGCCTCTGTCGTTTGAGACCGTGTTGTAGGAGATTCCGTTGTTGGACTTCCAGTAGTCATTCCATATGAACTGCCCAGCAGTAAAATCATCAAACAACCAATTAAAAGCATTTTTAAATATTTCCTTGTTGTCAATTTTCCCCTAACGTATTTCCTTGACGGAAGAAACAACTTTCTGTTTACTAGGAGGAAATAGAATGCAAAATTTGTTACCTCCGGCGATTTACCACGTAAAGATAAATGAATGAAATATAGTTCTAAAATGATCGGACATGCATATTTTTTATTGGATTGCTGCTCACAAGACATTTTCACATTTTCGATGGTTTTACATTTCATTTACATCTAAACATTGAATATTATAAGGACACATTTGTAAAGTTTTAGCAATACAAATGCGTAGTGATATATTGACAGCCGTCATGTGATGATTATGATATTCGAGATAGAGATTTTCGCGTGTTGAAATGTGACTTATCAGAACTTTATTGATCTCGTTGTGAATTTACAGGACCTAATAGTTCAATTACACGGTTATTTGATCAATTACCAAATATAACCAGTGTAAATTGTTATTTGATGAAAATTATTTTGGAAAACAAACAAATGTTTTGAAACGACCCATTGGCATTGCCATGCAAGCGGCATCCTTGAGTTCATAGCATAGTAGTAACCACGGTCTTTTCACTGTACATATATTTTCCCCAAAAAGCCAATTTCTACCATAGATACGATCTATATATTGAAATAATTTCGATTGATGTTCCGAGTTTAAGTTACATGTAGTTTCATTTTCCATTATTCGTATATGATAATTGTCGAGACGCTCTGAATGTTATTAATATTTCGATACCTCTCGGCGTTTTTCTTAAAGATACACGCAAGTTGATTACAGGCCCAGCCGTGAATATGCCCCCTAAACGCAAAAGTGCAGGTAAAGTAGCAAAATCTGCAAAGAGGCAGACTACAACACAAAATGAATATGATGGTCCAACACCACCTAAGAAAGCTAAGCAAGGTGCAGACAAGAAAGGAGCACCAAGTAAGTCCTACATAGACTTTCGTTCGGGTATAAGGGTTGATTGCATTCCAAATACAGATGCAAGTCGATTCATGCAGTTTGTCACAGAAATTAACATAAGCTCTCGGGAGCTTGTATTTTGACAAATATGCAGTAGAATCAATAAATACTGGATACATTGTAAGTAACAAGATTTATATATTAACAGGTTGGGCACAGCCCCTCATGTGGGTAATAGTTGCACATTTGAGGGATAATTACTGCTTTGGGTTAACAATTAGTTTCAAATGCAGGGTAATTATTGTTTATAGTGAGAGAGTACTGATGAGTTCACATTATATAACACAAATACGTGGTGGCATGATTATGTAAATACTCGTGTTACTTGCATTTTCCTTCCATTCCACATATTATGTTATGTTTACAACATGTATATTGTATGACCTAATGCATCAAGTACTCCCTGTTACATTTCCCCCACTTTCTTAAATGGTACCTAACATTCCAAAGATGTACCCACTTATTTAACTATGAGATACAACCTCTGTAAGGCCAAGCAGGATAGCCCAGCGGCATCAACTATGGAGAGCTGTAATGCCCAACTGGCCAGCACAGCAGCATCAACTATGGAGAATTGTAGGGCCCAGCTGGACATCAGAGCAACACAAAGTATGAAGAGCAGTAAGGCCTTGCTGGACATAACAGCAATACAAACTAATAACTTGTTTGAGCCCTTGAATCTTTAATCAAACTTCAGTGGCTACAATTATTTGTTGTTATTTCCAGATTAAGGAGGCTTGAAGCATTATTAAAAATGGAGGTCTTATGGTCAGTAAAATCCTGTAATACACATGACCAGTTTTTACCTGATGTACGTTGGAGAACTTTCTCTATAGTAATTACCAGTAATCATGATTGTACCTCTTTTACTGTGTCTTCCTTGACAGGTGGATCTGTAGGAAAATTTGATCTGTCGTCTTATGTAACAGAAGAGGGCTGGAGACAAGCACTCAAGGATGAATTTTACAAAGATTATTTCAAGGGTATTGAGTCCAAGCTAGCTAGTGATTATGCAGCGGAAACGGAAGTGTTTCCATCAAAAGACTTCATTTTCAAAGCGTTTAATGATACACCATTTGACAAGGTATGTTGAGTGCTCAATAGTTTATGTTTTTGTTTTATCTTGAGTACTATGAGAGAACTTTTTATTGGCTAAACCATTTCCAGTCTTTATATTGAATTCTAAAAACTACAAACTGTAAGTTTTTGAAAAAAAATATCATTCTATACAGTCATCTTAAAAGAAATTATATGTTTTGAAACATGCCACAAAATTTTAACAGAATCTTGACTGAATGAACCTCAAAGATGATGGATTGTTTGAAATAAAAGAGACTTTCGTCCAATAGCTGTTAAGTTTTTCTTATTTCCATCATTAGAACATCTTTTCAAAGTATAATAGTACATTGAAACTTGAAATCACGCAACATAATGAAAAAAACACATATTGTGAGTTCTTAGAATTGGAGAGAACTTTGGTTTTTTATGTAATTTGATGTAATTCCATTTGCAGAGTTATTGCCCTTCTTTGACTATTGAATTTAGATGTTGATGATGCACTTCAGTGTTTTGACAATTTAAGTACTTCAGGATATATAGTAACACTGAATTCGTTCAGTTCATCTGAATGCAATCGTATATGAATTTGTTTGTTAGTCAAATGATATGTATAACATTAAACCTTTGTGTTGAGGACACTTAAATTTAATGGAAAAAATGGCATGTCCTAGGAAATATAAACAATAAATAACTAATAGAAATTATGGAGTCAATGTTAATCTCAGGAACTGTTAATCTTTTAACCAACATTACTTATAAAACTAAAATGGCATAAATATTTAGAGTATTTTATAGTTGTAGAAGGTAAGCCTTTTCAAGTGAAGCAATTTTGTGATACAGTTGTATTTCTTTAAAAAATACAGCACAAAATGTGGGATTTATGCAGAACTGCTGTAAAATTATTTTAAGATTTGTTTATATGTTTATATCTGTTAGATGGCCAATTATTTAAAAGATTTCTTTTTGAAATGTAACTGAAGACAGTATGATATCACTTTACAGGTGAAAGTTGTAATTCTTGGACAGGACCCATACCACGATAAAGGCCAGGTTAGATATTTACTTCATTATCCACCCAGTTTCTCAAATTTATTTGCTTTTGCCGAGAGGAGAAGCGTATGTTTACAACTTTTGAAAAAAACATGATCAAATGTGTTAGCTTCATACTCTCACCGTTACCTGTACACTAAGTACTGTCATGGTTTGACATTCACCCAATTCCTTATATAGTTCATATGCTCATTAATGTTTTGTGAGAATTGTTCCAACACATCAAATTATATCAGGGGGGAAAGGGAGTTGGTTGGAGTTGATGGGGAAGTGTGGTTATCAGACTTTTACTAGCAATTTATCCTGCAAATACAAATAAGTAGATAACTAAGTAACAATAATAACAATGACATTTGTTTTTAAACTAAAGTTAAAATTGTTAAAGTTGTAATTCCATATTAACTGTAATCAGTAACATCAACATCCTCAATACTTGAGGCGTTATGCCGTTACACTCACTATTGCTCTCTTCACCCTTGGAACATGTCATGGTAAAATGGAAGGCACAAGCAAAGTAATTTTGATTGGTTTAGAATGGGTTCCAGAAGAAAACTGACCAATCACAGGCTGATACACTAAATTGAAGATTACAAAGGAGCTACACCCAACTTCAAAGTCATTACAACATACCATTATGTGACCAAGAGATTTATTTAATGTATATCTAGTCTTGTCCACAAGGTGTTGCACTTGGAACCATCAATTTTACATGATATGTTACTGTGGTGCAGAGAGTGATAGTGAGTCTAACTTCTGGAAATAAGGATGCAACATCAAGTGCATTGTTTGTGTATTAATGCTGCTCCTCGCAAGTGTACACATACCCATCAGTATATAGTATTATCTGTAGTAGATACTAAGTAGCTACAGGTATCTATCAGTCCATAGTATTATCTGTAGTAGATACTAAGTATCTACAGGTACCCATCAGTACATAGTATTATCTGTAATATCTGTAGTAGATACTCTGTAATATCTAGTATTATCTGGTAGATACTAAGTAGCTACAGTAGATACTACAGGTAGTGCTACAGGTACCCATCAGTACATAGTATTATCTGTTGTAGATACTAAGTATCTACAGGTACCCATCAGTACATAGTATTATCTGTAATATCTGTAGTAGATACTAAGTAGCTACAGGTACCCATCAGTACATAGTATTATCTGTAGTAGATACTAAGTAGCTACAGGTACCCATCAGTACATAGTATTATCTGTAGTAGATACTAAGTAGCTACAGGTACCCATCAGTACATAGTATTATCTGTTGTAGATACTAATTAGCTACAGGTACCCATCAGTGCACAGTATTATCTGTAATATCTGTTGTAGATACTAAGTAGCTACAGGTACCCATCAGTACATAGTATTATCTGTTGTAGATACTAAGTAGCTACAGGTACCCATCAGTACATAGTATTATCTGTAATATCTGTAGTAGTTACTAAGTAGCTACAGGTACCCATCAGTACATAGTATTATCTGTTGTAGATACTAAGTAGCTACAGGTACCCATCAGTACATAGTATTATCTGTTGTAGATACTAAGTAGCTACAGGTACCCATCAGTACATAGTATTATCTGTTGTAGATACTAAGTAGCTACAGGTACCCATCAGTACATAGTATTATCTGTAATATCTGTGGTAGATACTAAGTAGCTACAGGTACCCATCAGTACATAGTATTATCTGTAATATCTGTAGTAGATACTAAGTAGCTACAGGTACCCATCAGTACATAGTATTATCTGTTGTAGATACTAAGTAGCTACAGGTACCCATCAGTACATAGTATTATCTGTAATATCTGTAGTAGATACTAAGTAGCTACAGGTACCCATCAGTACATAGTATTATCTGTAATATCTGTAGTAGATACTAAGTAGCTACAGGTACCCATCAGTACATAGTATTATCTGTTGTAGATACTAAGTAGCTACAGGTACCCATCAGTACATAGTATTATCTGTAATATCTGTAGTAGATACTAAGTAGCTACAGGTACCCATCAGTACATAGTATTATCTGTAATATCTGTGGTAGATACTAAGTAGCTACAGGTACCATACCCATCAGTACATAGTATTATCTGTAGTAGATACTAAGTAGCTACAGGTACCCATCAGTACATAGTATTATCTGTTGTAGATACTAAGTAGCTACTGGTACCCATCAATACATAGTATTATCTGTTGTAGATACTAAGTATCTACAGGTACCCATCAGTACATAGTGTTATCTGTAATATCTGTGGTAGATACTAAGGTACCCATCAGTACATAGTATTATCTGTAATATCTGTGGTAGATACTAAGTAGCTACAGGTACCGTACCCATCAGTACATAGTAATATCTGTAGTAGATAATAAGTATCTACAGGTACCCATCAGTACATAGTATTATCTGTAATATCTGTAGTAGATAATAAGTATCTACAGGTACCCATCAGTACATAGTATTATCTGTAATATCTGTGGTATCCAAGTCTATTAAGCAGGAAGCAGAGGATTTGTTATTGTTGGTAAATGATGGTCATTAAGTCTGTTAGACTAAACCAGCCTTCGAAAGAGTTCTGAAGTAAATATGCTCTATCTTCTATTCCCTGCCATAATGTTTTACATGGTTTATTTTCCATTGAGATGTCTAGTAATTGTATCTTAGTTCAACAATCCCTTGATTATGTACCTAAGATATTGTAAAGAAAAATGCACCAAAGACACATGTCACTGCTTCATTAAATACCCTCTTTTTATGTATTTTTCCCAGGCAATGGGAATGGCATTTTCTGTACCACTTGGAGTAAAACCACCACCTTCTTTGAAGAACATATACAAGGAACTAACTAATGATAACAAGATCCAGAACTTCAAGGCCCCTAATCATGGTAATTTAGAACCCTGGGCAAGGAGGGGAGTGTTTTTACTCAATGCAACACTAACAGTCGAGTAAGTAAAACCAGAGATTATTTTTTCAAAGTTAAAATTCCATTTGATAGGTTAATATAAAACAATGATAAAGGGTTTTCAGTATAAACGCCTTATTATCAATAGTTGACTCAATAAAATGTGTCACCTCTGTGTAAAGTAGACAGAGATGACTTAAGTTCAAAGTAATCAAGATTTTAATGTTAACATGAGGATTTGCTGAGTATGCATTTTCATGAAATTTATCTCAAGGGATGATATTTCTCAATCTCACACAGGAGTTTGATTGTTTGAGTAATTTAACATACAACCTGTTATGAAGACATCCTCTTGCCTCTGTAAGCTGTCTTAGAAAGGCAAAACATTTCAGTTCAGTATCAAATATGTAAAGAAAGCAAGGGTTGATTTTTCCAGAGGAAAAACGTTTGCAGGGGATATTAAATTGGGTTCTGTCTGAGAAGTCTTTTAGCATTATACTACACCTTGAACACTGCCCGACTGATCTTACATGCTATGCATTAAGGATTCTTGATTTAATCTGTAATTAAAATCATTCAGTAGAATCATTAGATCATTGTGTATTATAAACATGCTTGAATTATGGAAAAGGTTTTAAACATTAACAATGAAGTGTTTCATACTTTCAGAGCTCACAAACCAAACTCTCATGCCAAGTATGGCTGGCAGACTTTTACGGACCAAGTAATAAAAATCATCAACGAGAAATGTTCAGGTGTTGTCTTCCTGCTTTGGGGAAACTTTGCACACAAAAAGGAGAAGCTAATTGATGGAAAAAAACATGTTGTGATCAAAACTGCTCATCCTTCGCCGCTATCATACAAAAAATTTGAAAATTGTAAGTGTTTCTCATTGGTTGATAAAGCACTGGTGACTAAAGGACAAGACAAGATGGACTGGTCACTTCCTGATGGTTTCTTTAGTCTAAATTAAAACAAAGGACAAGACAAGATGGACTGGTCACTTCCTGACGGTTTCTTTAGTCTGAATTAAAACAAAGGACAAGACAAGATGGACTGGTCACTTCCTGACGGTTTCTTTAGTCTGAATTAAAACAAAGGACAAGACAAGATGGACTGGTCACTTCCTGACGGTTTCTTTAGTCTGAATTAAAACAAAGGACAAGACAAGATGGACTGGTCACTTCCTGACGGTTTCTTTAGTCTGAATTAAAACAAAGGACAAGACAAGATGGACTGGTCACTTCCTGACGGTTTCTTTAGTCTGAATTAAAACAAAGGACAAGACAAGATGGACTGGTCACTTCCTGACGGTTTCTTTAGTCTAAATTAAAACAAAGGACAAGACAAGATGGACTGGTCACTTCCTGACGGTTTCTTTAGTCTGAATTAAAACAAAGGACAAGACAAGATGGACTGGTCACTTCCTGATGGTTTCTTTAGTCTAAATTAAAACAAAGTGCTTGGTTTAAAAGAGAAGAAACGAAGACGCAGACTTCTGTAAAACTGAAGTAAATGCACAATACATTTTCCATGGTAATTTTGGAGAGCACAACCACAATTTTATTTATATGTTCTTTTATTTTAGATATATTTAGAGCTTTGTTCTGTTCATGAAAACAACAAAACTCTTTAGATATTACCAAATGTACCTTTATCTTCTTCACAAGATGTTAAAATTTGCTCCAATTCTTTGTGGATCAGCCCCTTGTTGATTAAGACATCTCTAGCAATTTCAGTCTGCTGTGATTACCAAGTATTCAGTATATGGAGACAAGTGTCATTGAATAGGACTGCAACTTGGATCCTAAATATCATTATATTATATATATTCATGTTATTGTGATTGATTTAACAGTATATCAGTTTCAACAGGATACAGGACTCTGAAATCAAATTTTGTGTTTCCTGTCTTGCAGTCAATTTTCCCTGATTGTTATCATATTGATCCAAACCAGGCTGGTTTATTATAATCAGTGTTGACATCTTCAGTATTCTGTGTGCTGAAGTAGTGTTAAAGTGTTTTTCATTGTTTTTTTATTTTTATATGTAAATCTCTTGTTATGGGGAAATAAATTAATGTGTTTTTGTTACCAGTCACATTCTATTGCTGTCTACTTGATGGTTGACCTATGTACAGGATCAGTGTGATCGCGATCAGATAAATAACTAAACTGTAAAACTTCATAATTTGTATATTTAAACCACATTTTTTAGGTTTGTAATACTACAAATTAAAGTTACGATTTGTTTGTAGCTAATCTTTTTATTTTTTAAATTTGAACTGCTGTAAATAATTTATCATGGTATTCATATTTTTTATTGTGTCGTTTGCAGCTAGTCCACTAAAGTGGACAATCATCATGTGAATATACAATGTATGTATATCATCTTTCATTCTAAGTTAGGGTATCAAACACAACAGCTTCGGAGTAAGTTGATATGGATTTATTTTGAACCATAATATATATATATTACTATTTCTATCTCATTGGTTAGAGGTATGGAAGGATCCAACCAATATTGGAGCAGTAGTTTGGTTAGTTGAATGCCAAAATCCACGTGGCATGCCTCCCACGTGATAATAAATTTGGTGTTGATGGAGTTGGGGGTTAACTTAGCCTGTAAACCCTTTGGGACTGTTCTGTTGTTCACACAACTAAATTTGGCAAAATTCCAGATTGTTCTGGCCAGGCAATTGATCAATAGAGGGGACCCTAAGAAATCCCACCCAATTATATGGATCAAGTCAGGGAGATGTTCAAGGAAGATCTCGAGTTAAGTGACAGCTCATCGGATGTGTCCAGGTCAACCCCAAACACCTCTGAGGACGGTCATGAGAATGCTGATACTAGAGACTACAGAACTTATCACTATATATCTGAATCAATGTCTACTTTGTGCCTTGACGAACCTGGTCAGTTATAAGGGTAATCTGTTAGTTTATCGCTATATTAACTTTGTAATGGTATGGATCTCATAAATTTATCACTAATGCTATAGATTTTCTGTACAGGTTTAGATTTATGCATATACCTAAACATTAACATTTAGTATGAGATGTCACGTTTGAAATTGTTTATGTCATAATGTCCATCTGCTGTTTATAGAATCGGGTACCGCATTTCATGTACTTTAGACCCAAATATTTGTTAATTTGTCGCCCTGATGAAGCCCGGAGAGGGCGAAACTGGTTGACAAAGCTGTTGTGATTGATTCCCTAACTTAATTTTCCCTACTGCGCAATCACCATGCATACTTCCTGGTATCTAGCGGGGGAGTAAACGAATCCTCTATTCTACCTACGAATCTGTACGGCATTGAGGGCCTATTGTATCTCTGTATCATGTTAAACTAACATACATGTATTCTTATATTTTGTAATATCAATGTGAACATATTCATTAGTATATGTAATGACATCAATAACAGAGCAGTTACATGTAAAACCTTAACACCGACCAGTGCCATGAGTATCAGAGGCAAACCTGGATGAAACAGAGTCTGTGTAAGTAGATCTGGGTTGATCAATCATAGTCTGGTTTTTAGAAGATTTCATGCAGAGTTCATACATAATATATATATCTTAGACAACATATGTATCATTAATCCATGCTCCTTGTTAATGAGTCCAAAAAGAAAGTAACAAAACTGAATATCACATCACATATTTATGTACATTCTATACACATTTTTATTGCTATGATCATCTGTGATATCTATAAAATATCTCTTGTGATGAGTATGTTGTTGTTGTCAATATGCTTTATCTTGGTCAACATTTTAGAGTAGAAGTGGTATAATGAAAGAAAATATCTCAGATACCAATATTCAAATAAAAATAGAGGTAGGACACAGATCTATTTCAGCTATTCTCTTCCATGAGTAGTGAAAAGACAACATGACATTTCGGAGTCCTTTGCTTGAAGTTGTGGGTGATGGTGAAAGATATTCACTGTTATAATAACTTAATGAGAGGACTGATGGAATTATATGCAATGACATGATACTTGAAAGCACCATTTATACAAAACAGAGTTACCTTCACTGTTGTGAAATTTCTATTTCTGGATAGCCTCTCCAACCTATGTTAATTACACGGTACAGTTGATTCGACATTCAAAGGCATGTGCCAATTATCACGTTTTTCTTGTAAGAAGTCGTCAACTGACTGACAAACTCGTAACACAAAAGTTCAAAGATGCAGGTTGAAAAAATTATAAGGTTTATGGTTTTCATAGTGGTCTCATTGAGAAATGTCCTATCCCATTGTGTGAAATGAAGCTGGACATTTTTGATTCTCGTCAAATTGCCTGTAGGTTCCATCTTGTTCTCATTTGAGAACGTGACATTATTTACAGGGGTTGACCAAGGTTTACATGAAGCAGAAAACGTTTACTCTTCCGAAGACTCTGGTCTCACTCTCATTCGCTCTTTTTCAGGAGTCTCCGTTTTAATCTTTCTTTTGTACATATTTTGACCTAGTTTTGTTGAAATTTGAATTTGGATTATGTTAATGTTTATTATATTCTTGTTATCATAACCATTCAAAGGCAATACGTCTGGAACAAAAATCCCGCTTTTCTAACAGGCAATTAAGGGAAGGCGTATGATTATTACAAGATTATCAATTTCACATGCAAATTGGGACAGAAAAGGCACAGATGCAGTATTGTGGATAAACATGAGACGAAGCATTCAGAAACAAGCCGCTATTTATATAACCTCAGCTCGCTGAAAAAGGATGCCTTATAAGTAGTCTAAAAATCTACCTAACGAAAAAATAAATGTATGGTTTGGTTTGCTTTGCTGAAAGTCCTAACCCCGCTAGCGTAAGCTAAGACTGCGAAATATCCGTGTTAGCCTTCTTTTGATAGTTGAGCTGAAGTCTCTTTATAGTGCTACAACACCGAAGTATACTGCCGAAACGCCACAATGTCCAGCACTCCGAGATCATCTGATCACGTGCCGACGTGTGAACCAGTTGTAACAATATCGTAATGCAGAACGTTCAACAGCAACAACCATTTTTCAAACTCTGGCATGTATCGACCTGGGGCAGAGCGTAATCTCAAGTTTAGTCGCCTGATGCAATTCTTACATTCTACCTGCAGGGTAGCTACATCATAAAGTGAGGTAATTTCTTGAGAAAACTGTCATCGGCCGAAAACAGGAAATAGTAAATTGGTAAAAAAAAATGTAACGTGTTTAAGATGGAAAATCATTTGCTGATGAAAGTCCGATTTTTTTTTTGTATTTGTAGTCAAAGCTTACCTTTCTAATATCTTTGTGGAGCACCATTGATCTACATCGGCCCGCCAGTGCCAGCAAGATCAGGATAAAACAGGTTGGAGGTATCGGTGGGATGTGATTGTCCTCCGCGAGCAGAAAATGAACCCATCAACTAAGGACATACTTTTGAGTTGTTTTTTAAGTGTTGAGGGGAGATCTCACTGTAACAGGAGTCTCGAGGTCGGTATTGACCACACTGCTGACCCAACACTTTGGTAGGGGCTTCTTTGCTACTTGGAGGCGGTCATTGTGCTGGCTTTGTAGTCTCATTATCATTGTACTTGTACGAGTCTCCTTGAAGAACTGTTTTTGTTTGTTCACATTTTGCCCTAGTTTTATCGATTCAAATACATCAAATGTAATTAGAATTCTTCTCGGTATATTTTTGCGACTGCTTCTGCTTTTGGACGTTTTTGTCCCCATAAGAATTCCGCAAAGTTTTGCTTTAACTTTCAGTTATTATGTATTTAGAAAAAAAAAGAAGAAAGACAAGCACAGCCCATAAGAATTCCCAGAAGTATTGTTTTAACTTTTAATTATTATGTATTTAAAGAAAAAAAGACAAGTACAGCAAATACCCTGGATGAGTCTGCGCCAAGTATGAAAATACCCCCTTTTATGGATCACAAGGTGCAGTGTTCATTATTGAAGAATATTGTATGTTTAACCAAAGAAATTGTCTTAGTGACACCACTAATTTCATCCTAAGCTTTAACAGGCATACAGAAAACAAAAAATGGGCAATCTCGGACCTATAGAAAACAAAGAATGGGCAATCTCGCACCAACAGAAACAACAGAAAGATTTCATTATCAATGGCAATTTAAATGTAGTTCGGTATCGGGACGAAATTTAAGCGCCCGTCGATGTTCCATTTTTACACCGTGAATGAGCAATCACACAAGTCACGTGGCAAGCAGAACAATGTCAAAGGTTCGGATTACCCAACAAAATCCCCAGATCTGACCCAAAGTGTACATCTGGAATGTTCTTCGAAGATTAGTACGTCGTTGGCCAAATCCGCCCTCCAACTTGCCGGAACTGGCACAGGCAATGAACGAGGAATGAATGGCTGTCCAGGCTCACACCATTCGAGAATATCAGGCTCTATACACCGGCTTTACCATATTTCACTGAAACCTGATATAGCTGCCGCCGATGCAAAACTTTAAAAAATTGTTAAGTATATTTGTTTACAAGGTGATGATCGTAATCAACAAGTGTATTGAAAGAACCATTTAAACACCGGGTTTTGCAGATGTAATGCTTAATGATGACGTTAACTTCATTATCAATTTTTTTATCCTCCTTTCTAAAGTTTCTTTGTTGATGGTAAAGGAATTTGGAGGGCATCTTTGGGTTAAACGAACTTGTCCATCCTTACCATACTACAAATACTCAACACAAGCAATTTCCAGAAAAACCGTGAGGATTCATCATGGATGTGTACTATGTCTCCTAACCCTAACCCTAAATCTTTCAAACATCAGATCCAGTCGTTCGATGAAACTCCCTGAGCGATGTTAGATACTCCTTCCTCCAACGTGTCCGGAAACATTGTAAAAGAATATTATGTCCATTCAAATGACTGTTCATTTCAGTATGGTATGTCGATGGATCTTCCAAATCCACATTGTGAGATAACGTGACTAGGTACGGAAGTGACGTCATCTCCGCCCGAACAGCAGGTATGATAGTGTCAAGGGTTGAGGATCAGCATAATCTGTAGAAATACAAGGGAGCGGACGAACATTTACATGGCTTCTATATCTGTCGCCAATGTATTAAGCATGGCAATTTCGACCGGAGATCTACCGAGTACTTCTTTTTGTGAGTCCATTCAGCCGTTCCGACCATACCCCGTACCAGGATGATAGATTGAGGATAAATTTCCATTCTCTATCATGGTTTCCCAACAGTTCTTGTTTTTATGTTGATTGACAAAAATTTTCCATGCGGTAGTATTGTCAGAAATCATCGTTTTTGGTGAAGACCTATGACTTACAAAAAGTCTTTAAAAAGCTATTGCTCAAATGATCTTTCGGTAGTAGGGTGGATCAGCCGGTTCAAAGGACTTCCCGATAATCTTTCTACATGCATTTGTGAATGACGCTCTTTACACATTGGCGAATCATTGGTATCCAAAAGATTTCTTGTACCGGGGTTACAGTTGAATTTAAGCCGACATGCGCGTGGGCAACGTAAGCAACCAACATTAAGCTCTGTCACATGGTGCTCTGTTGGAAGTAAAGTCTTTGTTGTCTCACAAGTAATGTTGGCTTTCTCGTTTTTGAAATCATGCAGTCAACTTCCCTCAACTTCATACTTGCTACGTCTAATTCGTTCTTGCTCAAGGAGTGTAATCTCTTGGGGAAGTTCCCTTTACGATATATATGTATACAAATGCTATCACTCTAAGATTGTACGAAAGTGAATAGCACCTTTTAATACTTATATTGTAGTTAGATAGAGTAGAGCCAAACAATGAAGTAAACTGAATTATACTGCTGTTCCGTCCTTGTAGGACTTGTCAGTGATGCTAAGGACCTAAATTCGGAAGCCCAAGAGGCGATTAAGGAAAATCCAGAGTGATCGAAGGAGACGTCGCTAGATGGGGAGGTGCAGCAGATCTAATGTAGTACCGAGTTTATGCCTTTACTAATGTCTGTAAAGTAAAACTGTTTATCGTATTTTTTCTCTTTTTATGCATCGATGTTATCATTGATGTCATTTTCTTCATCAATCGAAATTGTATTGCCGTTAACGGTACATGTTTAAAGTGACGCGTGTTTCGTGTCATTCCTCTCCCACTTTGGCCACTTGTTTTTATCACTCAGTCAGTTCGGTCCATTCCACGCTGAAAACTTTATAACCACTTTCCCAAAACGACGCGACTTGCAATGTCATTTTCCTAGATCCTAAATCCTCTGTAATAAATGCTCTCCTTCATCGAGTAGAATATTGGCCAAGGAACATTGTGTGTTTGACCATACTGGCGTAACTGCAGTCTTTAAAATAACATTATAAGGAGTTGTTACAGCAGACAAATGTGACATTGACGATTTGCCCTTTTCTGACTTCGTTTAGAAGAGATCCCAAATGCATTGTGAGGAAAATACGAAACTGACAAGCTAGTGTTTATGCTTTTATTAATTACCTTTTTGTTTGAGTGAACGACTGCGTTAAACAACTTTGAACTACAAGATTTAGTCCAGTCGCTTGATTAGAAGTTATTGATTCATTACATTTAACAACGTCGTTAGTTTAAAGAGTATTGAACAAATGAATTGTTTCAATACATTTTTATAGTTAGATATTGTAGAGTCCAACAATGAATCAAACTGCATCATACAGCTGTTTCGTCCTTCTAGGACTCGTGACTTATGCTAAGGGCCTAAAGTTTGATGTTTATACCTGTAAATAAGATATCAAAAGGTTGATCCGTTATTACACAGATAGTATTAAAATTAGCGTTATTAAAATCCATCCTCGCCGATACATCACCCCTACAATATTTAGATTCAATCAGTTATTAACAATGACCAGTATATTTCACTTCCAGTCTTATTCACTATCGTAAATAAATAGGCTGAATCTGGTGCTGAAATATATCATTTTGATATTAAACTACTATGTATGTATTTTCTGTATAAGTGTTTACAACATTATGCTGCCCGGCCTTCACACTGCAACAGTAGCAATAACGGCTACAATGGGTCGTCATACTCAACGTACTCGGCGTTCTTGAATGTGTTTTTCTTCAGGAAGGCAACAAGCTTTTCCGCTGAGGTATCACAGGACAACACTTTACCCTCGTTGTAAAAATCTGCAATGATAGTGTGATCAATCACTTAAGGTATACATACATTTGATGTCACAATCGGAACTATTTCATTGAGAGCTTGTCCGCTTATCACGTCGATAACTTCTTCAAAACACACCTTTCGATTCAAATTACACGGAACACTGAACGTATTTTGTCAGAATTATGTTTTGTATTTTACTATTTAGATAAATATCTACTATTGTACAACCAACAGGATTACACTGCCCTGCAGGTAGGGCGTAAGAATGGTATCTGCTAAACCTACTGAGTGATGGAAAGAAGCGAATTAATTTAAGATTTTTACATTTTCTAACTTCTACCTAATGCCTCCTTTTTCACTTGTCACCTTCAGTTGTGTTCCTGTGAGAACGGCTTTGGTTTCATCCTCGAGTCGAGACTTACCAGAGTCTCTTTAAACATGGTAGTAGATTCTTCCTGCTTAACGTTCAGCATTGTGGTAGTGTATAATGTGGCCTGGTTGGGTGCCCTGCTTAGGACCTTAGGCAGTATACTTCAGTTTGGTAACACTATAAAGCCGGCTTCAATTGCATACTAGCACACAGAGGCTTACACGCATACATTCAACACATTCACACATCTCGCGGGAGGTCGCGTTCATAAATTACCCTGGCTGTTGATAGGACATCAACCAATAGAATCTATACCAAACTCATCATACGTCTAGGTATTTAAGCTGGTGTTTCTCTCAGAGTCAATAATCGATCATTACGCTGTAAACTTATTACAAATATTGTTTTTTGTAATCAGTGTTGTAGGAACTAGTGATGAAGCTCGATAAATGTTAACTACAGCTCTGTGCATTCCATTCGAACTATCTAATTTCATTTTTCAACATCTCATTTTTGTTTTGAACATCGCTTTCGATGTCCATCTCTTAATCTTACTATCATTTTAGACGCTCTTTGCACTTTATATTGTAATATAGGAGACATAACCTGGACCAGATTGTTACTTCACGTGCTTGCATTTTTGTTGTTTCTACATTTAACAATGAAATGTCCCTATTAAGTTTTCAATTCGTCAGACTGTGTTATTCGTCGTCTAACGATTTCGTTCAGTATCTTTAATGCTTTATATGGTCATGCTTATACACCGGTTAAAATTTCACGTGTACCCATTTAGACGGTCAATCGTTAGCTTGGGGAAAAATTGTAAATCCAGTCATGAATTATATTTTTGTTACGGAACCAACAGACGCGATGTGTCATAAATGCTGATTTATCCTGAGCGGAAATGATATCTGTGCAATATCGTGCGAACACTTATGGATAATGGTGACTTTTAACTACGTATCAGTATACTGCTCATTGTACATGAAAGAAACTTCTCTGGCAGTAATTGGAGAGTATTGTGACAAGAACAAGTTGATATGGAATAAACATCACTTGGTTGCTATGATATTGTAATGGTAAATATTTGAGTTAGGGTTAATGGCATTTAACGTACGAGTTGTGACTTGGTGTATCTGAGATAAAAATAACTTATAGTGCTTACTTTTGAGGTCACCCGCTAACTCATGGTTAGACGACTTGTCACGTACATTGGCCAGCATATCTGTATCACATGGTCCAGGCGAGTAGCTCAGGACCCGAACAGAAGGATCCTCAGAAACAAGGACACGGAAAAACATGTCTCTTGCCGCCTTAGCTGTAAAACAGTCAATAAGAATGATCAACTTTTATTACATTTAATTTCATTTATCCAACTATCAGAACTAATTTGGGAATTAAAACATTTAAATATTAAAGTAGAGAAATTAAGCATTTATGATAATAAAAATAGAGAAAATGAAACAGTACAATAATATAATAAAGAAAGTATAACACTAGAATAAACAGAAAATAAAACCCTATTATAATGTATAAAGAAAATAAATTATATTAATAAAATTAAGGTAAAACCCCACTATAATAAAGAAAAGAGAAGATAAATCATTATTATGATACAATAGAGAATATATATATTACGGAAGTCTACGGCTACGATATGATAATTCCTCTAATAAATAGATGACAAATCCGTCTAACAGCTTACAAATAACTAGTAAGAATGATTAAAAGGGAACATTTTACCTACATACTGCATTGTCTTATTTTCCCTGAAGAGGCAGAAATCACTTGCGCAATGACAGTTGAAATTTCACTATGACACAATACTTACAAGCGCAGTAGCCTTTGACACATTACTTACAAGCACAGTAGCCTTTGACACAATACTTACATTCGCAGTATCCTTTGACGCAATATTTAGAGGCGCAGTAGCCTTTGACAAAATACTTACATTCGCAGTAGCCTTTGACACAATAATTACATTCGCAGTAGCCTTTTTCACAATACTTACAGACGCAGTAGCCTTTGACACAATACTTACATTCACAGTAGCCTTTGTCACAATACTTACAGGCGCAGTAGCCTTTGACACGATACTTACAGGCGCAGTAGCCTTTGACGCAATATTTAGAGGCGCAGTATCCTTTGACAAAATACTTACATTCGCAGTAGCCTTCGACACAATACTTACATTCGCAGTAGCCTTTTCCACAATACTTACAGATGCAGTAGCCTTTGACACGATACTTACAAGCCCAGTAGCCTTTGACACGATACTTACAGGCGCAGTAGCCTTTGATACAATACTTGCAGGCGCAGTAGCCTTTGACACAATACTTACAGGCGCAGTAGCCTTTGACACAATACTTACAGGCACAGTAGCCTTTGACACGATACTTACAAGCCCAGTAGCCTTTGACACAATACTTACATTCGCAGTAGCCTTTGACACAATACTTACATTCGCAGTAGCCTTTGACACAGAATTTACAGGCGCAGTAGCCTTTGACACAATACTTGCAGGCGCAGTAGCTTTTGATACAATACTTACAAGCTCAGTAGCTTTTGACATAATACTTACAGGCGCAGTAAATACTTACAGGCGCAGTAGGTACTCATGGTTGGATAGGGTACTTTGGAGTTGTCAGACGTTATGTTTACGATAAGCCGACTCTTCGTTTCGCGGAACGTTTCGAAAAAGGCAGAGTTAAGTAAAATCATACCAGTTACATTTATATCAAAGAACTTCTGAAGAGACTTAACGTCTGTCATTTCCCAGGCACATTTTGACACATCTCCAACAGTTGCACAGTTATGAACAACGATTGATTGCTCGAAATCGGACACTTTCAAAGCATAGTCATTCAAAACATCTACGAATAGGCGATCAAATACCATCTGCTCAAGTAGTCCTTGGTCGTATTTACGGCATCCAATCTGTACACCTGGAAATGATTTCATCAGTTCAGCTGCAATGATTTCTTGTGCAGCATTGTTTCGTGATAGAAACAGGAAGAACGATGAACGTGGTAATGCGGCTACCAGCTTAGAAGCTATACTTTTACCGAGGCCACGACTGGCCCCAGTTACAACTACAAAACTCTTCTTCTCTAACAGACCGGATTCTGAGTCAGCCATTCCGTTGCAGTCACAAGTACAACTGTGGACAAAGAGAGCATACTATTGATTTACGATAGTGTACAAGGCGGTGTAGAGTGTAATAAGAACCACGTCAAATTATGACCGGAGAGCCAGGAACATTTACGGAGCTGTTTTCCCCAAGACTTCAACGAGAACTAGATTATGACTCAACTCAAACATTTGTCCATGCTAAATTCAAATATTATATTCAATTAGGACTCTCTGTATCGACATGTTATGTCCATTCGGGTGTCAAAATGCTTTCCGTGTTAGGTATTTATCAATACTATATCGTATTCTTGTCTGTTATAAACTGTCATAACGAACACCAGACAGTGCACACACTCTCTACTGACGAAGAAATAACATATTCATAACATGTTCATAGCGAGTATAAAACTGAAATTTTGCTTCATACATCATACCATAACACACCCTACTGTAGTCGATTTCGGATCGTTCAAACATCTGTCAAGTAGTTCAACAAACGTATACACTTATGCCAGTGTTTAAATTGTCGGCAGCAGACACCGTCAGACAGGTTATGTAAATACTGACGTTCGGAACAACGTCATTTAATGTTATTTCAGGTATCTATATATGTATCTATTTAAAAATAATTGGCTTTTAGACTATAATCAGCTGGAATATATATTACAGCACAGCCTACACAATACTGAGTCGGCGATCAAACTGATCAAGATTAATATGTTGGAGGAAGAATACCGTTCGACTAATTATTAATTTCTGTTTTTCAAATGTCAATAACAATATATAACTTTATTGACTGACACGTAGTTGCATGTGACCGTATTCCTTTATATAAAATTACCCATTGTTCTCTTCGTACTTTCTGATAAATGTCAGTCTTTCTTTATTAAGTTTTATCTTATACCGACTTCAATCGTAAACATGTTCGCCCTCATATGACCTTAGCTGGTCATCACATGAAAAGACTAAAGCCAAAATTACTCCTGAAATTATTAAACGGATTTGGTGAAAGTTTTAGAAATGATCACTGGTGACAATTAGATATATAATGTAATAACCCTGTAGAAATATAAATGTACTGGTAGTAATCACTCGATGTCAAACCTTCGGAACCAGATCTGCACTATCTCATGAAAGTTTACACGATCATGTACCTGCCTCTCGGAAACACAGATGTCATTCTTACATAACCGTAGATATTAATTAGGACTTTAGTTAATATACAGCATAATACATAACAATACTAAATTTACAAGTGAAACAGAGGTCATCAATTTCGGCACAGACAGACAAAAGTGGCGATCCACTTTTGCCTTTCTTCATCCTTGCCAAAATACAGCTTATATCTTAAGACACTGACCATGTATTCTCTACTTATCCTGCAATTGGCGCTGCCATTGTCGGAACACACATGCCACATATAGTTTTACTGTATTCAGCCGTGACGGAAAACAGCAGTACTTTATTTAGCACGTGCTTTTATTCGACAGAATTACTCTCTGAATTTCATTACGTTTATAAATAGTTGTTGAAATAAACGGTTATACAGGTTGTAATGATTTGTGAAAATTCATGAAATCGCTGTTGTATCCGATGAAGTTTGGAACTATGTTTCCATGCGGAGCAATTATGTTGGCGTACGTCATCAGGCAAAATTCAGCGTAATTCAACGTCAGGTAAACAAAGATTGAACAACAAAACGGTTGAAGTATTAATGGTCTGGTTTTCAATAAGTGTTGCAGGATAGATAGAATACATGATCAAATGTAAGCTGTACTTTTGTTCGGGACAGCAAGACAAAAGTGGGCGCCACCTTTGTCTTCCTTCATCGTCGCCAAAGAACAGCTTATCATAAGACACTGAACAGGTAAGTATAACGTTGTTTGCCAAAAACAAGTTCGTAAAAGATGGTCGTAAACTGACATTGGTGCAGCACGTTTGAATTGAAATTTGATACTGAAAAAATATTTTAACTTCAGTACTTAGTTGTACGTCCCCTGGTTCTTAAAACATTGTGTATTCTTGCAAGCAAACTGATATTAAGATGTTTAATGAATTGAACTGGCAAACTTAACCAGATGTCTTTAACAGCACATTTTAAGTTGTGGGGGAATACGGATTTCACTGTCTTTGAATCAGTAATTTCAGCACTTGTCGTGCAACGTACAAATTCAGTTGAGTTTAAATCCGGACTGCGCAGGTCATAGGAGGGCAACAAAAAATAATACAGAGCTTCGGTCTTGGATATTAGAGTGCCTTATTGTATCATAATTGTAAAACTCGATTGAAGTTAAATAAACAACAGTTATAACACAGAGAAAAAATTTCAACGTCAGATGTTAATGTAGAGTAATAAAGATACAGGAATACCTTTTCGATGTCTTAATTTTCGGATCAAAGCGTAATAAAGGCTGAAAATGGTGTACCTAGTATAGGTCAGCTAATTCTAATATCCTTAAACGCGGATGGGCCACACGGCCAACATTGTTATTTTTCATTTTTTTCTTTTTACATTTTTTTCAAAATCCCACGTGAAGATTGTTGATTATTTGTTTGTAAGGTTTTTTGCTTTTTTTTTTTTTTTTTTGTTCAATCTATCAGGTGAACATTCAGAGTCGACTGTATTCCGATTGATGTCCTCTACTTGTATGTTATACTTACCTATGTTTGTATACTAGATAATGGGTAATTCCTTAGAGGATTATAGGGCGTCAATCGGAAGGTTTAACGGTAGTATCTACTCGTTTACGTCCTCATGTAAAATATCTTGGAACCCAGCATATTTCCTTTTATTTCTCTTAACATTACTTAAAGACATGACTAAGATATATTCCATATGGATTTTCCAACATGTTTATCATTGTCTAGATATATGTATATCCGGTTTTTATAGTGCTGACTTTCCCTTTCTATTTATTATCTTAATTCTAAGTGGAGATGTTGAAACAAAACCCTGGTCCTGACAATCATGGCAACTTTGACTTGAGCTTACTCCACTTAAATACTAGAAGCATTAGACATACATTTTCTTTTCTCGATTCTTTTATCAGTGATTTTGACATTTTGTGCTTTTCGGAGACACATAGACGATTCAGTCGTAAGTGATTCTCCTTCTATTCCTGGCTATTCCACTTCTATACGTAAAGATAGAAATGCTTTTGGTGGAGGTGTTCTTATATATTTTTCAGATTCTATTAAATTTTGTCGCAAACTCGAGTTTGAACCGGCAAATCTAGAATGCATCTGGGCGGAAGTTATGTGCCACAATACACGTATCATGGTTGGATTATTTTATAGACCACCAAACTCCAGAAACTCTATCAAAATTTCGAGTGGTGCATTGAGACTGTCTCTGATTATTGTTCTGATATAGTTATCCTTGGCGATATTAATGTTGATATGTTACACAGAAATAATAAGTTAGATACATTAGTAACCAACTTTTACCTCGTAAACGTTATTACCGAGCCCACTCGTGTAACCACTGACACAGCTACACTTTTAGATCCTATATTTATTTCTTCGGATATTAAATGTCTCGATAGTGAGACATTCAGTGTAGACAATACTGTTAGTGATCATAAAGCGACTTTTATAAATCTATCATTTTCTTATAATTGTAAAACATCTTACGAGAGATTTGTTGGAATTATAATAGGGCAGACTACATCGGACTGAATGGTTCGTTATCATCAGTAGATTGGCACGATTTAATTTCCAATGCACCTACTATCGATTGTGCTGTTTCCAACTTCACTAGGCAATTTTTAGATATGGCTAGAATCTTTATACCAAATTCTACAGTTACTATCCGTCCCACCGACAAACCCTGGTTCGATTCGGTTTTACGTAAACACTGTTGTATAAGGGACAGACTCAAACAAAAGGCATTACGTTCTAAACGCCAAGATGACTGGTCTTCATACAGGGGTATGAGAAACAGAGTAAATAATATGAAAAAGAAGGCCAAGGCCGATTTCTTCTGTAATTTGGAATCACGTGTCTCTACGGCAAAAACTGAAAATCCCCGTGCCTTTTGGCAAATTCTTAACAGCTTTTTCTCCTCCTCTCCTCGCTCTATACCTCCTCTAGAATACAATGTTAATGGTATTACCAAAATGGCATTTTGTGACCAGGAAAAGGTTGAAATCCTCAATAATTACTTCACTTCTGTCTCCAGTACTGATGATTCTAATACAAATCTGCCAAACTTCGTCAGAAAATGCATTAATTCACTTTCTAGTTTTATGATCGAAGAAAAAGATGTTTATGATATTTTATCTACTCTTGACATAGGGAAAGCTGTTGGTCCAGACAGGATTAGTCACCGTATGCTAAAAGCTACAGCCAGAACTATTTCACAACCTCTTACATTATTATTTAATAGGTCTCTAAGGGATGCTGTTTTCCCTTCGGAATGGAAAAAAGCACACGTTTTACCAGTATTTAAAAAAGGAGATTCTCATGTTCCTTCAAATTTATAGGCCTATTTCTTTGCTAAGTTGCTTGTCAAAAACTATGGAAAGATGTGTCTTTAAATATATTTTTAACTTTGCTAGAGACAACAATATTTTTACAGGTATCAATCTGGTTTCCTTCCCGGCCACTCCACAGTCTATCAATTGATAGAAATGTATCACAGTATTGTTAGCTCTTTGGATAATAATGAATATTCTTGTGTTGTATTTTGCGATTTGTCCAAGGCATTTGACAAAATCTGGCATAAGGGTTTCTTGTTCAAACTCCATCAGTATGGAATAAATGGAGTGTTACTATCCTGGTTGGAAAATTACTTAACCAATAGATACCAATCTGTTATATACTACAACGAAAAAGAAACGCCGTGTAACCTAAAAAGATTCTTTTAAATGATATATTTTAATGTTACATTATTTCATTCATTTTTGTATACAATTTCATCTGTTTGGAACCATTTGTTGAAGGTTCTATCGATTATCAATGCTAATTATGCCAAAAATATCCCCCTTTTAGCGATGACCCTACTTGTATTGCGCAACACGGCCGGACATTTCAGTATCTTGTATGTCCTCCATGCGCAGCTGTCGCAGCCCTGATTCTTCTATGCATGGAATTCATCAGGGTGTTAACCCTTGCAATGGGGATGTTATTCCATTCTTCATGCATTCTAAATGAGGTGAACATGGACCTATCCTGGTCTGTTTAGGTAGATCAATATTCGATCTCTGTTATAGTATTGTTGCGTTGTGCAATGTGCCTTCTGCCACATCTGTTCACCAATAATAAATGAACTGAAAAAGAGGCTTACTTACAAAATGTATGGTTCACTTGAATCTGTCGAGTTTAATTTGCCGTGGTATACTTGTCGCAATAATGTTAAAGCAATGACTTTTCTCAGTTTAAGCGGGGCCACACCAACGCAAAGTGGCCAAGCACAAAATTTCTTTTCATTGAAAAACATTTTCAACCTCAAGAAATCAAAAAATTAAGACACAGCTCATATTTTTAGTTGAACATTGCTCTCCTAATTAAATATGGATCTAAACAATTTTGAATAGACACGTGAGCTTCTGATATCTAAAATTATATATGATAAATAACATATAAAGATACCCATAGTTCAGTTATAGTGAAAAAACTAATAGTTTTTAAACTAAATGGAAAGAGGAAATATTAGTTCATTTGTTTTTCTTCATAATTGGTTCTTTTTAAACATTAACGTAGTCTCCGACACTTCTCAAATTATCATTTTATCGGTTAAGTTAGAAAAACATATAACTATTCATCAAAGTAACCTTTTCTCGTCTTGCTATTAAGATGTTACGCCTATCCCATCCTGTTATTTAATCTATTTCCTAGGTACACCGGTACCGGAACCGAGTACGAAGTGTGTTCGGAAGTCATCGGAGTTTTTCTATCGTCTAGGCTCTGTTTCGAATCATGGCGGCTGCTGGAGGTGACATCTTTTGTAGGAAAGCATGTGTGGTGGTCACAGGCGCAAGTAAGGGCTTAGGGAAATCAGTTGCCAAGACATTTGCAAGCAGATTTCCAGATTCATCATTTTTCATTCTTCTTGCGAGAAGTTTAACCGATTTAGAAAAGGTGAAAGCAGAAATATTAGAAAAAAATTCTAAGGTCAAAGTTGCAGTAAGAAAATTTGACCAGGGTAATCTAGACCAAGCCATATTTGACACGTTATTTGACAGTGTATTTAGTGATTTCGGTGTGACAGCAGATGACTTCGAGCAGTCGGTGGTGGTTCATAATGCTGGAACTTTAGGTGACAACACGAAGTATGGCAGTCAGTTGTCAGACGTGGTTACTGTTCAGAGTAACTTCGATGTCAATGTGTCGGGCACGATTCTTCTCAACTCGGGCTTCCTAAGAAAATTCTCCAATTCATCTAAAGGACGATTGATCATCAACATGTCTTCTTTAGTGGCCATTCAACCAATTCCTTCATTTTCCTTATATTGTACAGGTAAATGACACAACATAATTAACATGTTTAACTGATACTGATATACGTGTCCGAAAGGTTCTGACTATTATAAACCTCCATGGTTCTGACTATTATGTATCTCTATGATTTTATGTTTGGTCTTGGCTGAGGTCGACCGTGATCAAGACAAAAGTAAAAGTTGCGGACTGATTGTCATAAACCTGAATACATACGCGTACTGATTGTCATAAACCCAAATACATACGCGTACTGATTTTCATAAACCCGAATACATATGCTTACTGCATGTCATAAACCTGAATACATACGCGTACTGATTTTCATAAACCCGAATACATATGCGTACTGAATGTCATAAACCCGAATACATATGCGTACTGATTGTCATAAACCTGAATACATATGCATTCTACATGTACTTGATGTACACATAAGTATTCACGGAAATGGCTGTCGTTTTAGTACGATTTATCTCGCTTGAGATTCATAAAAAACAGAAATTACTGGAAGGCTAAAACATGTTGATATATATATATATATACTTGTAGTTTTAAATGTGAGATATAACCTAGTACATGCTTAACAATCAAACAATTTTATAGATGAACAGTCGTACACCATTTTATTTTGTCTAGGTCACAGATCAATAGTCAGAATTCCTCCCTGTATAAAAACCCTAAATACCAGACCCCTGAAAGGGTCAGCATTCCGGCAATATTTTATATAGTTTCCAGCGGTGCAATATTTGTACTTATAAATCATACACTGATGTAAGAATAAAAGTTTCCTACTAACTGGTATTGAAGCAATGAAATGTTTACCAAGTACTTCCAATCATTTTCATCGACCACTACTTTCCAAGATATTTACAATGGCACTTTGCAGAATCTCTTGAGACTTGGTTGTAAGTCAACAATTCCCGCCAATCTTGTGAGAATTTACTTTTTGGTGAGTGTGCAGACTGCACATATGATGTAGCGATAGGATTTTTTCTCTTTTTTTGTGGAAAGATAAAAAGATTATGTGAGGCCGCCATCATTAATTTTTGGGATTATCCAGTATCCAAAACTTATGAGCAACAAAAATAGATAAAATCATAACTCTGATAAAGGTGATAATTAGCAAGAAGGAATATTACTGATTGGTAGAGTCAGTGGCTTGCATGGAAAATTGGAAAATATGTTGATTTATTATGACTATCTTTTAAAACACATTTTTGACTGTTTTGAAATGGTAGGATTCATTTTATCCTCTGTCACGTTGGATATCACGACAATTGCACGTGTCTGCTTTCTTGTTTATTGGCAGAAGTTACCATTGACATATTAGTATGTGGAGTCTGCATTGGGTCACATCGTTACAGATTTATTGTGTATGAAGATTGGTCTCATAATCATAAAGCATATCTGTAAGTTTTACAATAATATGATTACTTATTTGTCAAAATAAGGATAGTCTCAGCGCAATTATTTTATCAAAATGTATAGCAAAATACAGATACTCTTTGACAAAGTACACTTCTAAATTCTGTGCTCTGCATACCAATTGCTTGCAATACAGAGTTCGAGCCTCAGTTTATGTCAGCTGGTGCATGCGTGATGTGACAGAGGGACAAGAAAGAAAACTTCACTCACCGAGATTGTAATGGCCTGGTTTGTACATAATATTGCATGACTAGAAATATAAAACCAGATATGCTTATGTGTTATATATACGTCTAATATAAGTCATAAAACGATCATGGGATGAATTCTCTCTTATACTTAATTATATTCCCAATTTAATCAACATATAACAAGATGACACCACACCCAAGTGTGATACACATACACACGTGTTCCATTGGTGATTGAGGACAATATTTCTGGAACTCACCAATTTTACAAATATCAACATGAACCTCGGTATTGATGTCATTAAATTAAGGCAATTGTTTAAAGCATACAACAAATGGAATATTTCTACCAATCAGAAAGCTAGGATGGGTAGTGATAGCCAGTTTCAAAAGCTGCATTCTGATCTCCCAGAGTTACTGCCCTTTGTTTTCACTCTGTCAGATGGTATAACGCTAAGCTTGACAGCCGATGGTGGGCGGGGTTGAGAAGGCAAAGGCTGTGACAATAAGTTGAAAAGGTTATTTTTAGCCTAAAAACCTACCTTATATTATATAGTCATCCTCACTTAGAAGTACATTTTGGCATTGACCCATTCATTCACATTGCTATGTAGGTAGATAACTTAAAAATTTATATTTCATTTTTTTGTTTTATTTGGATCTATTTGTAGGTAAGGCAGCCAGAGACATGTTCTTCAGAGTGCTTGCTGCTGAAGATCCTTCTCTTCGTGTCCTTAACTATGCTCCAGGACCTTGTGAAACAGACATGCAAAGGGCATGTAGGGAGGACACAGTAGATAGGACAACCAAAAATATGTTTTTAGGTAAAGACTGATTATACAAAATTTTTACATAAATTACAATGGATTTGTACTTCCATCATGTTTTTTATGCCCTGCCATTTTGTGAATATGGGTGGTGGTGGTAAAGCTTATGGTGTTACCCATGACTCTGTCCCGCCTGTCACGTCAATTCACATTCTAAAGCAGTATCATATATCTATATCTTGAAAGACTTTCATCAGATTTGATTGATGTTTACCTAATAGTTAAGATCTATTTATAACTTTTATTACAGAGGTAACATTACACAAGGGAGCAGGTGTATTCATGTATTACAGCCAATGTCTGGGCCTCTTGTTTACCTTAACTGTTAAAATATTCTGAGCCTGAACTATTTTAATCATTCAGTAACTGTTCCTACTACTACAACTGGTATATAGGTTTGGTAGTCAGATAACTGTCTCCTGTTTTAACAACCTGTCTCTTCACTTTCATCAGAAGTTAATTGTCTTTTCTTGTGTTTGCAGCCATGCACACAGAAGGAAACACCCTGGATTGTGACACATCGATAGCTAAGCTGGTGGAGTTGGTGAGACTGGACCAATATGATAATGGAGCACATGTTGATTTCTTTGATGATATTGGAGGTCACATAGCTAAGGCAGCCCTCAATATGTGATCTAAATCTCTGATATACAATGTTCTACTGACATCGTCAAGTCAGAAGTACACACAAAAACAAGAGTCAACTAAAAGTGACTTTCAATCAATATTTAATCAACCAATCATTTTACACACTTCATGTATTGTAAGAAATATTTTTTCGGAGATTATTTATATATTCAGAATTTCAAATTCCCATAAAAAATAGTTCTTGTATTCAAAAAAAGGAAAAAGATGAATAAAAATTAAATTTGCATAATTGTAGATTAAATAAACTCCAGTGAAGTTCATAATAAATACCATTAGCAAGGTATTGTTACATGTGTTATATAAATCACACATAAAATTAAGTTCAGAAGTGAAGTAATAGAATAGAATCAGCGTACAGTGTTGAAATGTCCGGAAAATAGTAATTTGGATGAAGCCATTGTGTTAGTATACCGTCACGTGTTTTGTGGTGGACTTCAGTTTTATATTGTTTTACATTCAGTATTTTATATGTAATTTACTGATGTTAGACTATATTACTTTGTTATTTTTATTCCAGTTCGGTTGTTATTGGTCAGATGTGTTGCTTATTATTATCATTGAGAAGGTTGATCTGTACTTAGCTTCTAAATATGTGTAATTGATTGATATGTTTTTAGTGGTGTATCTTATTGTGCCAATGTTTGGTATGTATAATTGATATGTATTTAGTGGTGTATCTTATTGTGCTGATGTTTGGTACATTTATGTATGTGGTAAAATAAATATGGTAATTAAAAAAAAACAAGGAAAATATTTCTCAGACTGTATCATCTTCACCAAAAACACAAATACTCCAAAATCTGTAAAATAGCAACAGTTATGTCCTCAGTACTTAGTCTACCACACAAAATTTCTTTAACTAAAATATCACTCACGATATTACCAAAATAATATCACTTTCTGGAGACATCTACCACACAAAATCTCTCTTATAAGGAGAATATCACCCACAGGACATATATACCACACAAAGTTTCTCTCAATGAAAATATCACCCTCAGATTAGGGCAGCATACAGTATTTCCCTTATCAAGACTATTAACTTTTGGGGAAATATAACCACAAAATCTCTTATACCATGACAATATCACCCTCACGATCAGGAGATCATCAAGTATTTTCATTGGTTTAATCAGGATGTGTTGACTCTAAATATTGTCTTCTGATTATTTTTATCATTTACAGAGCAATATTTTGTCATTTTCTAGTCAGGAGGTTGTATCATATTATTGATTTTTTACATCACTCTTTATGATAATTGATATATACTCAGTCTTCTAGTTGACTGTATTTGTCAAGATAAAATAACTCAAACTGCTGTACTTCAAACAGGGAAATGTATATACACATTATCAATTTACATGTATGTGGTTGGGACCAAGTGATGATAATAAAATGGATGACAAAAATACTGTTTTCTCAATTTTGTATTGACTACACATCAATGAAAAGATCTCGGTGTACTTTCTCCTATTTTATTAAATCCAACAATATGTCAGATCCAGATTATCTACTTAGATTAATGATATCATACCCACATGTTAGTGAGTAATGAATAACAAAGACTGTAAAAAAAGGTTACCAGTATTTCTGTCAGGGTTAATTTCAAGATTTCAATAGGCAAACTGTACTTGCAGAGGTTATTTTTACGATCATTGTATCTTCCCATTTTTCATGATCATGGTACCTTCCCATATTTATTTTCACAATCACTGTACCTTCCCATATTTATTTTCACGATCACTGTACCTTCCCATATTTATTTTCATGATCACTGTACCTTCCCATATTTATTTTCACGATCATTGTATGTTCCCATATTTATTTTCAGCTGAGTAGTAATCACATGTATACTTCCATGTCTGCAGTAATATAGTTGAATTAATACTGAGTGTAGGAATTAAATATGATTAATTATTTTTTCAAAATTCCATCAAACAGCAGCATAGACACTAGGAGTATAACTCTTAATTCTTTGTTTTATAGTATTGAGGTGTCTTGTCTACAAAAAAATCATCCTGAGATGTTAAGGAAAACCAGGTAAGTGACTCTGTTAGCAAGAAAATAATGATATACCTGGGTACCTTGTCGACAATAGTAAGAAGAAAGCACAGGAAAAAGTCAGTGTTACTTTTTCTGATTTCTTCTTACTGATCGATTGTCATCACATCATATCACATGACATAAGGTTTATATAGTAGTACTCTATAGAAATTATCAACCATGTTCAAAACAAATACTATACACAATGGAATGAGAAGTTATGTAAAATTGGGATAAAATCCACATCATAAAAAAATATTCCAAAATATACCACACACAGTGATTTATATACATTCTAAACATCTGGACATTTTTTTACCAAACAACAAACAAAAAATGAGACATTTCCTATATTAGTATGTTCAACTTCCCAATTTTATAGGGACAATTTTTTGTCTTTTGTCCCCAGAAATGTACAGGATTACCAGCCATATTTGTGCATCAAGGCCTCTTAATTCATGGAAGAAGTCATTTAAATTTGACCCCTGTGACCTTGAATATATGTCAAGGTCATTTCTTTTAGCAAACTTTGTCGGGCTTTATCCTAGGAACATATCAGCCACATATCAAAACATTTGATTCATTGATTATTGAGAAAAAGTTGTTTAAAGGGAAAAGATGACTGACGCCTCATCATGGCATAAGCTCACTAGGCCCTTTGGACCAGGTGAGGTAATTAAAAATAAATATCAGTTAATTTATGTATAACATTTCATTATACGGATATTGAAAATTTGTCTTTAACTTTTAATGCACGATATGTGTAGGCCCCTGGACGACAGTTCAAGTTTATCCTGTAATAGGACAAGAGGCCCAGGGGCTTTGACAATCACCTGACTATAAAGACCTATATGTATGAAAAAGACCAAATAGGCCTAAAATAAATTGCTTGCTGATAAAGAAAATTACATATCTCAATTCACTTAACCTTGAATATAGGTCAAGGTAAATTACATGAACAAATCAGTAGCCCTTCATCCACTTATATTGAAGAACCAATATCAACAGCCGGGGCCTTTTGGTTATCGAGAAGAAGTCGTTTGATGATTTTAACACAATTGACTCCTGTGACATTTAAAAAGAGAAAATGTCAATCAAATGAGCAAAATTGGTAACCCTTCATCCCAGCATGCTACCAGACAATTATCAGCACTCTAGACCTTTGAAAATAGGTCAAGGTCATTCATTGTATCAAACATGTTACAGGTCCATTTGACTGGACAGTTTACGCACAGTGCACATCAATGTATGAAATGCGATGGCTATAAGTCATCCTGACCCTTCAGGTAGGTTGGCCTAATAAGTCTGCCTCTGACTTTAAGTAAGAATGAATGAGTCGGCAGACTTGAGGTCCTGTAGTAAGCCCATACCCCAAACTATCCCTCTGTATATATCTATCACATGATGTTCCTTAGTGCCAATGGTAATGGTTTCCTCTTGTAGATCTCTCTGTGACAGACTTCAATAGTAAAGGTTGTTATCACTTGTGTCCTGTAACAGGTCCATTGATGAGGGGCGTATCTACTAGCTTGACCTCACACTTTTCATTTGACACACAAGGACTACCCTCTAGCTCCACCATCAGTATCTTATTTCCGTCAGAGCCTTTCTGCAGGTAAGGTGCAGGCAGAAACAGACGCATTTGTGGACCCTTCTCAGGCCAGTACCGACCCAAGTTGACCACTGTCTGGGACTTGATAAAAACTTGACCCTGTGAAAAATAGCAAGGACAGATATATATATAAAAATATATTTTTAAAAATGCAGATCCTTATTCCCACCCCACCACAGATTAGCAATGGATTCCTAAAGTATTGTCTTACATCCAAATATACCTACAGTCTACAATACATACACGTTTCTACATTGGTACATTGTATTTACAGTAAAAATCCATGTATTAGATGTAGGGGGTGGGGGGAGAAATAAATGTCAAAAGTGGAGGGGGTATGCACACAGCTATAAGATTTTCGAGGTTTTTTTCATGGAATAATCGAAGATTCTGTGAGGTCATCATCATACATTGTCAGGATGGTATGGTACACTTAACTTATACCAAATGGATCTGATGATTTCTTTATGAACAACAATAATAAATAAGATATGAGGGTATAAGATCTTGCATTCAGTTTTCATATGATAAGGATTGTTACATGACCATAAGCTGGGTAGACATATGATCAGGATTATTACATGACCATTAGCTGGGTAGACATATGATAAGGATTATTACATGACCATTAGCTGGGTAGACATGATAAAGGATTATTACATGACCATTAGCTGGGTAGACATATGATCAGGATTATTACATGACCATTAGCTGGGTAGACATGATAAAGGATTATTACATGACCATTAGCTGGGTAGACATATGGTAAGGATTATTACATGACCATTAGCTGGGTAGACATGATAAAGGATTATTACATGACCGTTAGCTGGGTAGACATATGGTAAGGATTATTACATGACCATTAGCTGGGTAGACATGATAAAGGATTATTACATGACCATTAGCTGGGTAGACATGATAAGGATTGTTACATGACCATTAGCTGGGTAGACATATGATAAGGATTATAACATGACCATTAGCTGGGTAGACATATGATAATGTTTGTTAAATTCCCATTAGGTGGGTATACATATGATAAAGGATTATTACATGACCATTAGCTGGGTAGACATATGATCAGGATTATTACATGACCATTAGCTGGGTAGACATATGATAAAGGATTATTACATGACCATTAGCTGGGTAGACATATGATCAGGATTATTACATGACCATTAGCTGGGTAGACATATGATAAAGGATTATTACATGACCATTAGCTGGGTAGACATATGATCAGGATTATTACATGACCATTAGCTGGGTAGACATGATAAAGGATTATTACATGTCCATTAGCTGGGTAGACATGATAAGGATTGTTACATGACCATTAGCTGGGTAGACATATGATCAGGATTATTACATGACCATTAGCTGGGTAGACATATGATCAGGATTATTACATGACCATTAGCTGGGTAGACATGATAAAGGATTATTACATGACCATTAGCTGGGTAGACATGATAAGGATTGTTACATGACCATTAGCTGGGTAGACATGATAAAGGATTGTTACATGACCATTAGCTGGGTAGACATATGATCAGGATTATTACATGACCATTAGCTGGGTAGACATATGATCAGGATTATTACATGACCATTAGCTGGGTAGACATATGATCAGGATTATTACATGACCATTAGCTGGGTAGACATATGATAAGGATTATTACATGACCATTAGCTGGGTAGACATGATAAAGGATTATTACATGACCATTAGCTGGGTAGACATGATAAGGATTGTTACATGACCATTAGCTGGGTAGACATGATAAAGGATTGTTACATGACCATTAGCTGGGTAGACATATGATCAGGATTATTACATGACCATTAGCTGGGTAGACATATGATCAGGATTATTACATGACCATTAGCTGGGTAGACATGACCATTAGCTGGGTAGACATATGATAAGGATTGTTACATGACCATTAGCTGGGTAGACATATGATAAGGATTGTTACATGACCATCAGCTGGGTAGACATATGATAAGGATTATTACATGACCATTAGCTGGGTAGACATATGATAAAGGATTATTACATGACCATTAGCTGGGTAGACATGATAAGGATTGTTAAATGACCATCAGCTGGGTAGACATATGATCAGGATTATTACATGACCATTAGCTGGGTAGACATGATAAAGGATTGTTACATGACCATTAGCTGGGTAGACATGATAAAGGATTATTACATGACCATTAGCTGGGTAGACATATGATCAGGATTATTACATGACCATTAGCTGGGTAGACATGATAAAGGATTATTACATGACCATTAGCTGGGTAGACATGATAAGGATTGTTAAATGACCATCAGCTGGGTAGACATATGATCAGATTATTACATGACCATTAGCTGGGTAGACATGATAAAGGATTGTTACATGACCATTAGCTGGGTAGACATGATAAAGGATTATTACATGACCATTAGCTGGGTAGACATATGATCAGGATTATTACATGACCATCAGCTGGGTAGACATATGATAAGGATTATTACATGACCATTAGCTGGGTAGACATATGATCAGGATTATTACATGACCATCAGCTGGGTAGACATATGATAAGGATTATTACATGACCATTAGCTGGGTAGACATATGGTAAGGATTATTACATGACCATTAGCTGGGTAGACATGATAAGGATTATTACATGACCATTAGCTGGGTAGACATATGATCAGGATTATTACATGACCATTAGCTGGGTAGACATGATAAAGGATTATTACATGACCATTAGCTGGGTAGACATGATAAAGGATTATTACATGACCATCAGCTGGGTAGACATATGATCAGGATTATTACATGACCATTAGCTGGGTAGACATATGATCAGGATTATTACATGACCATTAGCTGGGTAGACATATGATCAGGATTATTACATGACCATTAGCTGGGTAGACATGATAAAGGATTATTATATGACCATTAGCTGGGTAGACATATGATAAGGATTGTTACATGACCATTAGCTGGGTAGACATATGATAAGGATTGTTACATGACCATCAGCTGGGTAGACATGATAAAGGATTATTACATGACCATTAGCTGGGTAGACATATGATAAGGATTATTACATGACCATTAGCTGGGTAGACATGATAAAGGATTATTACATGACCATTAGCTGGGTAGACATGATAAGGATTATTACATGACCATTAGCTGGGTAGACATATGATCAGGATTATTACATGACCATTAGCTGGGTAGACATATGATCAGGATTATTACATGACCATTAGCTGGGTAGACATATGATCAGGATTATTACATGACCATTAGCTGGGTAGACATATGATAAAGGATTATTACATGACCATTAGCTGGGTAGACATGATAAGGATTGTTACATGACCATTAGCTGGGTAGACATATGATAAAGGATTATTACATGACCATTAGCTGGGTAGACATGATAAGGATTGTTACATGACCATTAGCTGGGTAGACATATGATAAAGGATCATTACATGACCATTAGCTGGGTAGACATGATAAGGATTGTTACATGACCATTAGCTGGGTAGACATATGATAAGGATTATTACATGACCATTAGCTGGGTAGACATATGATAAAGGATTATTACATGACCATTAGCTGGGTAGACATGATAAGGATTGTTAAATGACCATCAGCTGGGTAGACATATGATCAGGATTATTACATGACCATTAGCTGGGTAGACATGATAAAGGATTGTTACATGACCATTAGCTGGGTAGACATGATAAAGGATTATTACATGACCATTAGCTGGGTAGACATATGATCAGGATTATTACATGACCATTAGCTGGGTAGACATATGATAAAGGATTATTACATGACCATTAGCTGGGTAGACATATGATAAAGGATTATTACATGACCATTAGCTGGGTAGACATGATAAGGATTGTTACATGACCATTAGCTGGGTAGACATATGGTAAGGATTATTACATGACCATTAGCTGGGTAGACATGATAAGGATTGTTACATGACCATTAGCTGGGTAGACATGATAAGGATTGTTACATGACCATTAGCTGGGTAGACATGATAAGGATTGTTACATGACCATTAGCTGGGTAGACATGATAAGGATTGTTACATGACCATTAGCTGGGTAGACATATGATCAGGATTATTACATGACCATAAGCTGGGTAGACATGATAAGGATTATTACATGACCATTAGCTGGGTAGACATATGATAAGGATTATTACATGACCATTAGCTGGGTAGACATATGGTAAGGATTATTACATGACCATTAGCTGGGTAGACATGATAAAGGATTATTACATGACCATTAGCTGGGTAGACATGATAAAGGATTATTACATGACCATTAGCTGGGTAGACATATGATCAGGATTATTACATGACCATTAGCTGGGTAGACATGATAAGGATTGTTACATGACCATTAGCTGGGTAGACATATGATCAGGATTATTACATGACCATAAGCTGGGTAGACATGATAAGGATTATTACATGACCATTAGCTGGGTAGACATATGATAAGGATTATTACATGACCATTAGCTGGGTAGACATATGATCAGGATTATTACATGACCATTAGCTGGGTAGACATATGATAAAGGATTATTACATGACCATTAGCTGGGTAGACATATGATAAGGATTGTTACATGACCATTAGCTGGGTAGACATATGATAAGGATTGTTACATGACCATTAGCTGGGTAGACATATGATCAGGATTATTACATGACCATTAGCTGGGTAGACATATGATAAAGGATTATTACATGACCATTAGCTGGGTAGACATATGATAAGGATTGTTACATGACCATTAGCTGGGTAGACATATGATAAGGATTGTTACATGACCATTAGCTGGGTAGACATATGATAAAGGATTATTACATGACCATTAGCTGGGTAGACATATGATCAGGATTATTACATGACCATTAGCTGGGTAGACATATGTATACTGTTTTTCCCAAGTTGCCTCTGTCCTAAATCTAGAGAAATCTGTGTGACATGTACAGGATAGAATAAGCCCACTATAATGTCACTCTAACCTTTTTCCATCCAGTGAAGTCCATGTATGTGTCCTGAGGGTCGGCGGTAATGGTCATTTCACCCATGTATAAGGAAGGGACACTAGGGTCAAAGGTTGTATTTGATTGACAGAATCTATAAAGACAAGAACTTGCTTTTAGGCACTTTTGAGCTAAAAATGTTTTAAAATTTTATATTACATTTATTTTGTATTACTTTTAAAAATACTTCCTTCTTGACTGCATTGGTTACTAAAATTTAGATATTGTACGGCCAGTCACTGTAAATCACTTATATTTGGTGCAGGATTTATTTTTGCATTAATATACAGGTAGAGTCCATCCCAAATTAAAATCCCTCACAATCATTTATTTTTGGCATCCATGTTGCTTCCGTTACTAACACTGGCATCCTTCAGAGTGCAGTTCTCTTTTAGCTCATCATTCGAAAATTCAGTCATTTCTAGATCAGCAATCGTGAAATGATGTATTCACGAATATGATGAAGAGGTAAATTCACAAAGTATTTACGAAATCTAAGTGATTTACTGCATTTTCTCACAGATGACATTTTCTTTATTTAGCATTAACATTAACGTGATTGTAAAGATTTAATTCCTAAAATAACGAGACACAAGTGTATTCGATGGCTGTTAAAATTCATTAAATATTATTAAGTCATTTTGAAAATGAAGTTTTGACCCTGTGAAAATTTCCAGCTATATTATAGATTCAGACTTACAGTTACATGTATTTTTCATATTATGTACATTATACTTGTAACTCTTACACACACTTGAGTGATGACTTACCTGTTGGACCTTGGTGCTTTCTCAGACATACTGAAGTAATTGTCCAGTTGAAGTGGGTACATTGTCCAGCCCTGTATCACTTGACCATTCAGTGTGACATTCTGTATAATGCCCTGCCAGCAAAATCATTCAATATCTGTTTACCATATGAATATAAAAAACAACAACTTGGAAGTGATTTCTTTTGGTTAACTGGAAATGTCCTTTAAAGAATCAAATATTCCAACAATGGAACTTAACATTATCAACATTTAAGGAACTTTTTCAACAATTTAAATAAAGATGAAAATCGATTTATCTGTTTTTGACTGCTTGAGTAGAGGTCAGACAGAGGGAAAAATGAAAATTCTTGTCCTAAAACCGCTTCTACAATATGTACCTTTAAGTTGAAATTAATTCCCTTGTTGAATGTGATGTGTCCCTGGTTTTCAACAAGTATATCCAGATTCTGGCCCTTATTACCAACAACAGTCAGGGACGTCTTGGTGTCTCGCATCAACACACCAACGGACACCTAAAATGAGAGTAAACAATGATGAATGTAGATGATAGAGAGGGATGTCTTGGTGTCTTGCATATACATGATTTCCTGAATGCTGATCTAGAAAATGACTGTAAATTCATAAATGAAGAGCTAATAAAGACATGGACTCTGCAGGACTATGGAATTGATAACCAAATCACAATGGATGCTATACAGAGTTATTTTCGTACAAATAATCGAGAGAGATTTGAATTATGATTGATTCTCCATGCATATTAACATGAAAATAAATCCCATGATATACAGTAATGAGAAGGCTTCATTTGAACGTATCAAAACATCTGTCCCCTGTGACTGTTTAATTGAAATTGGATAAACTTTTATCTTCAGAACCTACAAGTCAAATATCATGATTCTGAGCATTTCAGTTCATTAGAAGAACTTGTTTTTGATTTCTGTGACCTTTGTTGAATCAGGATCATACCAGTCAAATATCATTACTCTTGGCCTTTTGCTTTATTTTAAAGAAGTTCATTGAAAATTTATCAAATTTAATCCTATTAATCTTGAATATGAGTCTACATAATTTCTTTTTTGCAAACTCTGTCGACATTTATCCCAAGAACCTTGATGCCAAATATCATGATTCTAGGCCTTTTAGTTATTGAGAAGACGTCCTTTGAAGGCTTTTAACAAATTGACCTCTGTTACCTTATGTGTCAACGTCATTTCATTTTGTACCCTTTGATGGGCGTCTCATTATTCTCAGCCTTTCGGTGATGGGAAAGGAGTGGTTTGAAGGTTTTAACCCATCTGACCCCTGTGACCATGAATATGAGTCAAGGTTATCTCTTTACCAAGCCAAATATTTGAAGGTTTTGTCAAATTCAATTCCCATGACCATTAATATAATCAAGGTCATTTCTTTCTGCAAACTTTGATGGGCCGCAGGCAAATATCATGTTTTATGCTCTTTAGGTTTTCAGATGAAGTCATTTAAAGGAAAAAAATTGATGCTGGACAGACAATGCATAATGGATTATGGATGCAAAATGCACCACAACATCAGCTCCTTTAGTCTATCTTTGATCCTGGTGTACTCAGAACACACTGTTTCTATACTGTAGATAAAATTTGAATGTATTTTGCATTTGCTTACAATGATGTGTGTTCAGCAGACTTATACACAGATGTAGACGTTACCTTGTTGATCAGGACATAGGCACGGTCCCTTACTCCAGGGACATTGAGAACAGTGTTTTTCTGTAGGTCAGAAGTCAGTGTATGTCGGTACAGAGTAAAACCTTGAAACTGAAACAGACAGCAACAAGATAGATATCTTCAGCTTTACAGAAGCAAAAATAATCCTGTTGTATTACATTACCAATCTAGCTTGGTACATTTCCCCCATTCAATTACAATTATCTTGTAAATACATTTCCATAGAAATGTAACACTATAAGATAGTCACACAATCCAAGGACTAAAGTTAGCTGTTCCTGATAAAAAAAAAAAAACATTTTTATTTATATCATCTCCTGACTAAAAGTACAAAGTTGTTAAAGTCTGCATCCATAATAACGAAAAATTCCTGACTGTCTTTCCTTACCAACACTTAGGGTACACCATATTTACTAGAGAATACCATAGGAATCACATCTGATATAACTATACACTTTAGTTTGGCTATAATAAAGTTTCATGTGGTAAAATGAAAAAGGTGAAGAAAGTAAGCAGTATCAGTATGATCCATTAAACCTCAGTAATCCATCACTGAGATCAGTACAGTAAACACAAAGCCACCAGGTACTGAGATATTGTAATGTATAAACACCTACCTGACCAATGGTTTCCATAGAAACAGGATACAGTGATTTGATTGGTGGGCCTTTAGTCAGCTGATCAAGCAGATCCATAATTGTTCCAACCTGTAGTATAAATCAAATACCAACATAGAAAATTAAGGATTTTAGGAGAAGTTTTCTTCCTCATGTAGTTTTGACAATGATTTCAACTAATTTGGAATTTTCTCAGTTACCTCCCTTGTGCAGTTTAATCATTACTTGGCTATTCTTTACATGATTCCATTTTTTATTGAAATGTGTGTGTCTAGATATAATGCTTTAGCATCCAGGTTTAGCAGACTGTGCCCTACACGACACTGACCTTTAATTTTCTAACAATTCATTTATCAAATACGATTTAAAATACCATTAAAACAGATTAATCCCTGTGAACTGTGATTCAGTACTCACGAAATGCATCCTGACTGGTCCATAGTTGGCTTTCAGGGTTGATGGAGGGCAAGGGATGGGAGGCAATGGTTTGAACTGTAAAACACAAAATATATCCTTATATACTGAACAAAATAAGTTAAGGATCATAAACTTGAAACAGTGCAGTTTTACATACAAATAATAATATGATTATATTTTAAATTTTAATGACAGAACATTCATTTTAGTCTTTAATTACACAAAACAAATTCATTTGTGGTAATTGCTACCAAGAGCAGATAACCCTGAGTAACAGCACCCTTGAAATCAAAGTGTAAGATAAAGTAGAGCAAGTTAATCATGTAGACAAGGAAAACTCATCAAACTGCAATTGGCAGTTTAATAGGCAGTATGACCTCCGTTGACATCAATAACTGCCCTGCAACGTCTGCACATGCTCCTTATTAGTCGTCGGTGGCTGATCTGTGGGATGCGCTGCCATTCCTCTTGCAGAGCAATCATAAGCTGTTGGCGGTTCTGTGGCGGATTAGGTCGAGCTGAAACCCGGCGTTGCAAGGTGTCCCAAGCATGCTCGATAGGGTTCAGATCAGGAGAACGACTTGGCCAGTCCATGCGAACGATTGCTTCACGTTGAAGATAGTCGTTGACCACACGAGCACGGTGAGGACGAGCATTATCATCCATCAGAATAAAATCATGGCCAACAACTCCTGCAATGGGCCTTACTATAGGGTGTAGAATCTCGTCCCTGTATCGAACAGCTGTTAAAGATCCATTGTCTATGATGTAGAGGTCTGTATGGAAGTCAACACTGATCCCTGCCCAAACCATCACTGACCCACCACCAAAGCGATCATGCTGGACAACACAGCAGTCTGCATAGCGCTCTCCTTGGGTTCTCCATACCCTCCTCCTACCGTCATGGAAGTCAACACAAAACCTAGACTCATCTGTGAACATAACATTTCTCCAATGACGTAATTGCCAATTCAAATGATGAGTGGCCCATTGATGTCTGGATTGTCGATGACCTCTGGATAAAATTGGTCGGACTGCTGGTCTTCTAGCTCGTAAATTAGAGGCATGGAGTCTGTTTCTGATTGTCTGGGATGAAATCCTTAGATTTGTAGCACGCTGAAACTGAAGATTCAAGACAGGAGCACTCAAAAACCGCTGACGTCGTGCCGTGATGCAAATGAATCTGTCCTGTCGGGCTGTCGTACAGCGTGGTCGTCCAGATCTGGGGCGTTGACGGACGTTATTTGTCTGTTGATAGCGATTCCATAGCCTACTAATCACGCTCTGAGAAACATGAAGCTGTGCCGCCACATTTCCTTGAGTTTGACCAGCTTGAAGGAGCCCTATAGCTCGCGCGGCTTCCATATCATTTAAATGTCTTCGCATGATTAGTTTTTCAAGTTTTCGTTACAAATTGATTAAATGTTTCCAAATTCAACTTTTTTTAGCTTAGAAGTAACAGAATCAAAACCTGCAAGATTCCTCTGTAGTAATAGACCAGTCAGTTTTTCACACCACCATAGTTAACTAGAGCGGAACGGCAAGACCTACAGATGCACGTGCTTTCACCTTTGACATGACTTTAGGTACATATTGGAGAAACTACGAGTGCAATTACCGGCAATACATGATTTGAATTTTTAAAGACATTATGGTCACAATTTATGATCCTTAACTTATTTTGTCCAGTATATTTGTAGTGTATTTCTTTCTATATCAGTACTGACAAAACATATTATCATAACATATTTCATTAAATTGATGCTAATTTTACCATCTTGAAGTAGTAAAGTTTCCAAATCTTTTCTTACCTTGGAAATGACACGAGCAATGATGTTATATTTTTCTGTTATGTCTCCTGCTTCTGTGTTATCCCTTAACTTACCATTATCCCTTAGACTTACCATTATCCCTTAACTTACCATTATCCCTTAGACTTACCATTATCCTCAAGACTTACCATTATCCCTTACCTTACCATTATCCCTAAGACTTACCATTATCCCTCAGACTTACCATTATCCCTTAACTTACCATTATCCCTCAACTTACCATTATCCCTTAGACTTACCATTATCCCTTAGACTTACCATTATCCCTTAACTTACCATTATCCCTTACACCTACCATAATCCCGTAGACTTACCATTATCCCTTAACTTACCATTATCCCTTAGACTTACCATTATCCCTTAACTTACCATTATCCCTTAGACTTACCATTATCCCTTAGACTTACCATTATCCCTTAACTTACCATTATCCCTTAGACTTACCATTATCCCAAAGACTTACCATTATCCCTCAGACTTACCATTATCCTTTAGACTTACCATTATCCCTTAACTTACCATTATCCCTTAGACTTACCATTATCCCTTAACTTACCATTATCCCTTAGACTTACCATTATCCCTTAACTTACCATTATCCCTTAGACTTACCATTATCCCTTAACTTACCATTATCCCTTACCTTACCATTATCCCTCAGACTTACCATTATCCCTCAGACTTACCATTATCCCTTAACTTACCATTATCCCTTAGACTTACCATTATCCCTTAGACTTATCATTATCCCTCAGATTTACCATTATCCCTTAGACTTACCATTATCCCTTAGACTTACCTACCTTAGACCTTACCATTATCCTTTAGACTTACCATTATCCCTTAGACTTACCATTATCCCTTACACCTACCATTATCCATTAGACTTACCATTATCCCTTAGACTTACCATTATCCCTTAGACTTACCATTATCCCCTTACCATTATCCCTTACTTACCATTATCCCTTATTACTTACCATTATCCCTTACTTACCATTATCCCTTAGACTTACTTACCATTATCCCTAGACTTACCATTATCCCACTTACCATTATCCCTTACTTACCATTACTTACCATTATCCCTTAACTTACCATTATCCCTTAGACTTACCATTATCCCTCAGACTTACCATTATCCCTTAACTTACCATTATCCCTTAACTTACCATTATCCCTTAGACTTACCATTATCTGTTAACTTACCATTATCCCTTAACTTATCATTATCCCTTAGACTTACCATTATCCCTTAACTCACCATTATCCCTTAACTTACCATTATCCCTTAGACTTACCATTATCCTTTAGACTTACCATTATCCCTTAGACTTACCATTATCCCTTAGACTTACCATTATCCCTTAGACTTACCATTATCCCTTAACTTACCATTATCCCATAACTTACCATTATCCCTAAGACTTACCATTATCCCATAACTTACCATTACCCCTAAGACTTACCATTATCCCTTAGACTGACCATTATCCCTTAGACTTACCATTATCCTTTAGACTTACCATTATCCCGTAGACTTACCATTATCCCTTAACTTACCATTATCCCTCAACTTACCATTATCCCTTAGACTTATCATTATCCCTCAGATTTACCATTATCCCTTAGACTTACCATTATCCCTTAGACTTACCATTATCCCGTAGACTTACCATTATCCCTTAACTAACTTTCCCTTAACTTACCTTATTATCCCTTAACTTACCATTATCCCTTACACCTACCATTATCCCGTAGACTTACCATTATCCCTTAACTTACCATTATCCCTTAACTTACCATTATCCCTCAACTTATCATTATCCCTAAGACTTACCATTATCCCTCAGACTTACCATTATCCCTTAACTTACCATTATCCCTCAACTTACCATTATCCCTTAGACTTACCATTATCCCTTAGACTTAGATTTACCATTATCCCTTAGACTTACCATTATCCCTTAACTTACCATTATCCCTTAGACTTACCATTATCCTTTAGACTTACCATTATCCCTTACCATTATCCCTTAACTTACCATTATCCCTTAGACTGACCATTATCCCTTAGACTTACCATTATCCCTTACACCTACCATTATCCCTTAACTTACCATTATCCCTTAAACTTACCATTATCCCGTAGACTTACCATTATCCCATTACTTACCATTATCCCTAAGACTTACCATTATCCCATAACTAACCATTATCCCTAAGACTTACCATTATCCCATAACTTACCATTACTTACCATTATCCCTTCTTACCATTATCCCTTAGACTTACCATTATTATACCATTATCCCCCATTTAGACTTACCATTATCCCTTAACTTACCATTATCCCTTAGACTTACCATTATCCCTTAACTTACCATTATCCCTTAGACTTACCATTATCCCTTAGACTTACCATTATCCCTTACCTTACCATTATCCCTTAGACTTACCATTATCCCTTAACTTACCATTATCCCTTAGACTTACCATTATCCCCAAGACTTACCATTATCCCTTAACTTACTATTATCCCTTAACTTACCATTATCCCTTAGACTTACCATTATCCCTTAACTTACCATTATCCCTCAACTTACCATTATCCCTTAGACTTACCATTATCCCTTAGACTTACCATTATCCCTTAGACTTACCATTATCCCTTAACTTACCATTATCCCTTAACTTACCATTATCCCTTAACTTACCATTATCCCTTAACTTACCATTATCCCTTAGACTTACCATTATCCCTTAACTTACCATTATCCCTTACTTTCCCTTTTTCCTTATCCCTTAACTTACCATTATCCCTTAACTTACCATTATCCCATAACTTACCATTATCCCCAAGACTTACCATTATCCGTTAACTTACCATTATCCCTTAGACTTACCATTATCCCTTAACTTACCATTATCCCTTAACTCACCATTATCCCTTAAACTTACCATTATCCCTTAACTTACCATTATCCCTTAGACTTACCATTATCCCTTAGACTTACCATTATCCCCAAGACTTACCATTATCCGTTAACTTACCATTGTCCCTTAGACTAACCATTATCCCTTAACTTACCATTATCCCTTAGACTTACCATTATCCCTTAACTTACCATTATCCCTTAACTTACCATTATCCCTCAGACTTACCATTATCCCCAAGACTTACCATTATCCCTTACCTTACCATTATCCCTCAGACTTACCATTATCCCTCAGACTTACCATTATCCCTTAACTTACCATTATCCCTTAGACTTACCATTATCCCTTAACTTACCATTATCCCTTAACTTACCATTATCCCTTAACTTACCATTATCCCTTAGACTTACCATTATCCCCAAGACTTACCATTATCCCTTAACTTACCATTATCCCTAAGACTTACCATTATCCCTCAGACTTACCATTATCCCTTAACTTACCATTATCCTCAACTTACCATTATCCCTTAGACTTACCATTATCCCGTAGACTTACCATTATCCCTTAACTTACCATTATCCCTTAGACTTACCATTATCCCTTAGACTTACCATTATCCCGTAGACTTACCATTATCCCTTAACTTACCATTATCCTGTAGACTTACCATTATCCCTTAACTTACCATTATCCCTTAGACTTACCATTATCCCTTAACTTACCATTATCCCTTAGACTTACCATTATCCCTTAACTTACCATTATCCCATAACTTACCATTATCCCTAAGACTTACCATTATCCCATAACTTACCATTATCCCTAAGACTTACCATTATCCCTTAACTTACCATTATCCCTTACACCTACCATTATCCCGTAGACTTACCATTATCCCTTAACTTACCATTATCCCTTAACTTACCATTATCCTGTAGACTTACCATTATCCCTTAACTTACCATTATCCCTTAACTTACCATTATCCCATAACTTACCATTATCCCCAAGACTTACCATTATCCCTTAACTTACCATTATCCCTTAACTTACCATTATCCCTTAGACTTACCATTATCCCTTAACTTACCATTATCCCTTAGACTTACCATTATCCCTTAAACTTACCATTATCCCTTAGACTGACCATTATCCCTTAGACTTACCATTATCCCTTACACCTACCATTATCCCTTAACTTACCATTATCCCTTAACTTACCATTATCCCTTAACTTACCATTATCCCTTAGACTTACCATTATCCCTTAGACTTACCATTATCCCTTAGACTTACCATTATCCCTTAGACTTACCATTATCCCTTAACTTACCATTATCCCTTAGACTTACCATTATCCCTTAGACTTACCATTATCCCTTAACTTACCATTATCCCTTAGACTTACCATTATCCCTTAACTTACCATTATCCCTTAACTTACCATTATCCCTTCACTTACCATTATCTCTTACACCTACCATTATCCCGTAGACTTACCATTATCCCATAACTTACCATTATCCCTAAGACTTACCATTATCCCATAACTTACCATACCTATCAGTGTGCAGAGTACCATTGCAGTAACTGCCTTAATACTATTTTTCATTTCTTCTACAGAAATTACATGCCAAGTCTATTAGACCTTGGCTACAGGCACATGCGCTTCCTCTTAACAATAATTACATCCAAACTATTGAAAACAAAATAATGGCCTACATGTTTACGCTAGCTCCATATTTCAAAATAATGTCCAGCATCACAGACACCAGTACCAAACTGACAGTTTCGTGTCTGTGGCCCCAGTGATCAAGCCATCCTGTATAGAATTCAGAGTTCACCTGTCAATAGTACAAAGTTTTAATCAGTCCAATATCTCGTTGCTGAGGGCAAGTTGAATCAATTTTACTTTGAAAATAAACATTCTTTATAATATAGGAATTGAATATTTAATTAGTAACACATTCTGCAATTTGTAACTCATTTCGTTAATGAAGATGTTTGGGGAAAATAGGGATTTTAAAACAGCTCATACATAATTGTTAATTTTCAAAAGAAATCAGGGAGACAGTTAATTATATAAGTAAGCAGTGTAAATAAGATGCATCTGATAAACCTGTATAGAAGTCCTATCTAACAAAATAGTGGTGCTTCATTGTTTAATGTACCTGTTCAGTGCTCTAACTTAACCTCTGTATGCCAGGTGGCAGATGAAGGATTTACATGTAGGAAATATAACCTGGTGTAACAATATAGATTTAATAAGGTTAAAGTGTATGATATTAATAACCAACATACCAAAGGTCCCTTTGGTTGATAATTCCTTAGTGGTTTAAAACCTCTCTCTGGAGTGTCTGAAATATAGCCACATTTTGTGTCACTCTGTGGGGGAGGGGGGATAAAAAAATGTGTCACTCTGTGGGGAGGGGGCAATGAAAAAATGTGTCTCTCTGTGGGGGAGGGGAAAATGAAAAAATGTGTCACTCTGTGGGGGGTGGGGGAATGAAAAAATGTGTCTCTCAATGGGGAAGTCAAACAATATGTCACTCTATAGGAGAGTGAAACAATGAGTCACTCTATAGGAGAGTAAAGCAATGTGTCACTCTAGGAGAGTAAAGCAATGTGTATAGTAGAGTAAAGCAATGTGTCACTCTATTGAAGAGTGAAACGATGAGTCACTCTATAGGAGAGTAAAGCAATGTGTCACACTGTAGGAGAGTAAAGCAATGTGTCACACTGTAGGAGGGTAAAACAATGAGTCACTCTATTGGAGAGTAAATCAATGTGTCACACTGTAGGAGAGTAAAGCAATGAGTCACTCTATGGGACAGTGAAAAGATGAGTCACTCTATAGGAGAGTAAAGCAATGTGTCACACTGTAGGAGGGTAAAACAATGTGTATAGGAGAGTAAAGCAATGAGTCACACTGTAGGAGGGTAAAACAATGTGTATAGGAGAGTAAAGCAATGAGTCACTCTATAGGAGAGTAAAGCAATGAGTCACTCTATAGGAGAGTAAAGCAATGTGTCACACTGTAGGAGGGTAAAACAAAGTGTATAGGAGAGTAAAGCAATGAGTCACTCTATAGGAGAGTAAATCAATATGTCACTCTATAGGAGAGTAAAGCAATGCGTCACTCTATAGGAGGGTAAATCAATGTGTCACTTTATAGGAGAGTAAAGCAATGCATCAATCTATAGGAGAGTAAAGCAATAAGTCACTCTATAGGAGAGTAAAGCAATGAGTCACTCTACAGGAGAGTAAAGCAATGAGTCACTCTATAGGAGAGTAAAGCAATGTGTCACTCTACAGGAGCGTAAAGCAATGAGTCACTCTATAGGAGAGTAAAGCAATGTGTCACTCTATAGGAGAGTAAAGCAATGAGTCACTCTACAGGAGAGTAAAGCAATGAGTCACTCTAAAGAAGAGTAAAACAATGAGTCACTCTATAGAAGAGTAAAGCAATGAGTCGCTCTAGGAGAGTAAAGCAATGTGTATAGTAGAGTAAAGCAATGTGTCACTCTATTGAAGAGTGAAACGATGAGTCACTCTATAGGAGAGTAAAGCAATGTGTCACACTGTAGGAGAGTAAAGCAATGTGTCACACTGTAGGAGGGTAAAACAATGAGTCACTCTATTGGAGAGTAAATCAATGTGTCACACTGTAGGAGAGTAAAGCAATGAGTCACTCTATGGGACAGTGAAAAGATGAGTCACTCTATAGGAGAGTAAAGCAATGTGTCACACTGTAGGAGGGTAAAACAATGTGTATAGGAGAGTAAAGCAATGAGTCACACTGTAGGAGGGTAAAACAAAGTGTATAGGAGAGTAAAGCAATGAGTCACTCTATAGGAGAGTAAAGCAATGAGTCACTCTATAGGAGAGTAAAGCAATGTGTCACACTGTAGGAGGGTAAAACAATGAGTATAGTAGGGTAAAGCAATGTGTCACTCTATAGGAGAGTAAAGCAATGTGTCACACTGTAGGAGAGTAAAGCAATGTGTCACACTGTAGGTGGGTAAAACAATGTGTATAGTAGAGTAAAGCAATGAGTCACTCTATAGGAGAGTAAAGCAATGAGTCACTCTATAGGAGGGTAAATCAATGTGTCACTTTATAGGAGAGTAAAGCAATGCATCAATCTATAGGAGAGTAAAGCAATAAGTCACTCTATAGGAGAGTAAAGCAATGAGTCACTCTACAGGAGAGTAAAGCAATAAGTCACTCTATAGGAGAGTAAAGCAATGTGTCACTCTATAGGAGAGTAAAGCAATGAGTCACTCTACAGGAGAGTAAAGCAATAAGTCACTCTATAGGAGAGTAAAGCAATGTGTCACTCTACAGGAGCGTAAAGCAATGAGTCACTCTATAGGAGAGTAAAGCAATGTGTCACTCTATAGGAGAGTAAAGCAATGAGTCACTCTACAGGAGAGTAAAGCAATGAGTCACTCTACAGAAGAGTAAAACAATGAGTCACTCTATAGAAGAGTAAAGCAATGAGTCGCTCTATAGGAGAGTAAAGCAATATGTCACTCTATAGGAGAGTAAAGCAATGAGTCACTCTATGGAAAGTAAAGCAATGAGTCACTCTATGGGACAGTGAAGAAAATATGTCACTAAATGGGATAGTGAAATAATGTGTCACGCTAGGGTGGAGTGAAACATATGTCACTTCAAGGGGGAATGATTCAATGACTCAATAAGAGAGTGACACAATGAATATGAATAAACAAATGAGTAAATCATAGGGCACTGAGTTAGAAAAATGACAATAAGAAAATCAAACAGACTATATGTATTTTATAATACTTTACTTTCAAGATTTAAATATGACTGTTGTGTAAAGAAAGAATCTGCAAAATTCAGAACATAACATACCAGTACTGGCCTTATGTATTATCTGATATGCAATGTATAAATTTCAATAAGCTTTTTTGAAGATGGAAGTAATTTGAAATTACTTACAGGCGACACCAAAATCTGTCGTAGCAAAGATTCCAGGAATAGGACCACATTTAAAGTTGGAATCCAAGGTACCATCCGTTGTAAACAGTAAGACCTCATCATGCAGGTGAGAAACAAATTTATCCTTCAGATGTGAGGTGTAATTCCTATCACAGGCATAGTAACTCCCATATTCATTCTCTATCTGAACCATGATCACCGGGCCGCCATTACTATACAAAAGGGGGCGGAGCATCGGAAGAAGCTTGTCAAGCCAAAGGTCCATGTAGTGGATGTAGACTGGCAAGGTAAGACAGACATTTTCAGTGAGTTTAATACAACTATTGCTGAAGAATTCAATGACAAGTCAGACATATATGGATTGTATTTTTTGATATAATATGCATATGAACACCAATTTGATGGGATAGAGACAAAAAAAATCATTGTTAGGCACATGAATGCATACAGACAAATATGACATCAATTTGGAGTCATGTCTACGAAATAATGAAACATAACCTAGACATGAATATGGAACAAGTGTCCTTAGAAGTCACGGTATGTAGGTAGATTGATTCAAAATGTCACAATTCATATACTCACCTGGATCCATTGTCCTAAAAACAGTGTTGGGGTTCTTTTGAAGGATCCAAGCTGGCAGTCCTCCCTACATCAGTAACAGATATTTAATTGATAATAGATCTTCATCATGCTCATATCAAAATGTTACTTTAGGCCAAATATAAGCAACAAACCACACAGTGGCCACTACCAGTAAATTTATATTTCTTATGAAAGAAGATAATTTACAGAAAGATGATGAAAAAACAGTATGTAATATGTAAAACAGAAGATTAAACTTTTCTCCATTTTTTTTTAATTAAGATTTTACTGAGTGTCTCGTCAGTCAAACATGTCTGGAGACCGACACCTATTTCAACGTTGTAAATATATATAAACATATTTTATGGATACTATATAGATTGGTATATGGCATGTAAATGAACACCTATGTGTAGCTCTATCTGGTAAACTTAATATTTGTAATTTGATGTCTATATCACACAGTGGTTTCTATTGACTGAGGACATCTACTGCCAGGTAAAAAAATCACTTCCTTGATGATCTAATTATGAATTCTGTTAAACTGCTGATGTATATGATTCCAAAACACAAACAATAAATTCTGTTACAATTATATCACAGTAAAAACTATTTTCTGAGTAAACTGGCCGGACTAGACGCACATAAACATCAAGATACTAAAAATAATTGTAAATCAACACCATTCTCATCCTACTCAAAAGTAGGTGTCTTAATTGATTTTGATTAGCTTAAAAAACACCTACAAACTCCCATTCACCATCAATATAAGGCCCAGCTCTCAGGACGACCAGTAACCCTATTTCCTTGGCCATGGATATGAACTGCACCACATCATTTTGTCCATCAAAGTCAAATTTGTTCTCCAATGGCTGGTGGACATTCCAAGGAACGTATCTACAAATACACATACCCTGTAATGTTATATTTCTCTGATGGTTAATGTTAGTCATTTCAATCACAATATACCTGATGTTACCAGTGAGTTGGCTTTCTTTGATATTAGATTAGTTTTGTTTTGAGGTTGATTGTTACAAGTGAGTATTAATTTCTTTGTCAAACAACAAACATACCAAGGACGTGTCTTACTTTCATGTTAGTGCACAATCACTCTTCTGCTTAATCACAAACAAGAGGTCCAATTGGCCTGCAGTGCTCACCTGGTATATATATATATATATATAAACCATCCAAATATCATACCTCTTGTCCTTTTAGTTCATGAGAAGAAGTCATTTAAAGGTTTTACCACATGTGACTCCTGTGACCTTGAATATAGGTCAAGGTAATGTCTTTTTCGAAATGTTGTTGGGCTTCATCCTAGGAACATTCAAGCCAAATATCAAATCTCAAAGCCTTTAGTTCATGAGAAAAAGTCCTTTAAAGTTTTTAACAATTCTGACCCCTGTGACCTTGAATACAGGTCAAGGTGATTTCTTTTCACAAACTTTGTTGGGCTTCATTCTTGGAACATACCAGCCAAATTTTAAAATATTGAGTCTTTTGAAAGCTGGTCGACAAACGCCTTGCCATGGCATAAGCTCACCTTCGGCCCAAATGAGCTAAAAATCATAAGACTCTTTTGGAAATTGTAAAACAATTTATCAGTTAGCAACCTACGTAAGTTGGAGCCAAATATCTGAACATATGTTATTGGCATCATTACATGCTGAAATGTAAAAAAAAAAACTTCCTCTTCACAAGCGAAGGATTCAATTTTTTATCACTATTAGAGAGATCACAAGTAATCACATCTACCACAGCTTCTGTGTTAGACAACTTGTATTATTTCTGACAGTAAGATGACGTTTATGTATGTAATTACCAAACCTTCAGTTTTTCATGACAAAGTGCATTGGTGCAGAGATGATTTGGGTACATCAAGTGTAGACCTTAGATTTCAAAGATTTGAAAAAAAAAATCTGAAAAGTTATGTTACAACAGTAAACTTCAAAACTTCAGCAGCACAAACAACTGATGATAGTACAAACTGATTCAATGTACAATAAACACTCACACCTGAATGGCATCCAGTCCAGCGGCATACATCTTAAGGAGTCTGTCTTTCCAGTAATATTGTGGGATACGACTGTAGTGGATACTCCCAGACACATACCGGAATGGCTTCCCATCCTTCAGGAATGTGTTATTTTCATAATCTACAGTGAAACTCCTGGTAGGAACCTGTGAAAAAAGAGAGTGCTTCAAAAATCTGTAAGCAATCTGATGGCATTTCTTTCTTACTCTATCTTCACAGTAAAATGTACAGAATTGTAACGTTTTGCTCTGGTTCTTTTTCACTGACATGAATAGTACAAATGACAAGCAACAGTACGATGAAGGATGAGATTTATTTACACATGTATTAACTGAATGCTCCCGCACATCAAGTACATGTGGCAACTGCTGCCTCGACGATAAAGAATTGCTGGGAACCATTAAGGTTGGCAACTACGCCGGCGTCTCTTGCCTAGTGCTCCTAGCCTTCCGTGGTGTACTCTGCACCATGCCAATATCCCTGCCGTATACTCGTCCTAGGTTCCCAGTTACGCCAGCAATTCCATATCAGCAAGTGTAACCGGGTGCAAATTTCAAAAATATATAAATTACCATGTCAACCACTTCCATGTGCAGCAAAATGGAAAAAGACCTTTGGCCAGTGATCACTGGTCGTATATATACATGTGAACAGAATCAGGATAACATGGACAATATTATAATCATCAACAGAAAATACAATATAAGTGACAATACCACGGATGAATACACACAATAAAACTGCTCATAACCTGTACACTTAATATAGCATATCAAACTTACTGTTAATGCATAAATAGGTAGTATACCTGGCACATTCATTACATTACCCACGCCCCAATTTTAGACCATCTCGGGCAACAAATACGAATAGATGCTCGAAAATATTTTTATAATGTTTTTCTAAAGTATTCAAGCACATTAACACCTGCAGAACTTATGTTCACATTTTTTGTACACACAGATATGACACAGTATAAATCACCACTTCCCTATTTTCCTCATCTTGTTTGAAAATGGCATTCTTAGATGGTAGCAATAAGTTTAACAGCAGAGAGTGAAGAAAAAACACATCAGATCTTTTATATGGTTCATGGTTAATAGCCAACGTTACACTGTATATATTTGCACAAGAAATATTCATTTCTTTTATTTTAACTTTGTGCTAAAATTACAATTTATATAATTTTACTATAATTGTGTTCCCCATTTACTATGGTGTATAGCCAGTGGGAGCATTTGGTGCAAATGTCATATCATTTACCTGTGTTCTATTTATAGTAACATTTTAAGAAATGCAAGCGATAAAGTTTGAGATTTTTACCCAGAAAAAAGCCAGACAATTGAATTATTCACTTCTTGTTCAAAAAAATGTATTGTTGCAATGGTCAAAATATGACGCCCGTTTCTTGTTGCAAACGCTTAAAAGAACTTGATAATTTTTTTAATTAAAACTGTCACTCAAAGGCAGGACCATTATGCTTATTATACTTGAGTGAGCCCAACTTTGAAACGGTATGATCAGGTAACATTCCTGCTTCAACAAGTATATTCACACTTTCATTAGACAAGGACGTACCTTTACATCAACGTGATGACAGTACATTTCCAATACAGAGAAACATAGATGAACATGTAAAAATGAAATTTCATGACAACCTTACCGTAATTATAGACGATAAAGTGACGATCACACTGGGAAAACACAGAGTGACAAGCAGCGCATTCACCAATGCCGCCATTTTGGACTGGTCACATGACCAAGGCCGCTGTCGTTTATGCGAAGAAACCTACTCGTTCACAAAAGAACTTCAGACTTATTTCAAACAAAAATCGTTATGGACCTGCCAATATCAATATATGCCTCGACCACTTTTGGTTAAAAAGCAAAATAAGACAAAATGAAACTTGTAGATCCGACATTGATTTATAAATGAGCAAATCATATCAAACAGCGAAACCACCGATAAATGCAAACGACAGGTGCCGGTGCGTTCTACACGGACTTAAAACATGTCCGTAGTGTTCTCGAGTACTGAATGCTAAAATAACTCATGACGTTTGCATATCCACATCGGTTATAAAAATTTTAGACAGCGTTACCATGGTTATATATACAGGTAACATGTGGATAGTGTTACCTTGGTTATATACAGGTAACACGTGGATAGTGTTACCATGGTTATATACAGGTAACATGTGGACAGTGTTACCTTGGTTATATACAGATAACATGTGGGCAGTGTTACATTGGTTATATACAGGTAACATATGGACAGTGTTACCTTAGTTATATACAGGTAACATGTGGACAGTGTTACCTTGTTATACACAGGGAACATGTGGACAGTGTTACTTTGGTTATATACAGGTAGCATGTGGACATCGTTACCTTCGTTATATACAGGTAACATATGGACAGTGTTACCATGGTTATATACAGGTAACATGTGGACAGTGTTACCTTGGTTATATACAAGTAGCATGTGGACATTGTTACCTTGGTTATATACAGGTAACATGTGAACAGTGTTACCTTGGTTATATACAGGTTACACGTGGACAGTGTTACCTTGGTTATACACAGGAAAAATGTGGACAGTGTTACCTTGGTTATATACAGGTTACACATGGACAGTTTGACCTTGGTTATATACAGGTAAGATGTGGACAGTGTTACCATGGTTATATACAGGTAACATGTGGACAGTGTTACCTTGGTTATATACAGGGAACATGTGGACAGTGTTACCTTAGTTATATACAGGTAACATGTGGACAGTGTTACCTTGGTTATATACAGGTTACACGTGGACATTGTTACCTTGGTTATATACAGGTAACATGTGGACAGTGTTACCTTGGTTATATACAAGTAGCATGTGGACATTGTTACCTTGGTTATATACAGGTAACATGTGAACAGCGTTACCTTGGTTATATACAGATAAGATGTGGACTGGACAGTGTTACCTTGGTTATATACAGATAACATGTGGGCAGTGTTACCTTGGTTATATACAGGTTACACGTGGACAGTGTTACCTTGGTTATATACAGGTTACACGTGGACAGTGTTACCTTGTTATACACAGGGAACATGTGGACAGTGTTACTTTGGTTATATACAGGTAGCATGTGGACATCGTTACCTTCGTTATATACAGGATAGTTACATGGACTGGACAGTGTTACCTTGGTTATATACAGGTAACATGTGGACAGTGTTACCTTGGTTATATACAGATGTACAGACCTTGGTTATATACAGGACTGGACAGTGTTACCTTGGTTATATACAGGTAGCATGTGGACAGTGTTACCTTGGTTATATACAGGTTACACGTGGACATGGACAGTGTTACCTTGGTTATATACAGGTAACATGTGGACAGTGTTACATTGGTTATATACAGGTAACATGTGGACAGTGTTACCTTGGTTATATACAGGTAACATGTGGACAGTGTTACCTTGGTTATATACACATATGTGAACAGCGTTATGTTATATGTAAGATGTGGACAGTGTTACCTTGGTTTTTTTATATACAGTGGACAGTGTGTAAAACATGTGGACATTATTCATGTCTTGCTGTTATATACATAAACATGTGTTATATAAAACCTTTGTTACCTTGGTAGTGTTATAGGGAACAGGTGACAGTGTTACCTTGGTTATATACAGGTTACACGTGGACAGTGTTACCTTGGTTATACACAGGAAAAAGACCTTGGTTATGTACAGGTTAAAATGTGGACAGGTAACATGTGGAATGGTATAACAGTGTTACCTTTATATACAGGTAACATGAACATCTTGGTTATATACAGGTTACACGTGGACATGACCTTGGTTATGTTACATTGTTATATACAGTGTTAGGTAAACATGTGGACAGTGTTACCAGTTATATACAGGTTACAGACAGTGTTACCTTGGTTATATACAGGTTACAAGTGGACAGTGATACCTTGGTTATATACAGTTAAGTATCTATAATGTATGTAAGATGTCTGGACAGTGTTACCTTGGTTATATACAGGTAACAGTGTTACCTTGGTTATATACGATGTGGACACAGTGTTACCTTGGTTATTACAGGTAACATGTTGACAGTGTTACCTTGGTTATATACCTTGGTTATATACAGGTAACATGTGGACAGTGTTACCTTGGTTATATACAAGTAGCATGTGGACAGTGTTACATTGGTTATATACAGGTAACATGTGGACAGTGTTACCTTAGTAATATACAGGTTACACGTGGACAGTGTTACCTTGGTTATATACAGATAAGATGTGGACTGGACAGTGTTACCTTGGTTATATACAGGTAACATGTTGACAGTGTTACCTTGGTTATATACAGGTAACATGTGGACAGTGTTACCTTGGTTATATACAGGTAACATGTGGACAGTGTTACCTTGGTTATATACAAGTAGCATGTGGACAGTGTTACATTGGTTATATACAGGTAACATGTGGACAGTGTTACCTTAGTAATATACAGGTTACACGTGGACAGTGTTACCTTGGTTATATACAGATAAGATGTGGACTGGACAGTGTTACCTTGGTTATATACAGGTAACATGTGGACAGTGTTACCTTGGTTATATACAGGTAACATGTTGACAGTGTTACCTTGGTTATATACAGGTTACACGTGGACAGTGTTACCTTGGTTATATACAGATAAGATGTGGACTGGACAGTGTTACCTTGGTTATATACAGGTAACATGTTGACAGTGTTAAATTGGTTATATACAGGTAACATGTGGACAGTGTTACCTTGGTTATATACAGGTAACATGTGGACAGTGTTACCTTGGTTATATACAGGTTACACGTGGACAGTGTTACCTTGGTTATATACAGATAAGATGTGGACTGGACAGTGTTACCTTGGTTATATACAGGTAACATGTGGACAGCGTTACCTTGGTTATATACAGATAAGATGTGGACTGAACAGTGTTACCTTGGTTATATACAGGTAGCATGTTGACAGTGTTACATTGGTTATATACAGGTTACACGTGGACAGCGTTACCTTGGTTATATACAGATAAGATGTGGACTGGACAGTGTTACCTTGGTTATATACAGGTAACATGTGGACAGTGTTACATTGGTTATATACAGGTAACATATGGACAGTGTTGCCCTACTTATTATGAGTAGTGTTACCTTGGTCACATATATGTGTAAGATGTGAACAATTATACTTTTGTTTTTTTTTTATCTACATGTAGTAGTGTAAAAAGTGACATTATTCACTGTCTTGCTGAATAAACATGTGATAAAAACCTTTGTCTTATGGTAGTGTTATAGGGAAAGGTGACTTAATTGGGAACATCTGCACCATAGAAAAATGAAAACAGATAAGCATGATAATTATAACTAACTTTATTAGAAATCATGAACATCGCAAACATTCAAACATGAAATCTTAATTGTTAATTATTACCCTATAAAAAGTACCAGAGAATTCTTGTCATTTAGATGAAAAAGAGAAAAGAAATCCACTTAGACAGAAGTAAATCTATAATGTATGTATTTCTATGTCGTATTTAACATAAACAACACTTTCATTTTACAGTTAATTACATTACACCTATGTATTTAAACAGGATTGGTACATGTATTGACATTGCCGTTTCTTTCTCTCAAAAAATCATGTGAGAGAATCACTAGAAACATATTACTTTGTCAAGGTTAGAAAAGACAACATTATATGTCTAGGTCTTCAGACATGGCGATGATATTGGTTTGGAGGTCGTTAGTTCAAGGTCGTTGTAACCTTGAGATTGTTGTTGTACCATTAATGAGTGGATGATCGACGAAGCTTACACTACAGGAAACACCAGAATCACAGGGAGCCTTCTCCAGCTCTAGCATGATCAGGGTATTGGGACGAGATTGACCATGCAGGTACGGAGCAGGGACATACATTCTCACCTGTGGCCCTGCCACCGGCCAATAACGTCCAAGATTGATCTCACCCTCAAGTAATGCCTGACCCTAAAATAGACATAATAGTAAAAGTGTCAGAATGAGTCATCTAGAAGTTTTCTGGAATAAGATTGTTGAAAAAAGAGAGATGTATATGGTATATGTAAATAGTTTTAAATGGAGCTTTCCAAATCTTTTCTCTTCTAACAATGTATGAATGCTTATATACTCTGGTGTATCTACAGACATTACAACAGAATTACAAGTGTTTAAAGAAGAGATGTCATTTATTCATGTTATGATGAAGGTTCACATAGTTAACATAATGGATTTTATCGCATGGAAACCATTGGCAAATTCTACTTTGAATAACCTTTGTCCATCCAGTCATGTCCAAGTAGGTGTCTTGTGGATCTCCACTGATGGTCAGGTGTCCTACATAGATAGAGGGCACTTTGGTGTCCACAGCTTTGAATGCTGGCCTGGAAGTTATCGAAAATAAAATACTGTATGAGAAATAATAGTAAAGAGCACTTTGGTGTCTACAGCTGAAAATCCTGGCCTGTAAGTAACTATAATAAAGAACACTTTGGTGTCTACAGCTGTGAATCCTGAGCTGTCAGTAACTATAATAAAGAACACTTTGGTGTCTACAGCTGTGAATCCTGGCCTGTAAGTAACTATAATAAAGAACACTTTGGTGTCTACAGCTGTGAATCCTGAGCTGTCAGTAACTATAATAAAGAACACTTTGGTGTCTACAGCTGTGAATCCTGGTCTGTAAGTAACTATAATAAAGATCACTTTGGTGTCTACAGCTGTGAACCCTGGACCGTGAGTAACTATAATAAAGAACACTTTGGTGTCTACAGCTGTGAATCCTGGCCTGTAAGTAACTATAATAAAGAACACTTTGGTGTCTACAGCTGTGAATCCTGGCCTGTAAGTGACTATAATAAAGAGCACTTTGGTGTCTACAGCTGTGAATCCTGGTCTGTAAGTTACTATAATAAAGAACACTTTGGTGTCTACAGCTGTGAACCATGGCCTGTAAGTAACTATAATAAAGAACACTTTGGTGTCTACAGCTGTGAATCCTGGCCTGTAAGTAACTATAATAAAGAGCACTTTGGTGTCTACAGCTGTGAACCCTGGCCTGTAAGTAACTATAATAAAGAACACTTTGGTGTCTACAGCTGTGAATCCTGGCCTGTAAGTAACAAATGTACTGCTCTCACATTGTCTATATTCTGGGATGTATACATGTGATGATAACAAAGGAGATAGTGTGCACATTGGAGTGATAAATTTAGGATTTCATGATATTCTGGGATGTATACATGTGATGATAACAAAGGAGATAGTGTGCACATTGGAGTGATAAATTTAGGATTTCATGATATTCTGGGATGTGTACATGTGATGATAACAAAGGAGATAGTGTGCACATTGGAGTGATAAATTTAGGATTTCATGATATTCTGGGATGTGTACATGTGATGATAACAAAGGAGATAGTGTGCACATTGGAATGATAAATTTAGGATTTCATGATATTCTGGGATGTATACATGTGATGATAACAAAGGAGATAGTGTGCACATTGGAGTGATAAATTTAGGATTTCATGATATTTTGTTATTTCCGTGGTTGTCTTAGTTGTATCAGTGGATTCTACAACAAATTTACAAATTTATTTGCTATATTCTTTTGTAATATATATACATACTGTTGTGATATTACAGTTGAGTTGATATTATCTGGCAAAACAGGGAATATAACCCAGTCCTGAAGCGTCTCCCCACCAAGTGTAACATTCTCTATCAGTCCCTGTAAATATCATTAGACATACATGTAGTCAATAAATATAGATGATACTGCCTCAATGAACAGAGGAGGCAACCAAAACCTAGAACATCTCACCATCAAGTCTTACTTTCCCAATTAGCCCCTGTAAATGGGGTAGGCATGTACGATAAACATCGGAGATAAGTCACCTTGTAAATAGGAGAGATATTCCAATCATACAGTACAATACCACTTATATAACATAATATATTCATCTTTGGTTACTAAGTACATAATAAACAGGGGAGATAACCTAAACCTGTACTATATCAGTCCTTGGCAACTACGTATATAATACACAGGGGAGATAACCTAAACCTGTACTATATCAGTCCTTTGTTACTATGTATATAATAAACAGGGGAGATAAACTAAACATGTACTATATCAGTCCTTTGTTAATATGTACATAATAAACAGGGGAGATAACCTAAACCTGTACTATATCAGTCCTTGGTTACTATGTACATAATAAACAGGGGAGATAACCTAAACCTGTACTATATCAGTCCTTGGTTACTATGTATATAATAAACAGGGGAGATAACCTAAACCTGTACTATATCAGTCCTTTGTTACTATGTATATAATAAACAGAGGTGATAACCTAAACCTGTATTGTATCAGTCCTTTGTTACTTTGTATACAATTAACAGGGGTGATAACCTAAACCTGTACTATATCAGTCCTTGGTATCTACGTATATAATACACAGGGGAGATACCTTAATTCTGTATTGTATCAGTCCTTGGTTACTATGTATATAATAAACAGGGGAAATAACCTAAACCTGTACTATATAAGTCCTTTGTTAATATGTTCATAATAAACAGGGGAGATAACCTAAACCTGTACTATATTAGTCCTTGGTTACTATGTACATAATAAACAGGGGAGATAACCTAAACCTGTACTATATCAGTCCTTGGTTACTATGTACATAATAAACAGGGGAGATAACCTAAACCTGTACTATATAAGTCCTTTGTTACTATGTACATAATAAACAGGGGAGATAACCTAAACCTGTACTATATCAGTCCTTGGTTACTATGTATATAATAAACAGGGGAGATAACCTTAACCTGTACTATATCAGTCCTTTGTTACTATGTATATAATAAACAGAGGTGATAACCTAAACCTGTATTGTATCAGTCCTTTGTTACTTTGTATATAATTAACAGGGGTGATAACCTAAACCTGTACTATATCAGTCCTTGGTATCTACGTATATAATACACAGGGGAGATACCTTAATCCTGTATTGTATCAGTCCTTGGTTACTATGTATATAATAAACAGGGGAGATAACCTAAACCTGTACTACATCAGTCCTTTGTTACTATGTATATAATAAACAGGGGAGATAACCTAAACCTGTATTTTATCAGTCCTTGGATACTTTTTTATATAAAAAAGTGGAGGGGGTTTGGGTAATCTACACCAGGACTTTATCATTCCTAAATATACTCAGTACATTATAAACAGGGGAGATAATTTGTACCTGGGTATTTATCATTACCAGGAATGACATACACTTTGTTAGAGCAATTAACTAAACACTAGCTGTGTAATTATCATTTGGGCTCACAGCAGGGATTCATTGTAATCAACCCAGAAACCAAATTAAATGGAAGAGTCTGACCACAGTAAACAGTTAGCCCCTACAGTAGGCCTGTATGTCATGTGCAATAATTACAGGTTAATGTTGTGTTCAGTTTTGTATTTCACAGTACAGAGATGTGATGTATATCATTCTAATATGTACCAGAGATATAACTGATATTGAAGCATCTGAATTGTCACCGAGTGTGCCAATCTCCATTGGTCTAGGGAGATAATCCAACAGTATCTCTCACCACCCAAAGATGCCTTAACCAAGTAGCACCTCTTCACAAAGTGTGTGTGCACTAGTCATTGTGATACAAAACAGGACAATGAAAAACAACAAACCCTAAGGAAACTGAACTCTTGAAATACAAAACTGCATTGCTGCTTTTTTGATTGAAGACAGAATCTATTTGACACTTACCTTGAGGTTTTCTGTCAAGGCCCGACCCACATTCACATGTCCCTGATTCTCCACCAGGATGTCCAACACCTGTCCTTTTTTTCCACTCATAAGCAAAAGTGGATCTTTCTCCCGAATAACAATGCCGATAGTTGTCTGTGTAGATGGATACAAATATGAGAATAATCTTATGAAGGCCCTTTTGCACTTACCAGAATATGAAAGAGTAATGTTAACAGAACAAGCAACATATTAAAGGAACAAAGGCAATTAGATTTAGAAAAGGATAGATGTAATGTATCAGACAATGTTCAAAAGACACAACCCAACCTTGTGGCACCAAGGAAAGCTGGCTGCTAGTGATTCCAGTATTTGTTAACTGTTATGGGTGATAATTATACATACAAATATGTACTTTCTTTAACAGTCACCAATCTATGGCCTCTACACAGATCATATATGTCACGTAAGCATGTATATTTTGTATATTTTGTAACTTTTACTGAATTATTGTTCACAGGGTAAGTAACCTTAATAGTGGTTATCACTGGGCAGATGTACAGGTATGAACTGTATGTGAGATCGATGTTTGTTTTGATACCGACATATGAGTTATACTAACATCACACTTTATGTTCATATGGGTCAGACACAGATGACAGGTTGTGGTAAGCAATGTTCTTTCTTTCTTTTTTCTTATTCTGATATTATTTAATCCATGCCAGTTAATTTATCATGTTAAGCAATCAATGTGTTGGTGTGCTACATTCATGTATGACTTTAGTATATTGTGTTTTTATATTTATAAATGTATATATATATTTATATTGTATCATTATAATTTCGTATTTCCTAGTCCTAATTGTTGTGTTCTATTAACATACACGTTGTTGTTTTGAGATTATTTTACTTTATATATGGCGAGTGTACACCCACAGGGTGGAACAAATATGGAACCCTTGAGATGTCATTTATTAGAAGTTGTGCTAAGTCATTTTTGTAGTAGCTAATTGGAGCTGCACACTAGCTTGTCTATTTATGTCATATTGTAATTACCTGTAATGTGTAATTTACAGTAAAATTAACAAATACTTGTCAATTTCAAGAGTAATTAGCATTTTAATAGGTTGTTAAGTAAGAGAGACACAAACTGAGGTCAGTGTCTGATGTGAGGAGAGATCGATGTCTTGTGATTTTGACCCAGAAGTTGAGGTTTGCCTAACATTTTACAGCATGTGCTATGTCACTGTTGGCTCATGTGATACAACTAACAGTGAATCATTTAAGTATGGAACTGCTTGTTGCTCAGCATGGTCGTGACTTTGTATGCTTTCAGTTTATCTATGTTCCAGGATGTGTTTACTGATCTTCACCAGACATACTGTGAAGCTGCAGACAGTTATTTGACATAATTGTTTTGAGAGTGTGTTAACTTGTGAGTGCATTTTAATATATATGTATTTTGCATATAAATTCTTTATTGTTTCATTGTAGATAAACATTTGTCATTGTAATCAATCTTTTCGGTCTTCTTTTCCCGCATCACAGACCAATGGTCATTCCATGTTAACAAGATAGTACATGTATTTATACCTGAATCGGTTTGGGAGAAATTATCATTGTATCTAGAAAGGCATGGGAAGGCAGACTCCCATCCCTAGAGCAGATTCATAACTTTTAGTTGTCAAACATGACAATTGTTGAGGTTTTTGAAAATTCTGAATACATCAACATTTAGAATAATGCAGGATTAGCAGTTACTGATGAAGAATACAAATTAACATCAGTTAGGGATGAGATAAAAGGAACTCAATGTCTAGAAAAAAATATTTTTTAAGTGACAAATATGAAACAATTTCATTTTTGGTACTTTTGAGAATCTTCTCTCTCAGATATAAATACCCTATCAATTTCCAGCAGGTATCCCCTGTCTCACACACTAAATACCTGAGTGTAACTTATATTGTCCAGCATGACATACCACCTGTCTCACACACCAAACACCTGAGTGTAACTTACATTGCCCTGTATGACATACCACCTGTCTCACACACCAGACACCTGAGTGTAACTTACATTGCCCTGTATGACATACCACCTGTCTCACACACCAGACACCTGAGTGTAACTTACATTGTCCAGCATGACATATCACCTGTCTCATACACCAGACACCTGAGTGTAACTTACATTGCCATGTATGACATACCACCTGTCTTACACACCAGACACCTGAGTGTAACTTACATTGTCCAGCATGACATATCACCTGTCTCATACACCAGACACCTGAGTGTAACATACATTGTCCAGCCTGACATATCACCTGTCTCATACACAAGACACCTGAGTGTAACTTACATTGACCAGCATCACATACTACCTGTCTCAACACACCAGACACCTGATGGTAACTTACATTGTCCAGCACGACATACCACCTGTCCCTCACTCCAGACACCTGAGTGTAACTTACATTGTCCAGCATGACATACCACCTGTCCCTCACTCCAGAAACCTGAGTGTAACTTACATTGTCCAGCCTGACATATCCCATGTCCCTCACTCCAGAAACCTGAGTGTAATTTACATTGTCCAGCATGACATATCCCATGTCCCTCACTCCAGACACCTGAGTGTAACAAACATTGTCCAGCATGACATATCCCCTGTCCCTCACTCCAGACACCTGAGTGTAACTTACATTGTCCAGCATGACATATCCCCTGTCCCTCACTCCAGACATCTGAGTGTAACTTACATTGTCCAGCATGACATATCCCCTGTCCCTCACTCCAGAAACCTGAGTGTAACTTACATTGTCCAGCATGACATATCCCATGTCCCTCACTCCAGAAACCTGAGTGTAACTTACATTGTCCAGCATGACATATCCCCTGTCCCTCACTCCAGACACCTGAGTGTAACTTACATTGTCCAGCATGACATATCCCCTGTCCCTCACTCCAGAAACCTGAGTGTAACTTACATTGTCCAGCATGACATATCCCCTGTCCCTCACTCCAGAAACCTGAGTGTAACTTACATTGTCCAGCATGACATATCCCCTGTCCCTCACACCAGAAACCTGAGTGTAACTTACATTGTCCAGCATGACATATCCCCTGTCCCTCACTCCAGACATCTGTGTGTAACTTACATTGTCCAGCATGACATATCCCCTGTCCCTCACTCCAGAAACCTGAGTGTAACTTACATTGTCCAGCATGACATATCCCCTGTCCCTCACTCCAGAAACACGAGTGTAACTTACATTGTCCAGCATGACATATCCCCTGTCCCTCACTCCAGAAACCTGAGTGTAACTTACATTGTCCAGCATGACATATCCCCTGTCCCTCACACCAGAAACCTGAGTGTACCTTACATTGTCAAGCATGACATATCCCCTGTCCCTCACTCCAGAAACCTGAGTGTAACTTACATTGTCCAGTATGACATATCCCCTGTCCCTAACACCAGGTACTTGTAAAACTGTGTTAATGTTGACATCTTTTTTAAGGACATGCCTGTACAGTGCAAATCCTTGATTCTGAAACAGTCAGAAAGGAATGAGTTGGTTAAGAGAATCTAACGATTCATTAACATGAATTCACCCTTAAAATCTTATCCATGATTACAAATATACACACCAGTAACCTATTAACCAAACAGATGACTTTAAATTAACAATTTTGTAATCTCTGTACTTTTTAGATATGATTATCTTTTACTTCAAACTACACTTGTGTTGTCATTTTCAATCTTTGTCCTTAATAAAGATGTTAAGAAAAGAAAGATGAATTATAACTGCAGACTAAACTTACACTGTCTTTAATTAGTAATTATTAATTATTTGTGTAGAAGGATTGATGGGACACCTCCACACAAGAAAGGTTTTATCCCTATCTAGATAACTAAGGAACAACTTTTTGACAGCAGTACTGTGGAATAGAGAGTAATTTGATGCTACACTGTGTGGATGACTTGCCTGGCCTATGGCCTCCATGGTAAGCGGATACACAGAGTTCACCCCACCAGTAGGACTGAGATGTTCCAGAAGGTCTTGTACAGTTCCCAACTGGAAACAAGTGACATTTCTCAATTAGCATTTTGTTAAGTGTATGGCACCTCACTTTTATGTATACTGGTAAATATTTTACTTCTGGACCAGTTTAGGATCGCAATCAAAATTTGTACATCAATAACTTTAGTAATCTATCATGTTACTTTACTGGGATTTCTGATACTTTTCAGACCAATTGTGATGTAATTAACTTACAAACTTCATCGGGACCGTGCCATACTTGACCTTCGTTGAGGGTGCAGGAATTGGGACATCTGGGAGACGATTGTACTGAGGAAAAAAACAATTTATAAACAGATCAACAAATCAAAAAATTACAAATTATATCAGACACAATATTCTTAAAATTTTTATGACATTGATTCAATCTAGTAAAAATTAGCATTGTAATTCCGTTCCAACACATTTAAGTGAATTGTAGAGGAGGAAAATTTCAAATCTAATTTTTATTAAATTCGACATCAAAGTAAAACATGATATCATGTATATATTACACAGGTTCGATATTTGTGATTGACCTCCAGACTCTTTATCAATGCTGTCCATTCATAACGAGGTAGTTGTCTGATGACATCATTGATAAGAAGTAAAAAGTTGAAATTTTAATTTTAAATGAAATTGAATGTTTTGAATTTTTTCTTTGTTTTGAGTGTATGGTTTAAGAAATTAACCAAAATGTCATTGCTTTTAGAGCTTAGTATAGTTTGTTGACATTCACCTTTGATATAATATTTCTTAGTGTGAGGTACTTTGGAGTTATGTCCCCTGCTTCTGTCAAAGGTGCATCATAATCATAGCTTGTAGGTATTGGGTCAAAAAATGGGAAAACAAAGTAATTAGCACCTGAAAAAAGGATAGAAAAATATGTTGTAAAACATAGATATATAGCTGCATGTTGTTCTATTTTACCTTGGGTGTGTTTTATATATATATATATAGTTGAAAAGAATTAAATCAACACGACAAATGTATTCCGCTAACGTTTTCAGGACTAACGACCATCTTCAGGCGATGCATTTATTATGATGTCATACATAATACATAAAAGGAACATTTTTAATTTTTCCTTTTTACAAAATGGCCGATTCGGGTGTGATAAAAAGATTGTGTAAATTTTTTGAAAAAACCTTTAAACATAATTGATTAATAAGAAAGCCACATAAATGTTATGTCAATATACTGCGAACCATAATATTATCTCCCCTTCTCTTATGTATTATGTATGACGTTACAATGTCGTTACCAACACATTATGATAAATGTATCGCCTGAAGATGGCCATTAGGCCTCAAAATATTAGGTCGTGTTTTATTCTTGTCAAATATTCTATTGATACACAAAGCATTTTTAAGTTAAATATATATATATATATATATATATATATATTTAAATCTGTATATCAATTTTGATCTTCATGAACCAAAGCAGCTGGAGTACTGCCTGGCTAGGGTTGTTGATTAAGAGTGTAAAAAAAACAAATCTACATCAACAATTGAATTTCTCCTTCTGCTAGTGGTTTATTTTAATGGATGTTTGTACATATGTTATCCAAAATGACTTTTCAGGATTATATATTTTTTAAATAATATTTAATCAACAGAAAATCTTAACATACCATTCCAGTATCCAAAGTTGGTACCTCCTTCGAACATGTACCTGTAATTAATTGTTTTTTACCTGTACTAGAGACATACTACTGAAAACAGAGCTGCACTTGTTAATTCATTAATACTCTGATTATCATTTTTTTTTTATTATTTATTCTAATATTTCTAGGATTAGGCATTAAAAATCAACAAAAGATGATAGAAATATGATAAAATTCACATGAAATGTTTGTTGGTATATCCTTTAGGACTAAAGCATCTCTGTTACTGACTCATAAAGCCAAGCATAAGAGGACACTGCTGATATATGTATTGTCTCCCTTTACACACAAACTGAGTATAGGTATCATGATATCAGTCTCACATGTTAACATTCGCTCCGTATCTAAGCAGCTCATCGAGATCTTTGGCGACTTTTTCTGTACTTCTGACCTGGTGTTTAGATCCCCAGTAATCCAGCCAGCCAGTGTAAAACTCTGAATTCACCTGTAACATTATAAATTAAGCCTGTATATGAACACATTGTCACACATAACATTTTTTAGCTTTATCATATATGTTTTTGATTGATGTAATCCTGATCGTGATCTATTGGGTTATTGTAGAAAGATGATGATGATGATGATGATGATGATGGTGGTGGTGGTTTCTCGTCTCCGTGACTCAGCCCGTCGCTGGGCATAGTCCAATCTACATGTGTCGATTCTCTGGCGACGTGACGGGGGTGCTCCGCTCATGGGTTAGAGTCGTCTGGGGGTTGATTGGTTTATAATTTGGAGACGACTCCCTGGTCTACAGGTAGATCTTAAATTATCATTTTGTGACCATTTCCCACAGTTTGTAATTGATATATAATTTAGATCACCATTTTCCACAGTTTGTAATTGATATATAACTTTGGTAACCATTTTCCTATTTTTTCAGACAACTCTAAATAAGATGTTGTCACAAGCTGCCAATTTAGACTTCCATGAATATCTCGAAATATAATTCATACAAATAATATAGATCAGGTGCACAATGAAATTAGTTTTAAATTTGAATATCAAAAATGTTCCCAAAGGACACATATTGAAGAATATATAACTTACCAAAGGACCATTTGGTTCAAATCTTCTTTGATGTTTAAACTTTTCTGTTGGTTTTTCATATTCTGAAAAATTTAGAAAATGCAGTTGATACTGATGATTAAAAAGATGTAAACTTTATAAGAAATATGACCGGCTTTTCTTTTTTTTTAATTTATCAAACAACAAATAAGTCACAATATTTCTCCTGCTGTAATCCCAGAAGGCTAATTAACACATTACATCGAACTTAAGGTCAGGGGTGGGCTTATTACAGAACTAAGAAAAAGCATTGGTTTGTATTTTCAATAACAAAACGTACATGTACATGTATTGACAAATGTGTAATTCAAGCTGAATTTTACCAGGCATGACTCCTTTCTTTTAAATTTTTTTTTTAATACAAGCAGTTTTCTTATAGATGTAAAATATTTATTGAATTTTTCATGACCTTTACCTGTAATACCAAAATCTATGGTAGAATATACCCCAGGTATCTTTCCACATTCAATGAATGGGTCGATAGCATTATCTGTTGTGAAGAGAACCACGTCCTTGCCCAGGTGAAAGATGACCTTGTCTCTCAGGTGTTCTGTGTAAGTATGATCGCAGGCAAAGTAACTCCCATACTCATTCTCTATCTGTAAAACATAAGTACATAATGTAAACCTCTAAATGATCTGGAAAACAGACCTGACACTGACAAGGCTTCTGATTCAGTCAACGGTTGGATTTCTCTATGGATTGAAGAATCACTCACAATGAATTTGTAATATATGCACACATTTGTGAAATTCGGTCTGACAGAAAATAAAATCAAAATTAATGTCAGATCAATGGTAATTATTTCTGATCGAGAATATTTTGTAATATTACATGCTTGTCCACTTTTGTTAATACAGCAATTATCACAAAGAATGGAACAACATGTAGTGTTGCATGATGGGAGCATTTTACTTACTCATTGATGCTCATGGTGGAGCACCTACCTGTACTGTGATGATAGGTCCCCCATTTTGATACAAGAGAGATTTCACCTACCTGTACTGTGATGATAGGTCCCCCATTTTTATACAAGAGAGGCTTCACTTACCTGTACTGTGATGATGGGGCCCCATTTTTATACAAGAGAGGCTTCACCTACCTGTACTGTGATGATGGGACCCCCATTTTTTTACAAGAGAGGCTTCACCTACCTGTACTGTGATGATGGGACCCCCATTTTTTTACAAGAGAGGCTTCACCTACCTGTACTGTGATGATGGGACCCCTACTTTTATATACAAGAGACTTCACCTACCTGTACTGTGATGATGGGACCCCCATTTTTTTACAAGAGAGGCTTCACCTACCTGTACCGTGATGATGGGACCCCTACTTTTATATATGAGAGACTTCACCTACCTGTACTGTGATGATGGGACCCCTACTTTTATATACAAGAGACTTCACCTACCTGTACTGTGATGATGGGACCCCCATTTTTTTACAAGAGAGGCTTCACCTACCTGTACTGTGATGATGGGACCCCTACTTTTATATATGAGAGACTTCACCTACCTGTACTGTGATGATGGGACCCCCATTTTTTTACAAGAGAGGCTTCACCTACCTGTACTGTGATGATGGGACCCCTAATTTTATATATGAGAGACTTCACCTACCTGTACTGTGATGATGGGACCCCCATTTTTTTACAAGAGAGGCTTCACCTACCTGTACTGTGATGATGGGACCCCCATTTTGATACAGGAGTGGCTTCACCTTTGGCAGAAGGATGTCAAACCATTGGTCAACAAAGTGTATATATGCTGTAACAAAGTTATAAATTACTGTTAATTACTTCACCATTTAAGTAAATGTACTTCAAAGCAAGAGAACATATACACCAAAATTCAAAAACATCTCAAAAGAACTGAGATATAATTTTGCAACAAGTATGTAATGATTATGTTAATTATGTAATGATCATGTAAAGTATGTAATGATTATGTAAATTATGTAATAATTATGTAAATTATGTAATGATTATGTAAATTATGTAATGATCATGTAAAGTATGTAATGATTATGTAAATTATGTAATAATTATGTAAATTATGTAATGATTATGTACGTTGTGATTTCACGTTATTTATGAATTATTTATGACGTCATTAAGTTGTCATTTTGAAACATAAAGCTATTACACAGTGAAAGCTGAAAGCTGTAAGACCTACTGTTTTTTCTCTATTTAACCCAATCCATGTGGATATGAACTTTTTTCACTATATATATATTTATATATACTGTATGTCGGATACTTAAATAGTCTGGGATCTACTTACTTGAATCCATTGATCTGAAAACTGTTTTAGGGTTTTCCTTTAATATCCAGGCTGGTAAACCTCCCTATCAAGAAGAAAGCCTAACATCAACATTCTAACAGGTACGTAAGAAACAATTTGAATGATTTCACTATTTCTCAAACAATAGTTGAACTGAATTTCATATGAGTCACTATATACTCGGCATACAAACCTGTGAGTCGCGAAGTCGCTATACTGTACAAAGCCAAATAAGTCTATGGGACAGTTTACTTACGAAATCCCACTCAGCACATATAAATGGTCCTGGCCGAAGAATGACCAAGAGTCCTACATCATTGGCCAAAGTTAAAATATATTGGTCAAACAAACATATTGCTGTACCAATAAAGTCATACACATTGCCAGGTATTCTTTGTACAAATGAATATTCAAGGAATGTACCTACATTTCAGAGTTACATTTACAAAAACTAATTTAAACTTCCATATATGGACATTTATATGAATTATTTAATATCAATGGGTATGATACAGACATAATGTTACAAGCAATATTGGTATATAATTTGATAAACAAAACATATTGTTGTACAATGATTTAGATGTAAATTAAATTTAATCAAAAGTATTAATTTGTAAAATGGACATAATGTAATGACATATTATGTAAATTATTACATAAAACAAAAATGTAATATTTGTAAATTATGTCAAATGATCAGAAGTATGTAAAATGAACAGAAATATTATGTTAACATGTACTTGTATTAACAAATAATGCTTTTAATAGATGATAAATATGAAATATATTTCATTAAAGCAAGGTAATATAACTTTTCTGTAAAATGTACATAATATGTTACATAATGTTACATGAACTGTGTGAAAAGTATATAATTTGATAAACAAAGACATGCTAAAATATGACATATAAATTTCTAAAATGTAAAAATCAGTGGTATTCAAACTATGTAAACACAATAAATATAATCAAAACATAAGATGTAATTTTTTGACTGAACTAAACTATATCTCTAATGGGACATATTTAATATCATCTCACATTATGTTATCAACTTATTGAACTATAAATGTTGAAAAGTATGACTTATATAACTATTGATGATTGAAATCAGTATGACTTATTGAACTATAACTATCCACTGTTGAAATCAGTAGGACTAATTGTCTATGATGAACTGTTGAAATCATATGCTTATTGAACTATAACTAGATGAACTGTTGAAATCTGACTTAAGAACCTATTGATGTTTTTTCAGTAGGACTTATTGAACTTAACTATTGATGAACTGTTGAAATGGTATGACTTATGAACTTATAACTATTCCATGAACTGTTGAAATCTATGAACTATAATTATTTATATAACTGTTGAAATAATGACTGGGAACTATAACTATTGATGAATTGATCTGAAAACTGTTTTACATCCAGGCTTAAACCTAACTATCATGAAGAAAGCCTAACATCAACTTTGAAACAGTACTTATTGAACTATAACATGAATGTTCACTATTTCTCAAACAATATGGAATTTCATATGAGTCACTATATTGCATACAAACTGTGAAATCAGTATACTGTATTGAAATAAGTCTACTACATACTTTTAATAGATGAACTGTTAAAAACTGGAATATAAAACTATAACATTGCCCTTTTGACTTATTGAATATTCATGAAATGTCCATGAACTGTTGGAATGACTTATTGAACTATAATCCATGAACTGTTGAAATCAGTATGACTTATTGAACTATAACTATTGATGAACTGTTGAAATCAGTATGACTTATTGAACTATACTACTATGGCCATGAACTGTTGAAATCAGTATGACTTATTGAACTATAACTATTGATGAACTGTTGAAATCAGTAGGACTTATTGAACTATAACTATTGATGAACTGTTGAAATCAGTATGACTTATTGAACTATAACTATTGATGAACTGTTGAAATCAGTATGACTTATTACAACTAATTTAAACTTTATATGGACATGTATATGAATTATTTGAAATATCAATTATTGAATATAACTATTGATGAAAAAATCATATATGACTTTTGAACTATAACTATTGATGAAATATTTCAAACAACTGTTGAAATGTATGACTTATTGAACTAAACTATTGATGAACTGTTGAAATCAGTACTTATTGAACTATAACTAATGAACTGTTGAAATCAGTATGACTTATTGAACTATAACTATGAACAAATGTTACATAATGAACTGTTGAAATCAGTAGGACTTATTGAACTATAACTATTGATGAACTGTTGAAATCAGTAGGACTTATTGAACTATAACTATTGATGAACTGTTGAAATCAGTATTACTTATTGAACTATAACTATATGTCCATGAACTGTTCAAATCAGTAGGACTTATTGAACTATAACTATTGATGAACTGTTCAAATCAGTAGGACTTATTGAACTATAACTATAACTGTTCAAATCAGTATGACTTATTGAACTATAACTATTGATGAACTGTTGAAATCAGTAGGACTTATTGAACTATAACTATATGTCCATGAACTGTTGAAATCAGTATGACTTATTGAACTATAACTATTGATGAACTGTTCAAATCAGTAGGACTTATTGAACTATAACTATTGATGAACTGTTGAAATCAGTATTACTTATTGAACTATAACCATATGTCCATGAACTGTTGAAATCAGTATGACTTATTGAACTATAACTATCCATGAACTGTTGAAATCAGTATGACGTATTGAACTATAACTATCCATGAACTGTTGAAATCAGTAGGACTTATTGAACTATAACTATTGATGAACTGTTGAAATCAGTATGACTTATTGAACTATAACTATGAACTGTTGAAATCAGTAGGACTTATTGAACTATAACTATTGATGAACTGTTGAAATCAGTATGACTTATTGAACTATAACTATTGATGAACTGTTGAAATCAGTAGGACTTATTGAACTATAACTATTGATGAACTGTTGAAATCAGTATGACTTATTGAACTATAACTATTGATGAACTGTTCAAATCAGTAGGACTTATTGAACTATAACTATTGATGAACTGTTCAAATCAGTAGGACTTATTGAACTATAACTATTGATGAACTGTTGAAATCAGTTGAAATCAGTATGACTTATTGAACTATAACTATTGATGAACTGTTGAAATCAGTATGACTTATTGAACTATAACTATTGATGAACTGTTGAAATCAGTATGACTTATTGAACTATAACTATTGATGAACTGTTGAAATCAGTAGGACTTATTGAACTATAACTATATGGCCATGAACTGTTGAAATCAGTATGACTTATTGAACTATAACTATTGATGAACTGTTGAAATCAGTATGACTTATTGAACTATAACTATTGATGAACTGTTGAAATCAGTAGGACTTATTGAACTATAACTATTGATGAACTGTTGAAATCAGTAGGACTTATTGAACTATAACTATTGATGAACTGTTGAAATCAGTAGGACTTATTGAACTATAACTATTGATGAACTGTTGAAATCAGTAGGACTTATTGAACTATAACTATTGATGAACTGTTGAAATCAGTAGGACTTATTGAACTATATCTATCCATGAACTGTTGAAATCAGTAGGACTTATTGAACTATAACTATTGATGAACTGTTGAAATCAGTATGACTTATTGAACTATAACTATATGGCCATGAACTGTTGAAATCAGTAGGACTTATTGAACTATAACTATTGATGAACTGTTGAAATCAGTAGGACTTATTGAACTATAACTATTGATGAACTGTTGAAATCAGTAGGACTTATTGAACTATAACTATCCATGAACTGTTGAAATCAGTATGACTTATTGAACTATAACTATATGGCCATGAACTGTTGAAATCAGTATGACTTATTGAACTATAACTATTGATGAACTGTTGAAATCAATAGGACTTATTGAACTATAACTATATGGCCATGAACTGTTGAAATCAGTAGGACTTATTGAACTATAACTATTGATGAACTGTTGAAATCAGTAGGACTTATTGAACTATAACTATTGATGAACTGTTGAAATCAGTAGGACTTATTGAACTATAACTATTGATGAACTGTTGAAATCAGTAGGACTTATTGAACTATAACTATTGATGAACTGTTGAAATCAGTAGGACTTATTGAACTATAACTATTGATGAACTGTTGAAATCAGTAGGACTTATTGAACTATAACTATTGATGAACTGTTGAAATCAGTAGGACTTATTGAACTATAACTATTGATGAACTGTTGAAATCAGTAGGACTTATTGAACTATAACTATTGATGAACTGTTGAAATCAGTAGGACTTATTGAACTATAACTATTGATGAACTGTTGAAATCAGTAGGACTTATTGAACTATAACTATTGATGAACTGTTGAAATCAGTAGGACTTATTGAACTATAACTATTGATGAACTGTTGAAATCAGTAGGACTTATTGAACTATAACTATTGATGAACTGTTTGAACTATTGAACTATAGCTATTGATGAACTGTTCAAATCAGTAGGACTTATTGAACTATAACTATTGATGAACTGTTGAAATCAGTAGGACTTATTGAACTATAACTATTGATGAACTGTTGAAATCAGTAGGACTTATTGAACTATAACTATTGATGAACTGTTGAAATCAGTATGACTTATTGAACTATAACTATTGATGAACTGTTCAAATCAGTAGGACTTATTGAACTATAACTATTGATGAACTGTTGAAATCAGAACTATAACTATTGATGAACTTATTGAACTATAACTATATGACTTATTGAACTATAACTATGAACTGTTGAAATCAGTAGGACTTATTGAACTATAACTATTGATGAACTGTTGAAATCAGTAAATGAACTAGTAGGACTTATTGAACTATAACTATTGATGAACTGTTGAAATCAGTAGACTTATTGAACTATTATTGAACTGTTGAAATATAACTATTGATGAACTGTTGAAATCAGTATGACTTATTGAACTATAACTATTATGAACTGTTGAAATAGTATGACTTATTGAACTATAACTATTGATGAACTGTTGAAATCAGTATGACTTATTGAACTATAACTATTGATGAACTGTTGAAATCAGTAGGACTTATTGAACTATAACTATTGATGAACTGTTGAAATCAGTAGGACTTATTGAACTATAACTATTGATGAACTGTTGAAATCAGTATGACTTATTGAACTATAACTATTGATGAACTGTTGAAATCAGTAGGACTTATTGAACTATAACTATTGATGAACTGTTGAAATCAGTAGGACTTATTGAACTATAACTATTGATGAACTGTTGAAATCAGTATGACTTATTGAACTATAACTATTGATGAACTGTTGAAATCAGTAGGACTTATTGAACTATAACTATTGATGAACTGTTGAAATCAGTATGACTTATTGAACTATAACTATTGATGAACTGTTGAAATCATATGACTTATTGAACTATAACTATTGATGAACTGTTGAAATCAGTAGGACTTATTGAACTATAACTATTGATGAACTGTTGAAATCAGTAGGACTTATTGAACTATAACTATTGATGAACTGTTGAAATCAGTATGACTTATTGAACTATAACTATTGATGAACTGTTCAAATCAGTAGGACTTATTGAACTATAACTATTGATGAACTGTTGAAATCAGTATGACTTATTGAACTATAACTATTGATGAACTGTTGAAATCAGTATGACTTATTGAACTATAACTATTGATGAACTGTTGAAATCAGTAGGACTTATTGAACTATAACTATTGATGAACTGTTGAAATCAGTAGGACTTATTGAACTATAACTATTGATGAACTGTTGAAATCAGTATGACTTATTGAAATAAAAAATATTTGATTCAAAGCTAGGGGGTGGGGTTATTGAAGAAGGATGAATTTATTACTACACATATATTGCTGGGTGTATAGATGGAAGTATGAGACACACCTAATGGTATTGATACAGGTCCTCAATCTATAGATTACCACTGATGAATTCAGAATAAAATTTCCAACAAAAAGATCTCATTTAAGTGGAAAATTGATATAGACATCACCACCATCGATATATTTAACCATAAACCAACATATCACAGACATCTAGGTTGATGTAAATTAAATCTCACAGTCGATGAAGTACTGAGAAAAGTAAATCTTGAAGATGTTTATTTTCGAGGCAGCTATATGTACATATTGATTAATTTCTCGATTTATGAACTGTTATAAGTTTAGTTTTTGTTGCTTAAGTCCTATTAACAGCCAAGGTCACTAAAAGATGTGCCAACAAGTACCTGCCAATGCAGGCCTTGATCCTGCAACCTAAAGGTGAAGGGCTAGTGATAAAGATTGTCAGAGGTCTTAACCACATGCCCCTCCTTCCCCCAGCCCCCACCACTTTACCACATGCCCCTCCTTCCCCAACCCCCACCACTTAACCACATGCTCCTCCTTTCCCAACCCCCACCACTTCACCACATGTCCCACCTTTCCCCAGCCCCCACCACTTTACCACATGCCCCTCCTTCCCCCAACCCCCACCACTCCCCCAACCCCCAACCACATGCCCCACCTTCCCCCAGCCCCCACCACTTTACCACATGCCCCTCCTTCCCCCAACCCCCACCACCCAACCCCCACCACTTAACCACATGCCCCACCTTCCCCCAGCCCCCACCACTTTACCACATGCCCCTCCTTCCCCAACCCCCACCACTTAACCACATGCCCCTCCTTCCCCCAACCCCCACCACTTCACCACATGCCCCTCCTGCCCCAACCCCCACCACTTAACCACATGCCCCTCCTTCCCCCAACCCCCACCACTTCACCACATGCCCCTCCTTCCCCAACCCCCACCACTTAACCACATGCCCCACCTTCCCCCAGCCCCCACCACTTTACCACATGCCCCTCCTTCCCCAACCCCCACCACTTAACCACATGCCCCACCTTCCCCCAGCCCCCACCACTTTACCACATGCCCCTCCTTCCCCAACCCCCACCACTTAACCACATGCCCCTCCTTCCCCCAGCCCCCACCACTTTACCACATGCCCCTCCTTCCCCAACCCCCACCACTTAACCACATGCCCCTCCTTCCCCCAGCCCCCACCACTTCACCACATGCCCCTCCTTCCCCAACCCCCACCACTTAACCACATGCCCCTCCTTCCCCAACCCCCACCATGCACCACATGCCCCTCCCCCCAACCCCCCCACTAACCACATGCCCCATCCCTTCCCCCTAACCACCCCCACCACTCCCAAAGGTATAAGTACTTACTTGTGACAACACAAAATGACAGCAATATACGACTATTATACTCATAAACAAACTCTGCCACCTGATTGTTACCTCCATTTTGAACTTGTCACATGATTTGTCATCAATGGATCAGTTTGATAGGATGTATCAGTGTCAGTGTGACATGGGGTTAAACCCAGAGTTGATTTCTCAAACAGGCCCAATGGGCCTGCATAATACAACTACATGATATTCAATGCTTTTCACAATACATGTACAATCCAGACTATAAAGATTAAAACAGTATTAACCACTTTTAAACTCTTTCATTCTTCTATTTATTTAGGAGAAGTAGTTAGGATATTTTAACAAATTTGACCCCTCTGACCTCAACATTGTGGGTTTAACAAAAAAAAATAGTCCTCATCCAAGGAATATATGAGCTAAGATCATGGGTGTAAAAAGAAGTAATTTAAGTATTTCAACAAATCTAACTAATGTGACATTGAATATGGTTCAAGAACAAAAATGGAATACCAACATGTGAATATAACCATAATCCAAACTCAAATTCAATCAAAATAAGGCAAAAAATGAACAAAAGAATTAAAGATTTATACGGAGACTCCTGAAAAGTACAAGAATAGGAACAAGTGTTCCAGAAGAGTAAGTATCTTCTGCTCCATTGCTGACACCCGCCATGTAAATCTTGGTCAATCCAAATTAGTCATGTCACAATCTCAGATGAGAACAAGGTAAACGACAATAGAATCAACTGGCAAGATTATCAAGGATATCAAGCATCATATCACACAAAGAAACAGAATATTTCTAAATGAGATCATTATAACGACTGTAAAACTTCCCCATAATTTTCATCAATCTGCATCTCTTGAAACCTTGTTTTGAGTTTGTCTGTCAGTCTTGCATGAAAATCATGATATTATGAACAGACCATTGAATTTTGAATCAGTTGTGACATGTAAACTCCATAGGTTTGGGATGCAGGCATGTTACTATCCAGAAATGGAAAATTCACACTAGGTTGCTTATCATACAGCTTGGTGGAAATGTGCCCATGGTCATTTCTTCATCCACATAACCAACCTGTCAAATATGATCGAAGGCCTTTTGGTAGGTAAGAAGAGTTATTTAAGTACATTAACAAATCTGACCTTCATATGATGCAGACTTTGATGTTCTCCAGTTCAGGAACCTGAGCAAAATGTCATGACCCAACTCCCAAGTGATTCTTCAAAAGAAGATTTTTTAAAGAAAGTATTGACAGACAATGCAACACAGCAAAACTTGATTGACCCCTTGGGCCAGAGTTAAGTGAAAGGGTATTGTTCCATTTTCTTTTCTCCTCAAATTCAATTTAACAGTACAAGACAGGATACATCTGATAAAAAGCAGTACATAGCAGATTCATTGAAGATGTACTGATCTGTTCCTACATTCAAAAAATAAAAACACCATTTCAGTGACAGTGATAAAGATTTATTGCAAAAATATTTCCTATATCAGAGAGATCTTACATAGAGTATAAACCCATGGTGATATCTTAACAAATACTGTGAATCTCTCCACAACACATTCTCCACAGTATATACGTAATATATACTGGGATATTTCATGAAAAGAAACCTTTTCCTCCCATTCAAAATGACAACTTTTTATTGTGTAATATTACTTATTGTTGGTCAAATTCATCTGGTAGTATGAAGTCAGAGATAGTGACTTCCTACAGACCAACACAAACATATATATACACCGTAATGTATATCACTTAAACATTTTCACATTCATACACGAAGAGAGTCAATCATAAATTCCAATCCTTCACAATTATTTCTACGGAAACAACTTTGGATGACATTCATGTTGATTTGGATACCGATATCGGACTCTAACAACTCATCATTCGTGAATGTTGATTTGGTTACCGATATCGGACTCTTAACAACTCGTCATTCGTGAATGTTGATTTGGTTACCGATATCGGACTCTAACAACTCATCATTCGTGAATGTTGATTTGGTTACCGATATCGGACTCTTAACAACTCGTCATTTGTGAATGTTGATTTGGTTACCGATATCGGACTCTTAACAACTCGTCATTCGTGAATGTTGATTTGGTTACCGATATCGGACTCTAACAACTCATCATTCGTGAATGTTGATTTGGTTACCGATATCGGACTCTTAACAACTCGTCATTTGTGAATGTTGATTTGGTTACCGATATCGGACTCTAACAACTCATCATTCGTGAATGTTGATTTGGTTACCGATATCGGACTCTTAACAACTCGTCATTTGTGAATGTTGATTTGGTTACCGATATCGGACTCTAACAACTCGTCATTCGTGAATGTTGATTTGGTTACCGATATCGGACTCTAACAACTCGTCATTCGTGAATGTTGATTTGGTTACCGATATCGGACTCTTAACAACTCGTCATTCGTGAATGTTGATTTGGTTACCGATATCGGACTCCAACAACTCATCATTCGTGAATGTTGATTTGGTTACCGATATCGGACTCTAACAACTCATCATTCGTGAATGTTGATTTGGTTACCGATATCGGACTCTAACAACTCATCATTCGTGAATGTTGATTTGGTTACCGATATCGGACTCTAACAACTCATCATTCTTGAATGTTAAATCATTTTTAGATCAGAGTTCACTAAATCACTTATTCACAAATATGTCTAAAAAGGAAAGTTTGCGAAAAAGAGTATTCACCAAATCTAAGTGATTTTCAATACACAGATCACAGTAATCTTCAGAATAACACAGCAGTGTTCATGTACAAGCATGGCAAATGTGTACTTTTAAAAAGATATAAATAACTTCACAAAACAAAAATATTTTGGCATATGACAAAAGTTCCCTGAAATTAAGAAGATCTTGTCGTTTATGTAAATAAGATATGTAATGTTTTATGTATTAGGAATGATTGATAAAATATGGAATGTTTTATCTCTAGCATAGTGAACCGTTATCATAACATTCTCTTATACACAGTCAAATCTGTGAACAAAGACCACTTTTGGGAAGTTGACAAACCTGTGTAAAGAGACCACCTTTTGAAAGTCTATCAAAATGTGTACAGACACTACCTTCGGAAAGTCTACAAACCATGTTTGGGAAGTTGACAAACCTGTGTACAAAGACCACATTTGGGAAGTTGACAAACCTGTGTACAAAGACCACATTTGGAAAACTTTTTAATCTGTGTACAGAGAACACATTTGGTGTCTACAAACCTGTTTACAGGAACCACCTTGAGCATTCTTTAAACCTGTGAACAGAGCCCATCTTCAAGCAGTCTTAACACAAACAGTAAATTTTTACATTAATGAGACATTTGTGGTTTGATGGCTAAAGCTGAACCATATTTAACTCAGTATTTGTCCCATTTTAAAGCAATTTTGTATAGATGAGTCTTTATTGTATTACATGTTATCAATATCATGCTGCAAACATTTCAAATTTTTGTAAAGGTTGTTATTGTACCTTGTTACACATCACTTGGACAGAGTAGTTTACATACAGCACTAATCAGGGTTTCACAGCACATTTCCAAAAAGAAAAAATCTTTTCCTAATTAATATGCAGTATTAGAGACTTATGTGTACTTCACACCACAACAGCACAACTATAAGGTGATGAAGTAGTTTTACTGAGTTGTGAAATGTATGTAAAATTTATAAACTTTATTTATTTTACAACAATTGCCTAACAAATACTAGTATCTTATATTAATCACTCTCGTTGACCCCAATGTAAGCGCACAAGGGGTGTTATTGTGGGAGGTAGCCAGAATACCAAGGGAAAAGCAACCTGGTCAGGCAGGTAACCCAAATACCTTTTCACATCCGTTCCCAGAATTGAACCCTGACAGCTTAGTGAAAGGCTAGTGCGATACCACTGCACCACCTGACCACCCATGATAATACACATGTTCCCTGTAAAACATGGGTTCTTCATGGGTACTGTGGTTTCCTGCAACAACTTCTATCCATGCCAACAACAACAAAGCGTAAAATTTGAATACCTGAGGTAACTAGTTTATAAATTGTTGTAAGATATACAAAGTACATGCAATGTATATGGTAAGAGCTATGAAACAGGTGTAGAAAAACTTCCCAATATCATCTTTTGATAAACAATACAAAACATCATAATCATATTGATATTGAAATATTTTAACAAATGCAGCTGTAGAGAATTAATTAATGTAGAATCAAAGAAATTTTGAAGGAAATAATTCTTAGCCATATTGCTAATAATAGTTAAAATGAAGTTTGCTAAATGGTCCATTGCACTATATACAACTATTAATTCCAACAATACACACATAAGGCACAGTTCTCTCATAGTAAGGACATATACCAGGCACTGTTTACAGCATACATCAACACTCAAGACATAATAAGATGAAATATCTATAAATCAATCTGTCATGACATTAATTCAATTTACATTCAATGTCACAAGTGTAAGATTCAATTTATCACAGGAAAACTTAAAATTGTCATTTTGAAATAAAATTCACATTACAAGTGTAAGATTCTATTGATTAAAGAAAAAAAATTCACATTACAAATTGACAGCTTAGATATTTCTTATTGAGAATGAAAAGCTGTTATATCTCCTCTGTGTGGCTGTCTGGATTATATATAACTCATGGTAAATGGAAATAAAATTCCAGTCTTAAAACTTGCAGTTTAGCTATAAATGCGTAATGAACCATTGAGAATGCAATAAAAATTTATATGTATTCAGCTGAGAAAGGATGACATAAAAAAAACCATCCTGATCTGCCAGTTATTTTCCTATGTTTCGCTCTATCAGTACGGTATAAGCTTGAGAGCTGAAATACAGAGTAATCCCAGACACTGTGATTCTTAATGATTGTGTGAACTTTGATCCCTTAATACATTTTTCTGTATATGATATACCTTTCAAGCTCTTGAAGCAGTTGAAATTGTTTGGTTTAAGAAAAGATAAATATAAAAGCATTTGGTGTGCCTGTGTACATTGTCTACAATGTAAGATCTGTATAAGGTAAAAACAGACAACTCCTGGATTTTAATGGTTTCTTAACGTAATTATAGTGTGTATGCTATCAATTCTTTTCCTGATGAATAGATATGTGTATTTTATTCCTTGAATTGTATGAAGATGAAAAAAATATGGCACTTACTACTAAAAAAACTGAAGACAGTCTACCCAACACCCTTTAACAATCACATGTTTACATTTTACAAGACAGCTTCAGTTTTCTAAATCAAACATAAAGATATACACATATAAGTTTCAGTAATTCAAATATTTCTTAACTTGGTCAAGTTCTTGATACAGACATTTTGGAGTTCAGAAATTATCACAACTGTTAGTGATGCTAACGATATGTAGAAAGTGACGACAACGTTTTGAGGACTAATGTTCTTTATGCCAGAAGTAGCCCTCTCCGATCTCTTGTTGTCCTGAAAAGAACCCAGAATTTGTGCCATTGATGAGAGGCTGGTCGACAAAGTCAACCATACACGTCGCTAGAGTCTGACAGGGAGCGCCCTCTATCTCAAACATGAGAAGCATGTTGTTGTCTGGTGCTGACTTTAAGTATGGTTTGGGGACAAATAGACGAACCTGTGGCCCTTCCTTTGGCCAGTAACGACCAAGGTTAATTTGACCCTGGAGAAGGGCCTGACCCTGGAAGATGAAGGAAAAAAAAGTTTCATATCAATACTGCTATGGCTCGTACGGTAAACAACAAAGAAATAATTCAATCTTTAAAATTCAAAGATCGTACTACAAAGCATTCTGCCTGGAAATATTGCTGTTGGTCCTACCTTTGTCCAGCCAGTCATATCCAGATAAGTATCCTCAGCATTCCCACTAATGGTCAGTTTACCCTTGTAGATGGACGGGGTCATCAGTCCTGCTCCAGACTTTGGACTATCTCTACAATGATATAATATTGTAGCATTAACCCTTATGTATTCACTAAATGAGGCAATGAGCAGTCCACAGAATCTTACAGACTGTGAGCCTTGATAGCTCACTTGGGTTTTTATAAGTTAATAAAAAATTGAGACTTACCTTGCAGATTGTCCAAAGACTTACCCCAGGGGGATGTCTGAGGGGTTGAGATTGTCCTGTGACTTACCCCAAGGGGATGTCTGAGGGATTGAGATTGTCCAGTGACTTACCCAACGGGGATGTCTGAGATTGTCCAGTGACTTACCCCACGGGGATGTCTGAGATTGTCCAGTGACTTACCCCAGGGGGATGTCTGAGGGGTTGAAATTGTCCTATGACTTACCCCAGGGGGACGTCTGAGGGGTTGAGATTGTCCAGTGACTTAACCCAGGGGGATGTCTGAGGTGTTGAGATTGTCCAGTCACTTACCCAAGGGGATGTCTGAAGGACGGAGATTGTGCAGAGACTTACCCCAGGAGGATGTCTGAGGGGTTGAGATTGTCCTGTGACTTACCCCAAGGGGATGTCTGAGGGGTGGAGATTGTCCAGTGACTTACCCAAAGGGGATGTCTAAGGGGTTGTAATTGTCCAGTGACTTACCCCAGGGGGATGTCTGAGATTGTCCAGTGACTTACCCCAGGAGGATGTCTGAGGGGTTGAGATTATCCTGTGACTTACTCCAGGGGGATGTCAAAGGGGTTGTGATTGTCCAGTGACTTACTCAAGGGGGATGTCAAAGGGGTTGTGATTGTCCAGTCACTTACTCCAGGGGGATGTCAAAGGGGTTGTGATTGTCCAGTCACTTACTCCAGAGAGATGTCTGAGGGATTGAGATTGTCCAGTCACTTACTCCAGGGGGATGTCAAAGGGGTTGTGATTGTCCAGTGACTTACCCCAGGGGGATGTCTGAGGGGTTGAGATTGTCCAGAGATTTACCACAGGGGGATGTCTGAGGGGTTGAGATTGTCCAGTGACTTACCTCAGGGGGATGTCTGAGGGGTTGAGATTGTCCAGTCACTTACTCCAAGGGGATGTCTGAGGGATTGAGATTGTCCAGTGACTTACTCCAGGGGGATGTCAAAGGGGTTGTGATTGTCCAGTGACTTACCCCAGGGGGATGTCTGAGGGGTTGAGATTGTCCAGAGATTTACCACAGGGGGATGTATGAGGGGTTGAGATTGTCCTATGACTTACCCCAGGAGGATGTCTGAGGGGTTGAGATTGTCCAGTGACTTACCCCACGGGGATGTCTGAGGGGTTGAGATTGTCCTATGACTTACCCCAGGGGGATGTCTGTGGGGTTGAGATTGTCCTATGACTTACCCCAGGGGGATGTCTGAGGGGTTGAGATTGTCCAGTGACTTACCCCAGGGGGATGTCTAAGGGGTTGTGATTGTCCAGTGATTTACCCCAGGGGGGTGTCTGAGGGATTGAGATTGTCCAGTCACTTACTCCAGGGGGATGTCTAAGGGGTTGTGATTGTCCAGTGACTTACCCCAGGGGGATGTCTGAGGGGTTGAGATTGTCCAGAGATTTACCACAGGGGGATGTCTGAGGGGTTGAGATTGTCCAGTGACTTACCCAAAGGGGATGTCTAAGGGGTTGTGATTGTTCAGTGACTTACTCCAGGGGGATGTCTGAGATTGTCCAGTGACTTACCCCAGGGGGGTGTCTGAGGGGTTGAGATTGTCCAGTGACTTAACCCAGGGGGATGTCAAAGGGGTTGTGATTGTCTGGTGACTTACCCCAGGGGGATGTCTGAGGGGTTGAGATTGTCCAGAGACTTACCACAGGGGGATGTATGAGGGGTTGAGATTGTCCTATGACTTACCTCAGGGGGATGTCTGAGGGGTTGAGATTGTCCAGTGACTTACCCCAGGGGGATGTCAAAGGGGTTGTGATTGTCCAGTGACTTACCCCATGGGGATGTCTGAGATTGTCCAGTGACTTACCCCAGGGGGATGTCTGAGGGGTTGAGATTGTCCAGAGATTTACCACAGGGGGATGTCTGAGGGGTTGAGATTGTCCAGTGACTTACCCAAAGGGGATGTCTAAGGGGTTGTGATTGTTCAGTGACTTACTCCAGGGGGATGTCTGAGATTGTCCAGTGACTTACCCCAAGGGGGTGTCTGAGGGATTGAGATTGTCCAGTGACTTAACCCAGGGGGATGTCAAAGGGGTTGTGATTGTCTGGTGACTTACCCCAGGGGGATGTCTGAGGGGTTGAGATTGTCCAGAGATTTACCACAGGGGGATGTATGAGGGGTTGAGATTGTCCAGAGACTTACCCCAGGGGGATGTCTGTGGGGTTGAGATTGTCCAGTGACTTACCCCAGGGGGATGTCAAAGGGGTTGTGATAGTCCAGTGACTTACCCCATGGGGATGTCTGAGATTGTCCAGTGACTTGCCCCAGGGGGATGTCTGAGGGGTTGAGATTGTCCAGAGATTTACCACAGGGGGATGTCTGAGGGGTTGAGATTGTCCAGTGACTTACACAAAGGGGATGTCTAAGGGGTTGTGATTGTTCAGTGACTTACTCCAGGGGGATGTCTGAGATTGTCCAGTGACTTACCCCAGGGGATGTCTGAAGGGTTGAGATTGTCCAGTGACTTACCCCAGGAGGATGTCTGAGGGGTTGAGATTGTCCTGTGACTTACCCCAGGGGGATGTCTGAGGGGTTGAGATTGTCCAGAGATTTACCACAGGGGGATGTCTGAGGGGTTGAGATTGTCCTATGACTTACCTCAGGGGGATGTTTGAGGGGTTGAGATTGTCCAGTCACTTACTCCAGGGGGATGTCTGAGGGGTTGAGATTGTTCGGTCACTTACTCCAGGGGGATGTCTGAGGGATTGAGATTGTCCAGTCACTTACTCCAGGGGGATGTCTGAGGGGTTGAGATTGTCCAATGACTTACCCCCAGGGGGATGTCTGAGGGGTTGAGAATGTCCAGTGACTTACCCCAGGGGGATGTCTGAGGGGTTGAGATTGTCCAGTGATAAAGAATACACCATCCAGTCTTCTAGTATCTGTCCCTCAAGGGTAACATTCTGAATGATCCCCTGGAAGAAAAAGATTGAGATATGTTTTCAGTTTCCTTTTAACTGTGATTTAGTCAGATCTTAAACATCACTGATCAACATCTTCAATTGTCTACAACAGAATGATCACTTGAGTGTCAAATTAAAAAGATTATTTCCACTGTTGTATATGTGTCTGTGACCCCTGGTGTTGTATATGTGTCTGTGACCCCTGGTGTTGTATATGTGTCTGTGACACCTGGTGTTGTATATGTGTCTGTGACACCTGGTGTTGTATATGTGTCTGTGACCCCTGGTGTTGTATATGTGTCTGTGACCCCTGGTGTTGTATATGTGTCTGTGACACCTGGTGTTGTATATGTGTCTGTGACACCTGGTGTTGTATATGTGTCTGTAACCCCTGGTTTTGTATATGTGTCTGTGACCACTGGTGTTGTATATGTCTGTGAAGTTTGGTGTTGTATATGTGTCTGTGACACCTGGTGTTGTATATGTATCTGTATCCCCTGGTGTTGTATATGTGTCTGTGACCCCTGGTGTTGTATATGTCTGTGACACCTGGTGTTGTATATGTGTCTGTGACACCTGGTGTTGTATATGTGTCTGTGACCACTGGTGTTGTATATGTGTCAGTGACCCCTGGTGATGTATATGTGTCTGTGACCCCTGGTGATGTATATTTGTCTGTGACCCCTGGTGTTGTATATGTGTCTGTGACCCCTGGTGTTGTATATGTGTCTGTGACCACTGGTGTTGTATATGTCTGTGAAGTTTGGTGTTATATATGTGTCTGTGACCCCTGGTGATGTATATGTGTCTGTGACCCCTGGTGTTGTATATGTCTGTGACCACTGGTGTTGCATATGTGTCTGTAACCCCTGGTTTTGTATATGTGTCTGTGACCACTGGTGTTGTATATGTCTGTGAAGTTTGGTGTTGTATATGTGTCTGTAACACCTGGTGTTGTATATGTGTCTGTGACACCTGGTGTTGTATATGTGTCTGTGACCCCTGGTGTTGTATATGTGTCAGTGACCCCTGGTGATGTATATGTGTCTGTTACCCCTGGTGTTGTATATGTGTCTGTGACCCCTGGTGTTGTATATGTGTCTGTGACCCCTGGTGATGTATATGTGTCTGTGACCCCTGGTGTTGTATATGTCTGTGACCACTGGTGTTGCATATGTCTGTGATCCCTGGTGATGTATATGTGTCAGTGACCCCTGGTGTTGTATGTGTGGCAGTGACCCCTGGTGATGTATATGTGTCAGTGACCCCTGGTGTTGTATATGTGTCTGTGACCCCTGGTGATGTATATGTGTCTGTGACCCCTGGTGTTATATATGTCTGTGAAGTTTGGTGTTGTGTATGTGTCTGTGACCCCTGGTGTTGTATATATGTCTGTGACCCCTGGTGTTGTATATATGTCTGTGACCTCTGGTGTTGTATATGTCTGTGAAGTTTGGTGTTGTATATGTGTCTGTGACACCTGGTGTTGTATATGTGTCTGTGACCACTGGTGTTGTATATGTGTCTGTGACCCCTGGTGTTGTATATGTGTCAGTGACCCCTGGTGTTGTATATGTGTCTGTGACACCTGGTGTTGTATGTGTGTCTGTGACCACTGGTGTTGTATATGTGTCTGTGACCCCTGGTGATGTATATGTGTCAGTGACCCCTGGTGTAGTATGTGTGTCAGTGACCCCTGGTGATGAATATGTGCCTGTGACCCCTAGTGTTGTATATGTGTCTGTAACCCCTGGTGTTGTATATGTCTGTGAAGTTTGGTGTTGTATATGTGTCTGTGACACCTGGTGTTGTATATGTGTCAGTGACCCCTGGTGATGTATATGTGTCTGTTACCACTGGTGTTGTATATGTGTCTGTGACACCTGGTGTTGTATGTGTGTCTGTGACCACTGGTGTTGTATATGTGTCTGTGACCCCTGGTGATGTATATGTGTCAGTGACCCCTGGTGTTGTATGTGTGTCAGTGACCCCTGGTGATGAATATGTGCCTGTGACCCCTGGTGTTGTATATGTGTCTGTGACCCCTGGTGTTGTATATGTCTGTGAAGTTTGGTGTTGTATATGTGTCTGTGACACCTGGTGTTGTATATGTGTCTGTGACCCCTGGTGTTGTATATGTGTCTGTGACCCCTGGTGATGTATGTGTCTGTGACCCCTGGTGATGTATATGTGTCTGTGACCCCTGGTGTTGTATACGTGTCTGTGACACCTGGTGTTGTATATGTGTCTGTGACCCCTGGTGTTGTATATGTCTGTGAAGTTTGGTGTTGTATATGTGTCTTTGACACCTGGTGTTGTATATGTGTCTGTGACCCCTGGTGTTGTATATGTGTCTGTGACCCCTGGTGATGTATATGTGTCTGTGACCCCTGGTGTTGTATATGTCTGTGACCACTGGTGTTGTATATGTGTCTGTGACACCTGATGTTGTATATGTGTCTGTGACCCCTGGTGTTGTATATATGTGTGTGATTCCTGGTGTTGTATATGTCTGTGACCCCTGGTGTTGTATATGTGTCTGTGACCACTGGTGTTGTATATGTGTCTGTGACCACTGGTGTTGTATATGTGTCAGTGACCCCTGGTTTTGTATGTGTGTCAGTGACCCCTGGTGATGTATATGTGTCAGTGACCCCTAGTGTTGTAGGTGTGTCAGTGACCCCTGGTGATGTATATGTGTCTGTGACCCCTGATGTTGTATATGTATCTGAATTGCCTGCTGCTGTCTATACCTTAGTGTTATTGTTGATACCACTGCCGTAATTGATATGTCCTTGATTCTCCACAAGAATGTCCAGTACTGCTCCCTGCTTCCCTGTTATGTTTAGACTGGTTGATTTTTCACGGACAATGACTCCCTGTGGTACCTTACAGTCAGGAAAGTTACACATCACTAGTGAAGTTTTGCAATACTCACTATGTCCTAAGATTGCTTTAAAGTTTGATGAGATAGTTTCAATAAAATAACATTTCAATATGTGTGATTGTATATGGAACAAGGGATAAATGGACATTCATTTTCCTTCTGTATTGAACCAAACTTCAATATAACTTAACCAGATCAAATAATGACAATGCCAAAACCAGGACATTTAACTGGGAAATAATCTGAAGGTTTGTCATAGTGTTAACCACCTCAATGTACATATACTAGATATATTTCACAAAATGGAAGATTTGGTAAATTTCACTTCCAGGGTCTACTACGGTACAGGTATTATAAAACAATTCAATGTATATATTGTTTCAATTCCACACACCTAAATTCATTAGTCCCTTAACATTTCAACCTCGTTTCTGGGTATTTTATCAAAACTCTGCTATCTAAATTCCTGTGATATGAAATACATCTGATAAAGTCAAATCTTGTAAACTGTTGATTTGAAATAAAAGATAGATTGTTGTTTACCTTGTCAACCATGACATAACCTCGATCTCTGATCCCTGGGACAGCCAGTTTCTGAGAAACCACGTTCTTCTTCAGGACGTAACGGTAAAGTGCGAACCCTTGGTACTGGAATCAATACACAAACACAATATACCAGATACAACAGTTTTATCACAAACCCTTGGTACTGGAATCAATACACAAACACAATATACCAGATACAACAGTTTTATCACAAACCCTTGGTACTGGAATCAATACACAAACACAATATACCAGATACAACAGTTTTATCACAAACCCTTGGTACTGGAATCAATACACAAACACAATATACCAGATACAACAGTTTTATCACAAACCCTTGGTACTGGAATCAATACACAAACACAATATACCAGATACAACAGTTTTATCACAAACCCTTGGTACTGGAATCAATACACAAACACAATATACCAGATACAACAGTTTTATCACAAACCCTTGGTACTGGAATCAATACACAAACACAATATACCAGATACAACAGTTTTATCACAAACCCTTGGTACTGGAATCAATACACAAACACAATATACCAGATACAACAGTTTTATCACAAACCCTTGGTACTGGAATCAATACACAAACACAATATACCAGATACAACAGTTTTATCACAAACCCTTGGTACTGGAATCAATACACAAACACAATATACCAGATACAACAGTTTTATCACAAACCCTTGGTGCTGGAATCAATACACAAACACAATATACCAGATACAACAGTTTTATCACAAACCCTTGGTACTGGAATCAATACACAAACACAATATACCAGATACTTACAACAGCTTTATCACAAACTCTTGCTCAATGTTATCATTCTTTTCCTCGAAAAATAAGAACCTATATAAAACAAGGGTTTTAGTGAAACTGATGAATGAATTCCAAAAATGATTTAATTGAACACAAAATTTTACCAAAGGGTAAAAAATTCTGTAATTAAAGGGTTGCAAGCCCTGAATTTGGTATACAGCACTTTCTCTCATTATGACCTGTGTATACATCAAGTTTCATGCTATTAGTTTTAATGCAAGCAAACCTATGCCCATGACACAAAATTTTATCAAAGGGTAATAACTCTGTACTAAGAGTTCATGGGCCCTGACTTTGCTACACTGAACCTTGCTTTTGTATGACTGTTGTGTAAATCATCTTTCAATATCCTAGTTTAAATGCATGCAAATTGATGCTCCAGACACAATATTTTAATAAAGGGCAATAACTCTGTAATTAAGGGGTCATGGGCCCTAACATTAGTAAACTGTACAATATCTTCGCATGATCAATGTATACACTAAGTTTCATTATCTTACCTGAAATGCAAGAAATGTAATGCTATGGACAAGAAATTTTTAACAAAGGGCAGTAATTGATTGGTCAAAGGCCCAAATTTGGCACACAGCATATTGTCTTAATATGATACACTAAGTAAGTTTCATGACCTTTGCTTAATTTTGGGCAAAGTTACGCACCGGACAAGATATTTTCAACAAACTTTTTCATACACTGCACATTGTTTTAGTAGGATCAATATATCAATCAAATTACATTATTCTGGCTTAAATACGAGCAATGTAAAGTTTATCATGTCACAAAAATTTCAACAAAGGGCAATAACTCTGTTATTAAGGGTTGTGGGCCCTGAATTTGGTACACTGCATGATGTCTTTGTATGATCAATGTATACACCAACCTCCATGATCCTTACTTTACTTAAAAGTTTGCTCAGGACATGAAATGATGGACATAAAGACAGACAGACAGGCAATGCGGTAACTATATGCTCCCCCGAAGATTCCCTTCTAGCCTTTAAACAGTATTTACCTATTTTTCAAGGGAAGATATAAGATTTCATGATTAATTGAACCTACCTGGCCTATAGACTCCATGGTAACTGGGTACTGGGACTTTGTGGGACCTTTGGGACACAGCTGGCTAATAGCATCTTGTAGGGTAGACACCTGCTCATCAAGAACCATAAAAATCAAGCTGTAATTCAACATTCTACTGAGGCTGACTGAGAAACACTGTCACCCAAGAAAAGTCAAAACACACTCCTCAGATCTTCATCTGGGGTTGTGTAAGTGAACACATCACTGACGGAGACTGACTGAGTTATCATAGCCCCCAGTGATTTGTATAAAATATCTGTGTATATACAAGTATATAAATATTCACATGATTTTGGAGACAAAGCCTATGTGTTCATGAAATATTCACCAATTATATATATATTCTTTATTTCATAATAAATCCAACAATGGCTAAAAACCTGCTTTGACTTTAAGTAGAGAGTGGGCTTATTAAGACAATCAAACAGCATTTGTGATGATTTTTACTGAATTAGATACAGACATGAGTGGCCTATTGTGCAACATAAATGGTAATGTCTTTCATGTACAGTGACTGTATATTTTATTTATGAATATATGGATTTTCAATATACTTAACGTTATTTCATTGTTAATAACACACAATAATCTTATATCCATTTTACATATCAAGCAAAGCAATTACCAGGTAAAAGTGTGAATGATTTTTCTCAGAAAGAAACACAAAATTTATTTTCTTGTCAAGGTGATTCATAATTAACGACTGCTGAAGGAAAAAAAATCTATCGTCATACTACATTGAAACCAACAATTTGTAGACTACTAAATGTATTAGTTTCATACAGTGAAAATGAGTAGTTATAAAACTTAAGAATAAAGCCACACTTACAAATGTCATCTGAACTTGTCCATATTTGGCTTTGGGAGTGGACGATGGTATCGGCATATCAGGCAGAGGTAGATACTGTAACATAACATCTATACAGTCAAACTCTGTACATAAATGATGTTAATTGATATCAAACACCACATTACCTGGTTCAGGAATGTACAGTTTATTGCACACATCACCTGTACAAACTTCATAAATATTACCTGTACAGATTTTGCTCACATTGCCTAAACTGTTTTTTAATAAATACCTGTACAAGTTATTCCATACATTACCTTTACACACTTCCTGAACCTCCACAGCTTTTCATCTGTACAACATTGACACTTCAATGATAAACTAGGAAATTGGTGAACTTCTGATGATAGGCTGATATCTTATATCAACCACTCTATAAATGGTTGGAACAGAATTAACTTTTAGCTGAGGAACAAAATGATTTTAGAAAGAAAAGAAATTGTTCAGACCATTTTGTATACAACGACGTTGAATGTTAAAATAAAAGCAAGTAGAGCATATATCTACAGAGTTCTTGTCAAGTGTTTTTTTTCCCGTCTGATGTATTTGAAAAACTAAATCAGTCAACTCTCTACAAAAAATAAGAGTGACGTCAAAGTGATACTTAATTAACAAACATCATCAGACAGGATGAATGATCCACCAAACAGCGAGTTGTATACCTACTGTTTATACAAGGTAAAAAAGTTATTACTTATCAAATGTTTAAGAATTTCGTAGAAATGTTCTCTGTCATAAGTTATAGGAATGAACAGATAAGTCAGACCAAAAAGATGTTGCCAAAACAATATTATATATGTATCAAAGACAACCTTTTTGTTAAATGCTCTTTAAATCAATTTTCATGGAAAAATTTACATGTGATAGTGTCCAATATGTCCAATATGGCTGTACATTGATGCTTTTGTTTAGATCTGATTTTGTGTAAAATATAAATACCAACATGTATTTTATGTATATTTTATGTACCAATATGTGACACTTTGATAAACGTATCTATATTTGTACAAATTTTCCACACATTACCAATACAATTTCTTTCACACATTTCCAAAACAAATTTTCCACACATTACCGATACAATTTCTTTCACACATTACCAATACAATTTCTTTCACACATTTCCAAAACAAATTTTCCACACATTACCAATACAATTTCTTTCACACATTTCCAAAACAGATTTTCCATACATTACCAATACAATTTCTTTCACACATTTCCAAAACAAATTTTCCATACATTACCAATACAATTTCTTTCACACATTTCCAAAACAGATTTTCCATACATTACTGATACAATTTCTTTCACACATTTCCAAAACAAATTTTCCACACATTACCAATACAATTTCTTTCACACATTTCCAAAACAGATTTTCCATACATTACCAATACAATTTCTTTCACACATTTCCAAAACAAATTTTCCACACATTACTGATACAATTTCTTTCACACATTACCAATACAATTTCTTTCACACATTTCCAAAACAAATTTTCCACACATTACCAATACAATTTCTTTCACACATTTCCAAAACAGATTTTCCATACATTACTGATACAATTTCTTTCACACATTACTGATACAATTTCTTTCACACATTTCCAAAACAAATTTTCCACACATTACTAATACAATTTCTTTCACACATTTCCAAAACAGATTTTCCACACATTACTAATACAATTTCTTTCACACATTTCCAAAACAAATTTTCCACACATTACTAATACAATTTCTTTCACACATTTCCAAAACAGATTTTCCACACATTACTAATACAATTTCTTTCACACATTTCCAAAACAAATTTTCCACACATTACTAATACAATTTCTTTCACACATTTCCAAAACAGATTTTCCACACATTACTAATACAATTTCTTTCACACATTTCCAAAACAGATTTTCCACACATTACCAATACAATTTCTTTCACACATTTCCAAAACAGATTTTCCACAAATTACTAATACAATTTCTTTCACACATTTCCAAAACAAATTTTCCACACATTACTAATACAATTTCTTTCACACATTTCCAAAACAAATTTTCCACACATTACCAATACAATTTCTTTCACACATTTCCAAAACAGATTTTCCACACATTACTAATACAATTTCTTTCACACATTACTGATACAATTTCTTTCACACATTTCCAAAACAAATTTTCCACACATTACTAATACAATTTCTTTCACACATTTCCAAAACAGATTTTCCACACATTACTAATACAATTTCTTTCACACATTTCCAAAACAAATTTTCCACACATTACCAATACAATTTCTTTCACACATTTCCAAAACAGATTTTCCACACATTACTAATACAATTTCTTTCACACATTACTGATACAATTTCTTTCACACATTTCCAAAACAAATTTTCCACACATTACTAATACAATTTCTTTCACACATTTCCAAAACAGATTTTCCACACATTACTAATACAATTTCTTTCACACATTTCCAAAACAAATTTTCCACACATTACCAATACAATTTCTTTCACACATTTCCAAAACAAATTTTCCACACATTACTAATACAATTTCTTTCACACATTTCCAAAACAAATTTTCCACACATTACTAATACAATTTCTTTCACACATTTCCAAAACAGATTTTCCACACATTACTAATACAATTTCTTTCACACATTTCCAAAACAAATTTTCCACACATTACCAATACAATTTCTTTCACACATTTCCAAAACAGATTTTCCATACATTACCAATACAATTTCTTTCACACATTTCCAAAACAGATTTTCCACACATTACTAATACAATTTCTTTCACACATTTCCAAAACAGATTTTCCACACATTACCAATACAATTTCTTTCACACATTTCCAAAACAAATTTTCCACACATTACTGATACAATTTCTTTCACACATTTCCAAAACAAATTTTCCACACATTACTGATACAATTTCTTTCACACATTTCCAAAACAGATTTTCCACACATTACTAATACAATTTCTTTCACACATTTCCAAAACAAATTTTCCACACATTACTGATACAATTTCTTTCACACATTTCCAAAACAGATTTTCCATACATTACCAATACAATTTCTTTCACACATTTCCAAAACAGATTTTCCATACATTACCAATACAATTTCTTTCACACATTTCCAAAACAGATTTTCCACACATTACCAATACAATTTCTTTCACACATTACCGATACAATTTCTTTCACACATTTCCAAAACAAATTTTCCACACATTACTGATACAATTTCTTTCACACATTACCAATACAATTTCTTTCACACATTTCCAAAACAGATTTTCCACACATTACTAATACAATTTCTTTCACACATTTCCAAAACAAATTTTCCACACATTACTGATACAATTTCTTTCACACATTTCCAAAACAAATTTTCCACACATTACTGATACAATTTCTTTCACACATTTCCAAAACAGATTTTCCACACATTACTAATACAATTTCTTTCACACATTTCCAAAACAAATTTTCCACACATTACTGATACAATTTCTTTCACACATTTCCAAAACAGATTTTCCATACATTACCAATACAATTTCTTTCACACATTTCCAAAACAGATTTTCCATACATTACCAATACAATTTCTTTCACACATTTCCAAAACAGATTTTCCATACATTACCAATACAATTTCTTTCACACATTTCCAAAACAGATTTTCCATACATTACCAATACAATTTCTTTCACACATTTCCAAAACAGATTTTCCACACATTACCAATACAATTTCTTTCACACATTTCCAAAACAGATTTTCCATACATTACAAATACAATTTCTTTCACACATTTCCAAAACAGATTTTCCACACATTACGAATACAATTTCTTTCACACTATACAATTTCTTTCACACATTTCCAAAACAGATTTTCCACACATTACTAATACAATTTCTTTCACACATTTCCAAAACAGATTTTCCACACATTACTAATACAATTTCTTTCACACATTTCCAAAACAAATTTTCCACACATTACCAATACAATTTCTTTCACACATTTCCAAAACAGATTTTCCACACATTACTAATACAATTTCTTTCACACATTACTGATACAATTTCTTTCACACATTTCCAAAACAAATTTTCCACACATTACTAATACAATTTCTTTCACACATTTCCAAAACAGATTTTCCACACATTACTAATACAATTTCTTTCACACATTTCCAAAACAGATTTTCCACACATTACCAATACAATTTCTTTCACACATTTCCAAAACAAATTTTCCACACATTACTGATACAATTTCTTTCACACATTTCCAAAACAAATTTTCCACACATTACTGATACAATTTCTTTCACACATTTCCAAAACAGATTTTCCACACATTACTAATACAATTTCTTTCACACATTTCCAAAACAAATTTTCCACACATTACTGATACAATTTCTTTCACACATTTCCAAAACAGATTTTCCATACATTACCAATACAATTTCTTTCACACATTTCCAAAACAGATTTTCCATACATTACCAATACAATTTCTTTCACACATTTCCAAAACAGATTTTCCACACATTACCAATACAATTTCTTTCACACATTACCGATACAATTTCTTTCACACATTTCCAAAACAAATTTTCCACACATTACTGATACAATTTCTTTCACACATTACCAATACAATTTCTTTCACACATTTCCAAAACAGATTTTCCACACATTACTAATACAATTTCTTTCACACATTTCCAAAACAAATTTTCCACACATTACTGATACAATTTCTTTCACACATTTCCAAAACAAATTTTCCACACATTACTGATACAATTTCTTTCACACATTTCCAAAACAGATTTTCCACACATTACTAATACAATTTCTTTCACACATTTCCAAAACAAATTTTCCACACATTACTGATACAATTTCTTTCACACATTTCCAAAACAGATTTTCCATACATTACCAATACAATTTCTTTCACACATTTCCAAAACAGATTTTCCATACATTACCAATACAATTTCTTTCACACATTTCCAAAACAGATTTTCCATACATTACCAATACAATTTCTTTCACACATTTCCAAAACAGATTTTCCATACATTACCAATACAATTTCTTTCACACATTACCGATACAATTTCTTTCACACATTACCGATACAATTTCTTTCACACATTTCCAAAACAAATTTTCCACACATTACTGATACAATTTCTTTCACACATTACCAATACAATTTCTTTCACACATTTCCAAAACAGATTTTCCACACATTACTAATACAATTTCTTTCACACATTACTGATACAATTTCTTTCACACATTTCCAAAACAAATTTTCCACACATTACTAATACAATTTCTTTCACACATTTCCAAAACAGATTTTCCACACATTACTAATACAATTTCTTTCACACATTTCCAAAACAAATTTTCCACACATTACCAATACAATTTCTTTCACACATTTCCAAAACAGATTTTCCACACATTACTAATACAATTTCTTTCACACATTACTGATACAATTTCTTTCACACATTTCCAAAACAAATTTTCCACACATTACTAATACAATTTCTTTCACACATTTCCAAAACAGATTTTCCACACATTACTAATACAATTTCTTTCACACATTTCCAAAACAAATTTTCCACACATTACCAATACAATTTCTTTCACACATTTCCAAAACAAATTTTCCACACATTACTAATACAATTTCTTTCACACATTTCCAAAACAAATTTTCCACACATTACTAATACAATTTCTTTCACACATTTCCAAAACAGATTTTCCACACATTACTAATACAATTTCTTTCACACATTTCCAAAACAAATTTTCCACACATTACCAATACAATTTCTTTCACACATTTCCAAAACAGATTTTCCATACATTACCAATACAATTTCTTTCACACATTTCCAAAACAGATTTTCCACACATTACTAATACAATTTCTTTCACACATTTCCAAAACAGATTTTCCACACATTACCAATACAATTTCTTTCACACATTTCCAAAACAAATTTTCCACACATTACTGATACAATTTCTTTCACACATTTCCAAAACAAATTTTCCACACATTACTGATACAATTTCTTTCACACATTTCCAAAACAGATTTTCCATACATTACCAATACAATTTCTTTCACACATTTCCAAAACAGATTTTCCATACATTACCGATCACACATTTCCAAAACAGATTTTCCATACATTACCAATACAATTTCTTTCACACATTACCGATACAATTTCTTTCACACATTTCCAAAACAAATTTTCCACACATTACTGATACAATTTCTTTCACACATTACCAATACAATTTCTTTCACACATTTCCAAAACAGATTTTCCACACATTACTAATACAATTTCTTTCACACATTTCCAAAACAAATTTTCCACACATTACTGATACAATTTCTTTCACACATTTCCAAAACAAATTTTCCACACATTACTGATACAATTTCTTTCACACATTTCCAAAACAGATTTTCCACACATTACTAATACAATTTCTTTCACACATTTCCAAAACAAATTTTCCACACATTACTGATACAATTTCTTTCACACATTTCCAAAACAGATTTTCCATACATTACCAATACAATTTCTTTCACACATTTCCAAAACAGATTTTCCATACATTACCAATACAATTTCTTTCACACATTACCAATACAATTTCTTTCACACATTTCCAAAACAGATTTTCCATACATTACCAATACAATTTCTTTCACACATTTCCAAAACAGATTTTCCATACATTACCAATACAATTTCTTTCACACATTTCCAAAACAGATTTTCCATACATTACCAATACAATTTCTTTCACACATTTCCAAAACAGATTTTCCATACATTACCAATACAATTTCTTTCACACATTTCCAAAACAGATTTTCCATACATTACCAATACAATTTCTTTCACACATTTCCAAAACAGATTTTCCATACATTACCAATACAATTTCTTTCACACATTTCCAAAACAGATTTTCCACACATTACCAATACAATTTCTTTCACACATTACCAATACAATTTCTTTCACACATTTCCAAAACAGATTTTCCATACATTACCAAGACAATTTCTTTCACACATTTCCAAAACAGATTTTCCATACATTACCAATACAATTTCTTTCACACATTTCCAAAACAGATTTTCCATACATTACCAATACAATTTCTTTCACACATTTCCAAAACAGATTTTCCACACATTACCAATACAATTTCTTTCACACATTACCAATACAATTTCTTTCACACATTTCCAAAACAGATTTTCCATACATTACCAAGACAATTTCTTTCACACATTTCCAAAACAGATTTTCCATACATTACCGATCACACATTTCCAAAACAGATTTTCCATACATTACCAATACAATTTCTTTCACACATTTCCAAAACAGATTTTCCATACATTACCAATACAATTTCTTTCACACATTTCCAAAACAGATTTTCCATACATTACCAATACAATTTCTTTCACACATTTCCAAAACAGATTTTCCATACATTACCAATACAATTTCTTTCACACATTTCCAAAACAGATTTTCCATACATTACCGATCACACATTTCCAAAACAGATTTTCCATACATTACCGATACAATTTCTTTCACACATTTCCAAAACAGATTTTCCATACATTACTGATACAATTTCTTTCACACATTTCCAAAACAGATTTTCCATACATTACCTGCACTTTGTTTTTTTCTAAATCACCCAAACCAACTGAACAAGATGAACAAGAAGAATATTCTACCTTTGATATGATTTGTCTTAGTTCAAGGTATTTGTCAGTTATGTCCCCTGCCTCTGTGAGTGGAGCATCATAGTCGTAACTGGTCGGGACAGGCTGAAATGGGGCATAGTTAGCACCTACAGAACACAACACATAACCAACTTTAACAAAAATATCAGTCCAGGAATAATGTTCCGATGCTTGGAAAATGTACAAGTTATCTAATGAGACAGAACTGATACATGTACATCAGTGTTAATTGGCGACAAGATTTGGAACTTTTTATAAATAATGGTTGTTTTAGACATATCACTGGGACAACATTGTAAACAAACAAGCACGGTGGCAAATGTCAAACTACTGACTGTTGTTCATCAGTGGTATCAACTTTAATTAGATCTCCTTCACATGTGTCCTATTTCATCAAGAAATGTTTCTATAAATGGAGGTTAAAGCTGATGGTCAATGATTATTAAAGTGTAAATGAAGTGATGAATATTCAATCAAGTGTTTCTTTTAGACGAATTTGATATTTGTTGTTTCAATTTTAATGTATTACTGTATTCAGATACTCTTTAAGTGAATATTCGCAGTAGATGAAATTTTTGCTTTTTCTCTTTCCAGACACATTGCTACACTATGATATTTTCCCCTGAAATCTCACAATATATAGATGAGTGATATCTGTTTTACCTTCTTGTGCATTTAACTCCTTTCACATAATCCATAATGATTTTCTGTCTAAGATACTTTGGAGTAACATTTACCATTATGTCACAACTTAGAGCTTCAATAAAGTTAATGGAATGTGGCAACAGCAATATAATCACAAACCTAAACTTTTAAAATCCAAGCATTGAACAAATACATATGTACTTGATGAAATAAAAAAAAAAGTAAAATCTTTGAATGAGAATATTTCTCTCATCAATGGGATTAACTTTCTATATTAAGTAACACAGACTGCATGTTGATTTAATCTGTTATAATCAATAAAAATGTGACAAAAATATTAATATATTTACCATTCCAAAAGCCGAAATTGGTCCCTCCTTCAAACATATACCTACAAAACAGAGGTAAGTAAATCAGCTATCTCAAGTACATGTGTACAAACATCACATCAGTCTGTCAAAGATACTGTTGTCACATCAGTCTGTCACAGATACTGTTGTCACATCAGTCTGTCACAGATACTGTTGTCACTTCAGTCTGTCACCGATACTGTTGTCACTTCAGTCTGTCACCAATACTGTTGTCACTTCAGTCTGTCACCAATACTGTTGTCACTTCAGTCTGTCACAGATACTGTTGTCACATCAGTCTGTCACCGATACTGTTGTCACATCAGTCTGTCACCGATACTGTTGTCACATCAGTCTGTCATCAATACTGTTGTGACTTCAGTCTGTCACAGATACTGTTGTCACATCAGTCTGTCACCGATACTGTTGTCACATCAGTCTGTCACCGATACTGTTGTCACATCAGTCTGTCATCAATACTGTTGTGACTTCAGTCTGTCACAGACACTGTTGTCACATCAGTCTGTCACCGATACTGTTGTCACTTCAGTCTGTCAAAGATACTGTTGTCACATCAGTCTGTCACCAATACTGTTGTCACATCAGTCTGTTACCAATACTGTTGTCACATCAGTCTGTCACAGACACTGTTGTCACATCAGTCTGTCACCAATACTGTTGTCACATCAGTCTGTCACCAATACTTTTGTCACATCAGTCTGTCACAGATACTGTTGTCACATCAGTCTGTCACAGATACTGTTGTCACATCAGTCTGTCACCAATACTGTTGTCACTTAAGTCTGTCACAGACACTGTTGTCACATCAGTTTGTCACCAATACTGTTGTCACTTCAGTCTGTCACCAATACTGTTGTCACTTCAGTCTGTCACAGACACTTTTGTCACATCAGTATGTCACCAATACTGTTGTCACATCAGTCTGTCACCAATACTGTTGTCACATCAGTCTGTCACAGATACTGTTTCACATCAGTCTGTCACAGATACTGTTTTCACATCTGTAAGTCACCAATACTGTTGTCACATCAGTCTGTCACAAATAATGTCTTCACATCAGCCTGTCATAGATACTGTTGTCACATCAGTCTGTCACAGATAATGTCGTCACATCAGCCTGTCACAGATACTGTTGTCACATCAGTCTATCACAGATACTATGTGTTGACAAATCAGTCAGTCACACCAATTTAATGTAACTGCTGTTATCCTTTTTTCTTCTTGACTTACACACATACTGAGTAATGTACAGTCAAACCCTGTTGTAATGCCACATGTTAAACCACCCAACCCGCATTTTGCCAGCTACCATAGCATTCCCAAAACAAATGATTATACTAACACTTTTTTTACCTCATTAAATATCATCAGCTAGAGTCGAGTACAGGTAATTGTTGTGAATGCCTGGAACTGACAGAACAGATAACCGGAGGTATGGTATCGTACCATGTGACCATGTACAGTTGGCGATATCAGCTGATTATAAAAACCCGGATACTGATTTGAATAATTTGCTTCAAAGAGTGAGAAAATTTGTAGACATGTACAAAAAACTCACACAGAGTAAAATGGTAGATGACAATGACATTATCAAATCTATCACCACACAGACCACCTTGGACAATAAGGATGACTATGACAACACAACCACAACATGGATGAAAAACATAGCCCTACCCACTACTATCTCGGAGGCAAAGGTGGCGATGGACACAGTTTTGAGACTTTTTAACCCAAACACTTTAAAATTAGAGTCAGATATTCAAAAATGTTTTATCTTCCCTGAATATATTACAGACCATAAGACAAAATAAGTCAAGACAGCCAAGTTTCAGTGATATCTTTAGTAAGATCTAACATAATTACATTGGACGTTTTCAGGAATACAAGTACATAATCAAAGTCATGTACGTTGAACATATGTATTTGATTTACAACACTTCTGTAATCAATTTTTTGGTAAATTTGTCATGATAATTCACAGTTTAAAAGAAAAGTATTGTGATGTTATTTCTAAAATACATGTACATGGTACTGCAGACTGGGTGAGTCAAGATGGTCACCAATGTTGTGTAACTCCCGAGGTCAAATACGTAGTAAACCTGATGTACTGCCAAAATCACAAAGAAAAAAGGTGGCGTTATGATGAGGTTTCACTGTATGTGACTAATACCAACACCCTAAAATAAATTACTCTCTAATATTTGTTGATTTACAGTATGCCTTACATGTTGATGTTTGCACCATAGGCTAGAAGAAGGTCAAGACTTGTGGTCACTTTATTGGTATCAGTCACGGAGTGTTTCTGTCCCCAGTGGTCCAGCCAGCCGGTGTAGAACTCAGAGTTCACCTTCAACGTATAAAAATATCTTGCAGTAATTACATATCATTAATGCTCTTTATTTACATTGCACAATCAAATTTTAGCATATTATGATTTGTTGGCGAATAAGAACAACGATGAATTAGCACATCCACTATGTATACATACACTTTGTATACTGCAATTAACACACATCATATTTTAGCTCAACACAATTAGGACCACACAACAATGTATACATACACTTTGTATACAATTAACACACAATAGATGTATATATACTATGTAATACTGCAATTAACACACAACATTTAAAGTTTGTAACACACTTACATACACTTTGTATACTGCAATTAACACACATCCACTATGTATACATACACTTTGTATACTGCAATTAACACACATCCACTATGTATACATACACTTTGTATACTGCAATTAACACACATCCACTATGTATACATACACTTTGTATACTGCAATTAACACACATCCACTATGTATACATACACTTTGTATACTGCAATTAACACAATCATATTTTAGCTCAACACAATTAGGACCAAAACAAGATTACTACTACAATAGATGTATATATACTGTAATACTGTACAACATTTAAAGTTTGTGGGAATGAATATATATAATCATACACATAGTTCTATTTGAAGTCTTTTGCACCTTATTTTTCTTGTTTGTATGTCACCAGGAAAACAACAGTAATTTCATTCTGTGTTTTACAAACATAGATCTTCTCTCTTTAAAAGAAACTGCATTTTGGCACACAAAAAGAAAGCAGCAAAGATTAAATTATTTAGGAATTACTATCAATTCTTTAAAATCTAAATCACTTATAACCTACCAAGGGACCTTTTGCTTCGTAATCTCTCTGTGCCTTAAAACTGCCGGCTGGATTGTCTGGAACAGAAATGAACAACTATAAACAAAGCCATATACTGTTGGCTATAATACAGCTCATGGTGTCAGATAAAAACTGCAACATTCATCCAAACAGAAAACAAAAAGCTACATCATCATTGTTCATATACTGATGAGGATTTAATCAAATTTAAATAATTCTTCTTGTATTTTTCTTGTCGTAAGTGATGAAAAGCCATATCTTACAGGATACGCCAAAATCCACTGTGGCATAAACTTCAGGAATGTAGCCACATTTCAGGAAGCCATCCGAATTGCCATCAGTAGTAAATAGCACAACATCCTTTCCTAGATGAAACCTGGCCCTGTCACGGAGATGTGTGGTGTAGTTTCTATCACAGGCAAAGTAACTCCCATACTCATTTTCTATTTGGACCATGATCACTGGACCACCATTATTATACAGAAGGGGTTTCAGCTTTGGTAACAGAACATCCATCCATTGGTCAACATATTTTATATATGCTGTCAATGAAAACATACAACTTAAAATTACAATGAAAATATTTCCATCAGGCTGTATAAAATATCTAACAGGGTATTCTAAATGTTTCCAATGACTGATATCTCTGAAGTGTTTTACTTCTCAAACATTTCATCGCTTTCATCGTTAATCAAGAGGATTCAACAGGGAAAACACTTGAAACCTTTTTCAATTTGCATATCATTTATTTATCACCTACCTGTACATTTTGAGAGGAAATAAGATCAAATTATACTGTATTTCAAAAAGTTACTTTAACAAGCTGTCCTCTTTTTAGGAATTAGAGGATTGTGTATAAACTGAATTAACTAATTTACAAACTCAGTTAAATGTATTATCAGTGATCTATCCCATATAACCAATTATTAAACCACAGAATCCTGATGTTGATGCTCCATCTTCGTTGTCATTTGTTCTTATTTCAGTTGGAATAAATGAACATTTAACAATGTTCCAAAATATTTCTTTTGTTTGATATGTAAGTCTGTGGTTGATAAAAGTAACAAGTATTCTTGATCTGTTGAGAATTACCCATTATTTGTAATGAATGGGTTGAATAGTTGTATACTTATTATGAGTATGTAGTATGCGTGAAATTTTAAAAGTATTCAACCTTATTCAGCAAAACATTAACGCTGAAGTTGTTATGCATTATCTTTATAAAGATATGAGCTTCTGTGAACAATACATCTCTCATCATCATTAGTGAGACAAAACAAAAACAAGAGGCCCAAGGAGCCTTAACGGTCACCTGAGGAATATATGTCAATAATCTAGGGATTTTAAAATGTTGCAAAAATGTAACAACACTTGTGCAGGACCATGTGTAAAACATATGTACCAAGTTTGAACATGACCCACCCAATGGTTCTTGAGAGGAAGTCCATAATGTCTTAGCCAAACAGAGGCCAGGGTGGCCATCTTGGATTTTGCATCGCCCCAAAAAGTTAAAACATTTGCCAGGACCTTGTGTAGAACATTCGTATCAAGTTTCCCCTTTTTCCCCCTCCTGGGGCCCCTATTGGGGCCACGCCCTTTTTCTTCGCAAACTTGAAGCGGCTTCCCATGGGGATGCTTTGTGTCAAGTTTGGTCAAAATCCATCCACTGGTTCTTGAGAAGAAGTCATTTAAAGAAGGTTTTTACATATGGCCCCTTTTACATCCCTTATGGGCCCCAAAGGGGACATAATCACTTTTTTCAACATAATTTCATATGTCCTTCACTAAGGGATGCTTTCTACCAAATTTGGTTGAAATCGGTCAAAGTTGATTTTTTGACCCTTTTGAGTGCCCCCTAGTGGGGCCGTTTTGACCCAATTTTTATTTCATTCCTTTCATTTGTAGACCATGCCATAAGGACCCCAAATATCAAATATGAACTTAATCTGACTGTTGGTTCATGAGAAGAAGATTTTTAAAGATTTACCTAATTTTACACCCTTTTTCCCCCTCCTGGGGCCCCTATTGGGGCCATGCCCTTTTTCTTCACAAACTTGATGCGGCTTCCCATGGGGATGCTTTGTGCCAAGTTTGGTTAAAATCTATTCAGTGGTTTTTGAGAAGAAGTCGAATATGTGAAAAGTTAATGACGCACGACGCACGATGCACAATGCACGACGACAGACAAATCATGATGGCAATAGGTCACCATGAGCCTTCAGCTCAGGCGACCTAAAGAGGTGTATGTTGCAAAAGAATATTTTCAAAGTTATTTTCACTTTTAAACCTAAAATCAAAGTCTTCTTACTTGAATCCATAGTTCTAAATATAGTTTTAGGATCCTCTTTAAGTATCCATGCTGGAATGCCGCCCTGAAAATACCAACACAAGCATTAGTACTGAGAAGATGAATGAGAAAATTCTAGATTCCATCTTCGCTGGAAATTAATTTCAATTCAATGAATAAATGCACCCAAAATATTACACTGGAAGTAGAAACAATTACATTTTATCTTGATTATTAGTGCTCTGAAAAGATAAATAAGTCTCATTTCCCTTTAGATTAACAGCTTTATGATTATAACTTCCTAGAGTTCAAAGGAAAGTTTTTTCCTCATTACTACCCTCCTGCCCCTGGCAATCACTTACAAAGTCCCACTCGCCACAAATATAAGGTCCTGCCCTCATTACGACCAGTAGGCCAACATCTTGTGCAGTCTGTAAGAAGGCAACCAAATCCTGTTGTCCTGTAAAATCATACACATCTTTCTCAGGTTGGTGAATATTCCAAGGCACATACCTGTTATAAAAATCACACAAAACTGCAATAACATGTCTGTATATTTAAAATCACGAATACAAGTAATTGAAGTCCAATTGATTTTACCTATTTTGTAAAAAATAACACTAATATTAACTTACAGTTGAATGGCATTTAGTCCAGCGGCATACATCTTAAGGAGTCTGTCTTTCCAGTAATATTGTGGGATACGACTGTAGTGGATACTCCCTGACACATACCGGAATGGCTTCCCATCCTTCAGGAATGTGTTCTTGTCATAATCTATTGTGAAATTGGCACCATCCACCTGTAAAAGTTTTATCCTTGTATTGACCATGAAAGTGGATGAGGTTATTTAATTTAACAAACATTTGATTGCTCTTTATTCCAGCATGTTATTGATGTCTGGGACCAATGGCTTATAAGTCTGCATATAGACAGCTTTGCACTTGACCAATGTAGTTGTTGGATTTTTCGAAAAAGTACACAAACACCCCCATCACTTAATTCTTCATTTCTATAATACAGTTCAAAAATATTTAATTTGAAAATCTTTGACAGAATTGAGCAGTTACAAAAATAGATCAACTTTTAGACTATGAAAGATTAAACAAGGGAAACCTACATATGAAATTTGAGAAAAATCCATCGTGTACTTTTCAAGAAATAGCAATAACAAAAGTGATTTACGCACCAATCCCTTCATGTATACATTTCTTCATGCATTACACACATTATTGAATTTTCATGAAAATTGTCATTTTGTAGTTAGATTTCTGATGCAGCTAAGTTTTAATTATAATAATTCTTATCATTAATTGCTCAGTTTGAAAAACACCATATCGATGTATTGCAATACAGTATACATACATTCAATTGTTTACACTATCACATTTTTTAATGTCCTCTCTAGGTCATGTACACAACATTTATACTACAGTATTTATGCATATGGAAAACTGATGAAGAGGTAAACGTTTGGTGGGAATATATAAATGATTTTAACAGGGAAAGCGGTAAGCAACAGTGGGTCAGACGACCTCTATGCCTCTTTCCGTTTTAATTATATATATTGGCAACATTTCAGGTATATATACAGACAAGAGACGTATATATCACATATACGTCTCTGATACAGACGGACATTGAGATGCATTACGAGACTTCAGTTATTGACAGTCTTATTTGAAGCAAAGATGGAAATACATAAAATTCTTGTCCATGCGGTCAATTCGTTTGGACCGCAATAAAACAAAAACGGCCTTCATTTGCAGGATCCACCCCTACCATAAAAGGCCAACGATTTTTTTTATCCTTGACGACGATTAGATGACAGTGAAGGGTGCATTACAGACGAATTCACTAGACATTCTGCATTAAATTACAAATATTATTATCTTATCAGAAATCTTAATTCTCCTACCTTAAAAATTAACACCGAAAAACTTATTATTGTGACAATCAACACAACCAGAGCATTTGATACTGCCGCCATTTTGTTTAGTCATGTGATCGATCGCGAAGGCTAGTCATGTGATATCGTTTTTTGGGTGCACTCGGTTGGGAACATGAAAATCTGGTACAGAAGTATCCAAGTCCGTGCTAATAGCCACGCTTTTTCATAAAACCACATCTCAGTCCAAAATGATACAATAACGAATTATGAATGCATTTTACCTGCAATGAAAATTCAATAATATGATTATTTAGTTTTTGTTTAAAAAAAAAAGAAGTAACACTTAAGGAAATGAGTTTGGGAGTGGGGTATTCTTATTTTTGTTTTGAATTATTTTAGATATGACCACTTACAATGAAAAATGACGTCACTGTCCGTTACGTTACTTTTGATAGGCTAGCAGAGTTGTGTGCTGTTGTTCAACATGTAGTAATGAAACAGGTCAAGTATTAACTTGATTTATTTCATGTAGTTTATGTCACTGAGTCATAACAATAAATCAATCAATAGATGAATAGAAAGTGGAGTTAGAATCCATTTACAACTCACTTGCAGTAGGTTCAAAGGACACTACGGTTTTTCTGATGGCTTGTTTTTGTAAAATAAATAAATAGATTTTAATATATGAACGGTTGTCACTGTATGTTATAATGTTGAAATTTCGTTCACTTCTAACACTACAGTCTGTGTGTACGTGCGTGCGTGCGTGTGTGTGTGTATTTAACACTTGAAACATTCTAGCAATTACAGATACACATACGTCATACCTGCGCGTGATGTCTAGATCTCATTTCAGTATTTTATAATCTGACGACAGCTTTATAGTATTCCTATATTAATATTTCACGAATGATGTAATTGTAGATTACTAGAACGTCATGCCGATCTCACGAATGATGTAATTGTAGATTACTAGAACGTCATGCCGATCTCACGAATGATGTAATTGTAGATTACTAGAACGTCATGCCGATCTCACGAATGATGTAATTGTAGATTACTAGAACGTCATGCCGATCTCACGAATGATGTAATTGTAGATTGCTAGAATGCGTTATATCCGTCTCTGCTCTATGTTAGCTGTATGTTCCGGCTTCTTAGAGAAGCACAGAGAAAACTAAAGTGATGTTGTTGGGAAGCAAACAGAGAAAGTTACACGTGAATTAAGTATTGAATTTAATGAGTCTGACAACCTAAGATTAGAACTTGTTAGACATGGAAAACTACTTGGTGTGTACTTGATGTTACCTTTCAGGGAACAAACATGTCCAAGATGTTATTTAAAAACTAAACTTTAAAATCTATCAGTTATGTAGAATCAAAAATTCTTTCCTATTTTTACAAGAAACCCCTACTTCAACGGCTTTATTTCACCTTACCTTGATTATTGTTCCAGTATTTATTCATTTATTATCATTTCTTTACGAACTGACCTAGCCCCAGAAGAAGAAAAGACATCTATAAAAGTAACAGGAGATATTTTAAGACAATTTCTTGTGTTCTACTGATAAAATAAAAGGGGTCGCCATATTAAAGACTCATTCTCACAGAAGTCAGAAAATGGACCGGAAAAATGCTTAAAAATTGACAAAAAGAAAAATATAATTTAAGTTGTAATCCATAAACTTCAGTACCTCGTCAGAAACGCTGTTCATGCGTCCGCCTTTTTAAGTAGGGACCGGATTATCAATTCTTTAAAAAAAAAAGATATCTCTGCTGTCGACCCCATACTCTGTCTGGTTTATTCGGTCAACAGAACTTCTTCATAACTGTTTTACTCTGTATCATGAAATCCACAAAACACGTGATTTCTTCAAGGTCGTTTTCCATAATTTTACCAATGTAATATTTGTGATCTTACGTTATCACAGCAAAATTATCTTTGTCATAGGCGACTGTATCGTTGGCTATAACTGAAGATGGCTCCACATTGTCTTCCTCTACGTGCTCCAATAATCTCGTTTGATTAAGCTGTTTCCTAATCTCAATTATCTCCCGTCCAAAGTCAGAATATCTATTGAATCTTTTTTCACAGAAACAGTTTTCACACGCTCAAGTTGTATATCTCTTTACCATCTGGCCATGTACATCCTTTGTGATAACATGCAAATAGAGATTTCCTTCTATTGTCTTGGCCATTTCTTGTCGCGCATCAAACTCAGTACTGCATCGTCCGTATTTGTCTCTCGTGATTAAATGGTACTCAATTTTGCCCTCAGACCGAGAGGCCAATGAAAAAAAAAAACATCTTGGATAACGGCCTTGTTTTGTTTAACTGCAATATCTGCATTCCTTTTGGCTGTTCCGCCTACGTCATCACATGCACTCTCCCCATGTCCGGCCTCAAAGCAATGCCAAGACGCTTTACAACCGTGTATTACCTCAAACTCATTGATCAGATCAAAACCCGATTTGTTTCTGTATTGAGACGAGGGTGTGTCGGTCCAATAATGGACATGTTTCAGATATGGAACATAATCTCTGGCAATGCTAGTAGTGGCACCACTGTCGCATCGTGATGTAAGACCTCTTAAGAAAACACCATACTCTTGTGACACAAGGAATCATGACAGTCCCTATAATAAAACATGACTGGGTGCAGAGTCTCCGTCGATGCGTTCCAGTAGGCGGATTGTGTCTCCTCCATCTTTTGGCAGGTATAATTTTAACTACAATCCATGTGGACAAGAACCTGATTTTTAGGCAGCATATCTTTCTTTGTATAAATGATTTGTATTGTTGTGTTAACCTCTCCAATTTTGTAAGTTGTTTTTGGAACATTTCTTCCAATTACTCCTTGGAATCTTTGTATGTGTTGACGAACGTGTCTGGGTCTGAACTGGTTATCGTAGTCAAACCAAACTTTTAAAATAATATAAATGAGGTAAAACAAACATGTCATTAACCCATCAATAGAATTAACCATCACTAGATATACTCACGTGGAGACAACAATATACTCGAAGTATTATTTTCTCGAAACATTACCAGATCCTGTGTTTCCAATGACATCAGGTAAGTCTAAATGTCGAAACAACCGAACAGCACTTTGGCCATGTTTAGCTCGTAAATTATGTCCAGTAAGTTATAATGCATGGGCATTTCTTTATCTTAATTCGATTTTTATAATAATTTTAACCATATATGCAGATAAGACCTTGTTGACAGCTTAAGTATGTTACTATACAGCTTAATTTATCGTATTTATTTACTCGTGATCTGAAACATGTTGATAATTAATGGTCTCGTGTATTACATATTTGATTTCCTCATTTCTTTTTCTGAATTTAGTTCAGCATTGTTTATTATAAATACCAACTGCTTTCCAAAGTCAATGTTTTCTTAAACATCTACCAGGTATGCTATGTAATGGACACGAAAACAATAGGATTTTCAATAAACGTGACAATATTGTCGACATTGGGATTTCAGTCCCGTAAATTACATAGATTTGGAGACGAATAAAAACTGGTCATTTGTTTCCTTTTGGCATCAAACGTATGTAAAGAGTGTTTTATTTCAGAAAATATAGATCAATACAACTTTTGATAATAATCTATGCTTGTATCAACAATAAAAATCTGTTTAAATTACTGGTATAATTAATGACAATACCGCGTTTTGCGATGACACCTGCAGACAAGACGTATACAACTATGTTTTCCTATAAAATTACAGGCCCATACAGCTTTCATGATTTGGTTAATAGTTTTTTTACTGTAGAATAAGATAAAACAATGAAAAAACATTCACATCCAACTCGGACAGGAAGTATATTACAGCGACACCAATTGTCGCGGTTCCGTGAGAACGAGGCTAAAAACAGAGAAGAGGAATATTACTGCATTTGTGATTATTGGAGAATCTGTCTTTGCTACGGTATTTGTAAAAATAAAATTGAATTTTAAGACCAAACATCGATAAGAGCCCAGACTTACTTTTTAAAAGCTTTCAACATTTTTATCTGATATCTTGACTCGTTCTCCGCGACTGTATTATAAAACAACGACTGAATTAGAAATATAATTGATTAGCGATTATAGGTGTAATCATTGCCATTAATTTATTATTAAAATTATCAAAATGACCTAGGCCTATCAACTAGTTAAGTTACTGGCCTTGGACAAAACTGTGTTGGACAGCATCCCATGTCTTCATATGGAAACGCCGAAGAGGTTCCGAGTAGAAGGATAACGTCATTTCCCACAATTCAATAGATTAAAGATGGAAGGAAGAGGATAGATCCACGAACACTCGCATCGCAAATGTCGCCTGTTCAGCTAGTTTTCGACAAAAGCGATTGGATTTGGTGTTGAAGTATTAACTTTCTTTCATTTTTAATCAACAGTGTAGAAATTTGGGCAATCCCTTGTGCCTGAAGTCTGTCATCATCAATTGTCTCCAACCCAGGGCTGAGGCCGGTGACCAGGCTTGTTACCTGCATTCTGATTATCAGCTCAAATGGAGGGGGATGCTTGAGTACCCCAGTCATGTTATGATACGGATTTTACCTTAGTTGTCAATTGTATGTATATATTAAGAATATTATAAGCGTTAGAGGCATTCCAGAACCCCAAAATGGGTGATGAATGTGGCATTAAGGTGGTGTGTCGTGTTCGACCGCTGAACTCTTCAGAGGAAAAGGCAGGGAGTAAATTTGTCCTCAAGTTTCCAACGGATGATTCAATCAACTGTGGAGTAAGTATGCTAATCTATGTCATTGTCTACATATTCTTAAACGCATTGCCTGGCGCTTGACTTGTCACCGTAACTCGTGATTCACATTAATGTATAATTTATAAATGACAAATCTTATCATCATAATTCATGACAAAATATGTATCCGAAGAAAACGTATAGAGCTCAATGTGTGCATCAGTATCTATATTATGTTAACTAGGAAAAAATAACTTTGTACATATAAAATATAATTTGCAGGTAACACAATAACTCACCACCTAAATTTTGTTTGAAACTGATATTTGGTTTGTGGGGTCAACAAGTTGACCTCTGATGCAGACACGTTAGAGCTTCATTGATTGGTTACTGTTGCAGTGTGTTACATCATGGCAACTGGTGCTGAGGCTGTCAACTATACATCATTGTTGAGCAGTTGATATCACTAATACAATATATTTGGTGCTAAAAAATTACAAATAAATTCTGTTGAACAAGACTGTCTACACCAGTTGTTTTAAAAATGTATCTTTTATTGTATATGACATGGAATTTCCATTATCGTGATAGCATTATCATATTGATTCAATGCTTTGTTGTTGTTTCGCATTATATTATAATTAGGCAATTTTTTAGCAGCAATAAGATACTATGTACAAATAGAATTTTAAAATTGTATTGAATTTTCAAAAGAATATTTTGGACATGATGTTCTGAAAGCCAACCAGTGCTCTTGATGTAATATTTTAACAAATGGATGAAGACCCTTTCTTTTCCAACCTTAAGGGTTAAATATTTTCAGCATAACTATGGCTACCTTTCATTGACTTGCATGATATTTCCTAATCTAATGAATAAAACAATATTAACCTGGTTGTTGCTCATTTATTTAATGATTTTACTTGCTTCAGTGTTGAAAATGATGGAGGTTATAAAGCCCCTTACCACTTAGGATTGACTGTCACGATCATGGTGGTCGTCGACTTCCAAATGAGACATGATCAGAATCATTGAAATACTTACAGGTTTAGAGAAGGGAAAATCATTGATACTAAAGAGTTTTGGCATTTATGATAATACAAAGTTAGAAAGGGTGTCTTGGAAAGTCTGGATCACATAAACATGTTATTAAACGTGCATGGGTGAATGAAAATATTACTGCAATATGGGTATTTGTAAATTTTACCATTAACATGTATTCCATCAATTTTAGGGGGTAAATATGCTAATATGCAGTGTATCTTGAGCATTGAACTAAATGTAATTTGTTAAGATAAATATGTTGCTTTTTTTGTAAAATATCATACATTTCACTTTTGTAATATTTTATGATATTGATATATAAAGTGTTACTTATCTAATAAGGTTATACGGCTCTGTTGAAAGTGTCAATCAACACTTTTTGTATCATATTTAAAACCTGAATTCCACTGTAGCAGTCCAGTCTCTTTTTCTGAAACAACACTGAAATATCTATTAGGCCATAATATTAGTGTGTCACAGTAATTTGTGATTATGATGTCTCATGACCAAGATTGATTTACCTTAAATTAGTAGATTTCTTTTAAATCAGATGAACTTTTACTTAAATGGTATTGGTGTTATTTGAAATCCACTAAATACAAGTAAAAAAAATGTGCTATCTATTATTTACCAAAATGATATTTTCTTATTGTACTACAGCAAAGAAAGTGATTGATATATATGTTATGTAAGATTTAATTTGCCTGTTGTCACATCTTCATGTATACATGCTTTTAACAATTGGATATTTATATTGAAGTAATATTAACAAGTAAATTTGTGTTTGCCAGGGAAAGCTGTTTGTGTTTGATAAAGTGTTGAAGCCCAACGTGAGTCAGGATTATGTCTACGAGACTGCTGCCAAACCCATTGTTGCTGGTAAGATATAATTTCGATGAGCTAAAATTTGACTAATTATCTTATCTTTGATGTTTATGCTGCTGTTAAACTTTTTGTCTATGTTGCTTTCAACAAAATGAAAAGTTTACATCTTGTCAATTAAAAGTTTATGGTAGTATTGTGATCATGTGCTTTTATTGATAATTCTGTTAATAGAAATACGTAATTATGCACTATCTGAGAGGAGTATAATGTCAGTCCATTTAAGATAATTATATTTCATGTTATGACATATGCATGTTATTCTAATAAAGAAAAAACACTGAGCATTTGTGTCAGTTTATCGACACTAATGTAAAGCTTCACATTCTGCTAAAATGCATATATATATGTTAATGTGCAGAAATATATACTGTCTGCATGATGTGTCGATCTATAAAAGCAGCAGCATTTTATGCCTTTTTTACAAGGGGCACATAGTGCAACACATATCCGTCCCATCCAATATGTTTTGAATCAATGTCTTACCTTCAGAACCGCTCAACAGATTCAATTTATATTTATAATGAGAGTTAATTATCCTATGATATCATAACATCAGAGTTGCACCTGATGATATTCTGGTTTTAAAGTCAGACACATAAATAGTTACAAATTTCAGTACATGTTGTACTTACTCCGCCTACAAATACCAACATTTACTGTGTGTGTAGTCATACACCATGTTAATTATAAATCATTATTTAATGGACTACTTTGTCACAGGTTGCTAAATACCTGCATTCCTAGATGTGAGGTAGTTATAAGATAGATTTGCCAATGTGATAGTAAGTAGTGGAATACATTTGTGCCATAATGGTATCATTTACAAAAGTTGTAGGTACTATATTATAGGAGTCATTTATTTAGACAAGTGGTATAATACCAGGACACAGTATACACAACGCAATGCTACATCTTGTACACGCACAAACATCAGAAGGCTAGGTGGCTTTACTGGAAGGAGCATCTTAAAACAACAACATGCACTTACAACTGCCTTCCATCACATTTTCTGACTGGTATTTGCTGACTATCATCAGAAGAGAGGCTGTTCAAATCACCCTTTGTGCTTAGTTCATTGTCCATTGGTTGTCTGTCCTCCTGTCTTTAAACAATTTCTGTTATTGCTTTAAATTTGTTGAGAAGTACTGGATGGATCATAGGCAGATTTCCTTTAGTCACAAGTTTTTGTATGTCTGATTTAGGACTGATTAAAGAACAATATAACTGATAGATCATGATGTTATATTTGTTAAATTACATATTATCAAGATCTCCCCTGGTCTGTAGTTGTGTAGTGTCCTTTTTGGGACTAATGGTAAAAAAAATGGCAGAAAAGTTGCTATCTTGGATTTGAACAGTTAATTTTATTATAGCTTCTTATACAGATTTCATTCTCTATATATATATCCCCTTGGTACCTTAATAAGTACATATATAGATAAATATATATGTGATTTTGGGACAGATGAAAAAATTATGTGACTTTTTCATCTGTTGTAATATACATTTGATATATAGCTCGATATAATATCATATATTATATAATATTGTGCTCTTTTCTGGGTAGTGAAATCTACTGGATTTCTGTGAAACTCTACATAAGCATTATATATTTATGTTGTCTGTTCTTTTTTACATTAAAGAAATATAGATATAGCAAACACTTGAAATTAAAGGAAACAGATTTGGTAATGAATTACACTGTATAAAAGGATTGAAAAAAAATACACACACTTTTATTGAGGTATATGTTTTAGAAGTTCTACATTTCATTCTTTTTATTAGATAATGAAATAATTCAGTGATTAATACAGTTTCCCCTAGCAGCTAAAATTTCCCTCTTACAGAATGTTACACTTAAATCTTACAATATATTTCCTAATTTATTGCTCTTTGAATTTTCCCTGTTTCAACATAAAATACATTTTGATCTTTCGGTTTTGTTGTTTTTGAGAAGAATTTGATAGATTTTATAAACCATCTGTTCTTTTAAAAATCATTCATTATTCATAAGTTGTTACAGTCAATCACGAAGTGCTGAAAAATTTAGATCAATTACAGCCCAGGAAGTTTCTTCCTGTGGCCCTTCGGAACCCAGGCTGTTTTCCTGGTCACAAAAAGAACACTTTCCCCTATATCCTAGATTATTCCCTATAATTTGCCCCTTGACCAAATACAAGGTAGATAAAGAATTGAAGTTTGACAAAACCACTTATCTGATTGAAATAATTCATTAAACAGACATATTTATGAATTGTTAAAAGTGCAAAAAATGCAAAACAACCATGTTCATCTAACATGTTGGTTGAAGGTGAGAGTGATGACTGGAATGAGTCAGCACTAGCTAAGTAGCGAGACTCCGCCCCATCTAACCTTGTATTGATTATTGGACGAGCAGCTGGAGCACACATTTATACTGCAGTATGTATGTAGTAGGACAGGATAGGAAAACTCCACTCACTATGGATCTACAATCTTACTCCTAAAATGTTACCTTTCTTTGACTCAAATACTACACTAGTTGAGCTCTGACTAACAATCTTACAGTGATATAGAGCTCAAACTCACTCCACTGTAAATGTCAGGTGTATTGGCTGAAGAGTATTTGTATCATGATAATGCCAGAAAAGGTAATTTTGGTAATTCATCGACATAAAACAATACATAAGAAATAGACATGTCCCTCAAACTTCAGTTTTTGGAATCAAAAACATACTCAAGGGTCTACTAAATGCTATGCATTACGATTGTCGATGGATATTTCCTTTATATTTCTATGTAAATTTCATGTATATCACCTGAGACCTGAGAATGCTATTGTTATTAATCTAATATTTTTCTCACAATTTTTGAAGGATGAAGTATAATACCTTCTTCGAAAATAAAGGTTTGAATGAAAAAAAATATACAACTTCATTGATTAATCTGTGCAATCCATTTACATTAAATTGTTTTGGTAAAATCTGGCACATTAAATATACGTTTTACAATATTAGGAAATTTGTGTATTTACTATGTATTTCTAGTGGAAACGAAATGTTTTGAACGTTTAAGACTGGTGGATATCTGCTTCATTGAGATTTAGAGCCTGCTCAGACAGATGTGTGTGTATTCCACATGACTTAGTTGGCAGTGAGCCCCCTCCAGCATTATCAGGCAGATTACTTGTAACTGTGCAGTAAATGGTTGTGTGGGCATTTTGTGGCTGGGAGGAGGGATACTGGTACATATCTCAATAAAGGTTATGTCATTTGTTGTGAGAGCTCAACCATGTGAACTGTTTTGTTTACTATTAATAGACACTTTTAAGTATACATGTGTGTTGTTTACAGTCTTCCCATCTTTGAAATACTTCAGTTCCCGTTGTTTTGTTTTCTTCAAAGTCATATGGTGATTTGTCATAAGGCAAGCAATAGTGGAATGTATAGAAGTGAGTAAAGATCAACAAAGGACTTGTAGGGAGCTGTGGTTTATCTTTATAGTAAATACACAGGGAGCTGTGGTTTATCTTTATAGTAAATACACAGGGAGCTGTGGTTTATCTTTATAGTAAATACACAGGGAGCTGTGGTTTATCTTTATAGTAAATACACAGGGAGCTGTGGTTTATCTTTATAGTAAATACACAGGGAGTAGTGGTTTATCTTTATAGTAAATACACAGGGAGCTGTGGTTTATCTTTATAGTAAATACACAGGGAGCTGTGGTTTATCTTTATAGTAAATACACAGGGAGCTGTGGTTTATCTTTATAGTAAATACACAGGGAGCTGTGGTTTATCTTTATAGTAAATACACAGGGAGCTGTGGTTTATCTTTATAGTAATACACAGGGAGCTGTGGTTTATCTTTATAGTAAATACACAGGGAGCTGTGGTTTATCTTTATAGTAAATACACAGGGAGCTGTGGTTTATCTTTATAGTAAATACACAGGGAGCTGTGGTTTATCTTTATAGTAAATACACAGGGAGCTGTGGTTTATCTTTATAGTAAATACACAGGGAGCAGTGGTTTATCTTTATAGTAAATACACAGGGAGCTGTGGTTTATCTTTATAGTAAATACACAGGGAGCTGTGGTTTATCTTTATAGTAAATACACAGGGAGCTTTGGTTTATCTTTATAGTAAATACACATGGAGCTGTGGTTTATCTTTATAGTAAATACACAGGGAGCTGTGGTTTATCTTTAAAGTAAATACACAGGGAGCTGTGGTTTATCTTTATAGTAAATACACAGGGAGCTGTGGTTTATCTTTATAGTAAATACACAGGGAGCTGTGGTTTATCTTTATAGTAAATACACAGGGAGCTGTGGTTTATCTTTATAGTAAATACACAGGGAGCTGTGGTTTATCTTTATAGTAAATACACAGGGAGCTGTGGTTTAACTTTATAGTAAATACACAGGGAGCTGTGGTTTAACTTTATAGTAAATACACATGGAATACTGGTTAAGATAATGGGGCCCCAGATCCCATTGGAAAATATTCATATATAAGCCAAATTCCTAGAATTGAAAATTTACTCCTGAAAATTTTCATTCCAATTCATAAATTTTCTTCCAAGCAATGAGAAAAAAATACCACATCCCAGATATGTATTGTGTGAGGCCTTGAGGAATCTCAGCATTGGTATCAAAACTCTAATGGGATGTATGTAATTACCCATGCTGGACACAATTTGTGTCTGTTGCAGTCCCAGGTAGCATGACTGTAGACTTTTTATTATATTGGTATTGGCGCCATCTTCTCAAATACTGTCCAAAATAAACTCATTTATGTTATATGCACATGGCATCTTAATCTATGTCTTTCCTAGTGTACTTGGAGAATACTTTATCTATTTATTGACGTCCATTTGAAGCAGTGACAGTGCCATTACCAATAGGTCATGTCACCTTGATCTATTATCAAGGTCATTTTATTTAGGAGTGAAACTAAATAGTTCATGTGGTTGGACCTGAGGTGTTCAGTTATGAATTAAGGATAGAC